CGCCTACGACCTCGTGAACTGGCTGCTGCACATGTCGTTCGTCGATTCCGGAAAGCTCGGGTTTTACGCGGGCGGTCTGCTCACCACCGCCGCGTTTTACGGACTGGGCGCATTCTGGCGTCGCCATTCGTCCATCACTCCCAGCGCCCTCGTCAAGGTGCTGAACAGCCAACTGCAAAAGAATCCCCGCGTCATTGAGAAACTGGGAGCGGATCTGCGGCCGGCAAAGTTCACCGCCTACGCGTACTCTGGTGGCCTTCGCTACGGCAAGGACGTCGAGGGATGGTTCCCCGTGGCCTATTCGACGCCAGTGCTCGAGCTCATGTACCAGTTGAATGGAAACAAGTCCTCGGCAATGGTCAGCACAAAGGTCAGCAAAAAGAACGGCCAGCTCGTCTACCATTCGCTTGCGCTGGACACGAATCTCGGCGAAACCCTCCTGATCTACGGCACCCAAGCGGATGTCGTGTACAAGGGCATTGTTCGTCTTCGCTGATTCTGCCACGTGGTTTTTTCTCTCTCTTTGTTGTCTTTAAAACGAAAAAGCTCGAAACAACAACCAAAAATTCAGGCAAGGCTTGCAAAAAGGCTGGCAATTTTGGCAGCATTTGCCGTCCAACCATCCCACAAAGTTTACTGCGGTTTTTTTATTTGTTCAATTCTTTTTTGAATGCACCATCGTGCTACAGTTCCGATGAGGATGATGTTCAGTCGTGGTTTTTTTGCTGTTTCGGTGGATTTTCGCGCCAAAACGCATCTTTGGCGCGCTTTTCCCCCCTTTCTTTCTTTCTTTCAGCTTCCCTTCTTTCGCCTCTCCCTCTGTGTTTGATTCGTTCCACTGCAATCCATCATTGCATCCTCCATGCCAGTGTCTCGATCGGCTGCCAAGTCGGAGGCATCCGTGCCAATGGAGCTGGCTGACGACGACAACCATGATCGTCCCAGCCAGAGCAAGAGGGCTGCTTCTGCCAGCGCCAGTGAGCCACCACGCATTTCGGTCAAGCGCACCCACTCTGCTGCCAACAATGGCTCGTCTGAAGCGACCGACGCAGCAGCCGAGAACAACGACCAACGTGAGACCACCGTCAAGAAGCGTGCGTCTGCGCGCGGCGCGACCACCTCGCATGCAAGCGCTGCAACGGCCACGCAGCCCAGTTCAGCCAGCAGCGACGACGACGCCGACGCCAAGAAGCGCAATCCACGCGCATCACGAGCCAAGATCGCGCGGACGGCAAGCGACGCTGCCGATGGCAATGACCAGGACGACGCAGATGAAGAAGCTGCGGCCGCGTCGTTCGCGAGCCCCGCTGCATTGCCGCAACTGTCTGGCAAAGCTGGCAAAACCAAAAACGCATCCTCAGAACAGACCCCCGAAGTGTCGCCAGTCGTAGGCCGGAGCAAGCGCGCTGCCCGATCCACCCCCAACAGCCCCGCTGCTGCTGCTGCTGCTGCTGCTGCTGCTGCTGCTGCTGCTGCTGCTGCGCGAAACACAACAACGAGCGCCGCAGCTCTCTGGAACGCTCCCAGCACGATCGACCAGCCCGACTTGCTCAAGGAGGTGATTGATCCAAAGTGCCCAATCTCTGTGCGCGCCGCAGCCCGTTGCGGCATCCCGTTTTCCGATGCGGGTGAGCTGCTCTTGCCGTTCAAGAAGGGCAACGTGACCATCCACTCGCTGGGCCAGCTGGTGACTGACAAGACGCGCATGGCCGCCTTCCACACGGAGCGGCTGCTCTTTCCAGTCGGGTTTGTGTGCTCGCGCGAGTACACGAGCGTCGTCAACACGGCCAACAAGACGCGGTATTTTTGCCGGATTGTGGATTCTGGAACCTTGATGGGACCCGTGTTTGAGGTGGTTGCCGAGGACAACCCGTCGCGAGTCTACTCTGGCACGTCGGCCCCGGCGCCATGGGCATCGATTTTGAAGGACATTCAGCGGCAGGGCCACTCGACGCCGTTGCGCGTGCACGACAGCTTTGCGCTGGCGTTGGACCCCATCTCGCTTCTGCTGGAAAACCTGCCTGGCGCCTCGACCTATGTTGGCTATCTCCGCCAGCTCGATATGGACGAGGACGTGTTGGCCACCACCATCAAGGCGTCCGTACGTGGGGCGCGTCGCGCTGGTCCCACCGACCTCAACAACGATTCGTGCGAGGTCTGCTCGCAGACTGGCGAGCTCTTGTGCTGCGACGGCTGCCCGCGGGTCTACCATGCGACCTGCCTGAAGCTGGACACTGCCTCTCTGCCTCAAGGCGACTGGTTTTGCCCAACGTGCGTCCGCGCCAAGAAGGCCGGCACTTGGGCACCCACCCCTGCCGTCGATGCCTCAGCCGCTGCCTCTGAGCCTGTTCTGCCACCGCCCGTAGGGGTCACGCTGTCGACTGCGACGGTCGAAGCCAACGAGCTCCGAGGTACGCTCGATCGATCTCATCTCACGCTCGCCGAGCTGCTCGCCGAGAGCGACGCGGTTGACGAGTACTATGCGACCAAGCCCGCAGGACTGGCAGCGTGTAACGCAATCAGTGGCACCGAGCTGACCCTGCTCCGCGCCGCCACGACCGGCAAACTCACCCGGCAAGACCGCGTCGGCACCGCGGCTGCCATGACAGACGAGGAAAAGCAAGCAGCCCGTCGGCAAATTCGAGAACGCAAGACTGCCATGCTGGCCAGCACGGGTGTTGATATCGCCGCGCGTGCTGTTGTCAAGGAGCAACTTCGCGACGAGAAGCGCAGGCTGAAGGAGGTCACCAAGGCCTCCACGCTTGCCGCCAAAGAGCAAGCCCGCTTGAACTACTTGGCCCAGATCGATGCAGCCCGACGTGCGCGGCAGGATCTGGTGGACGATCTCGAAGTCGATTTCGGAACGACAGCCAACAATCCATTCCCAGCCGTGCTCGGGGCAGTGGCCGCTCCGTTCGATCCGTTCGGGTCTGGCTTTGAGGTCAGCTCCTCTGACGGCGATGATTCTGTCTCGAGCGACCCATCGGCGGCAGCAGCAGCAGCAGCAGCAACAACAACAACAACAACAAGGGGCTTGCGGCCGTCGGTTCGCGCCAGCGCCACTGTCGCAGCACGAGCGCCCGTGGATATGGAAACCTTTGTCCTGGCGGTTGAATTTTGCAGGCTGTACTGCAATCCTCTGGGCATCCGGCCGATTATCACCCTGGACGACGTCCGCCAGTCGCTCTCGGGCAACTCTGCGGCCACGGTGACTGCCGCTGGTCGAGCCTTTGGAGGATTGGTGGGCGCCGTCCTCCGCAGCGATTTCAATCTTGCCCGGAACAAGAAGCAGAGCCACATCCCCCGCGTGGCCATTTCGGCGCAAACGTGGCAAGGCCAGCTGTCCAACTTTTTCCAGGAAAATCCTCACTTGGACCAGCTTGCAGACCCCGAGGCGCAGAAGCTCTTGGAACTTCTTGACAGGCGAGACTTTTGTCGGTGGCCGACAACGTCTCGTCTGCAATGCCTGTGGTTGCTGTGCGACATTCTCTCGACGTCCAACGCCTTTTTGGATTTGGCCGACCAGCACGCCGATGTCGTCGACGAAGGACGCAAGGAGCTGAACAAGCTCAAGAGCGAGCGCTTGGAGGATGAGTTGGCTGCCCTCGGCGTTGCCACTACCAAGAAACCGGCGTCTTCAAGCAGTCCGGCGTCAAAGAGCAATGCCAACAAGGGCGGGAAAGACACTGCTGAGGCCGCGGCAGAATTGTACGCGGCAGCGGCCGTGCTTCCGTCTGCCGCGGGTCTGGCCATCGATGACAAGCAAGTGGGCGTTGCGTTGACTGCAGCCATCAATGCCGGAGACACGACCGCAACACGAAACATTTGGGAGCGGTATTTACAGCCCATCCGCTCGAATTTGTTTGAGGCCGAGCAGTTTCTGCGCTTGCGACCCGTCGGACAAGACCGCTTTTTCAATTCCTACTGGCTGCTGTCCTCTTTCGAAGGCATTCTCATCCAGGGCGCGCCCGAGGCACGCTTGACCGAAGTCGTGGACGCGCTGCGGGAGGACGGGTCATCGCAGCCGCTGCTGGATGCGGAGGCAATGCAAGGCTCGCCCTCGGCGAGCAGTGGTGGCGCCCGCAGCCCCAAGGATGGCCAGTCCAAGCGTGTTGCAGCTGCGATCGCCCAGGTGACGCATCTCGTCGCAGAGCGGCGAAAAAAGCAGCAGCGGAACAACGCCTCCTTGTTGCGCACCGTCAAGAAAAACCTAGAGACGAGACCTGCAGCGTTCAAAGCAGCCGACAACACTACTACTACTGCTGCTGCTGCTGCTGGGAACTGGCTTGCAGTGACGGCACCAGCCGATATCGATCGATTGATTCAGGGCTTGGACGAGCGCGGGACTCGTGAAGCTCATCTCAAGCGCAAGCTGCTGCGACTCGTCGGGCGGATGCAAGTGATTGCGCGTCGCCTGCACGATCGGAACCGCCGTCTGGCTCTTGACAAGGACAAGGAGACGACGCGCGAGAACACTCGAGCAAGCTCCAGCCGTAGCCAAGTCGGCAACGGCGCGACCAGCAACACCGCCAAACCCACCATGACCAGCAACAGCAACAGTGGCAGTGGCAGCAGCAACGGCAGCAGCAGTATTGAGGCAAGCACGCCTGCTGCAGCCGGGGTTCAAGGGGAGGACGATGGCGCCGCAGTGCGCTCTCTCCTGGTCGGCTTGATCGACCAGCTCGTTTCACTGTCGATCGTGGGGCCAGAGAACTCTGTGCTTCTCACAACACCCGTGCCTGATGTGCGAAATCGCGAGCACACCCAACAGGAGCGCTTGCTGACTTCGGCGCATGGCTTTGCCCTCCAAGTCGCCGCATGGCGCGCGCGGGCGGCCAGCCTCACAGGTGTGCTAGCAGAGGCGCCTGGCATGCTCCGCCGTTTGGTCAATGCTGTGTGTGGAGTCGGGGCAGTCAAGCACTACTTTTTGGCTGGGCTCCCAGCTTGGGATAAGCAGCTCAACGAGGTGAAAACCTTTTCGCAGCTGTTCAATCGGATTGAAGAGTTCCAAGAGGCGGTCAGTTGGGCGTCTGCGGCTGCCGCTGCACGTCGACGGGTAAGGCGTTCGGGGAGGACCGTAGGACCGGGAGAGGGGGGGGGGAAAGGAATTTGGTATGACACTTTTGTTTGGATTGGAGTCTGATTTACTTGAAAAATTGCTCTTGTTGAACAGGTGACGCGAGGCGGTGCCTCTCGGCTTCTACCTGCAGCCGCAGACACGGATGGCAGTGACGGAGACTTTGCAGGCCGTTCGAGTGTCAAAAAGCCTCAGCGCGAGAACGAGGACCACTGCAACGCTTGCAAGGCGCGCGGCAACGTCCTCTGTTGCGACTATTGCCCGCGCTCGTACCATTTGAAATGCCTCAAGCCTCCAATGTCCAAGCCGCCGCGCGGTGACTGGAAGTGTCCGATTTGCGTGAGTGAAACAGAAGCGACAACAACAACAACAACAACAAAAAAAAAAAAAAAAAAAAAAAAGGATGCATTTGCGACTCACTCAAACGTGCTGGCGTGACCTTTGAAATGATGACAGAAAAGCGCAACACGGCACTCTCAACGTCGATCCGAAGGCCGTGCGCGGCCATCAACTGACGAGGACGGAGCTGATGACGATCAAAGTGGCGACAGTGATGCAGCTGGCCATTCCGACGCTTCTGAATCCGAAGCCGATGAGGGAGAAGGCGAAGAAGCGGACGACGATGACGATGAAGCACAAGAAGGAGAAGAAGAAGAAGAAGAGGACGAGCAGCCCATCGTGATGTGTCATATTTGCAACACTGACGTTGAGGTCGGAGGAGAAGGACGTCCTCTCGTCTGCGTGTGTTGTGCCCATGCGGCTCATCGCGGTGTCTGTGCCAAGAAGAACTCTCCTCGCGACGTCTGGCTGTGCCAGGATTGTGTAAGGTCATCGAGATTGTTTTGGAAGGGTTTTGGGTATGATGTTGATGCCAACATTTTTTTTTTTTGTTTTTCCCTCGATAGACTCAACCGAAACCGGTGGTTTGGGCCAAACTTCGTGGCTTCCCATACTGGCCAGCGCGTGTGTTGGAGACCAAGGACAGGAAGAGTCTCGTGAGCTTCTTCCAAACAAAAGAGTGAGCTCAGCAGATTCAATGTTGTGACAAAGGTTTGTCTCTTGCAGCCAGGCGTCGTGTTTCTCACGCATTGTGCCGCGTGTAAACAGCGTCGCGACCGTTGGAACAGAGTCGATTGCACCCTTCCCGGCCGCACCTCCGCAAAAGGCGTCCTCTGCAGCACGTGCAGCTGCATCGATTGCTCGGCAATACCTGAACAAGCTTGCAGAGTTGGCCAGCGGCGATGCAACTACTCAGCCAGATTCCAGCAGCACTCGAGCCATGACCGAGGACTCTGCAACAGCAACCACCACAGCTGAAACAATGATGGACACTTCTGACTGATGATGAATGTCACGAAACCATGTTCAGCCACCAAATGTACGCAAAATTAGTGGCATCCCTAGAACGGCGTCCCAATTAAAAGATTCAGTTGCAAGTGGTAGATGAAGAGAACAACAGGTTTTCGTTTTTTTGTTTCCGCAAGTTTATTTTGAAAAAGGCAAGCAGGTGCGTTGGGGGAGTCAAATTTTTTACACAAAAAAACACAAACGCTGACAAACCCAGAAACTCTCGCTTAGTAGACGCTGCGGACGTAAGCGACATAGTCGAGGCCACCGCTGGGGTGGGCAGGGGCGCGCGAGATGACATACTCGGCCTGCACTGGGGGCAGATCGCGACGGAGCTCGTCGGCAGTGACATAGTCCTTGCCGCCGGCAATGACGCGGAAGGACTCGATGATTTGGTCGGCAGAGTCAGTGTCAGCGTTCTCGTTGCGCATAAAGTCGACAAAGCGGTCAAACTCGACGTAGCCCTGGCCGTCGGGATCGACCTTGGCAAGGATGGCGTCGTAGGTGGGGTCGGCTTCGCCAGCCTTGACCTCGGGCAGAGAGTAGCCGGTCGAGAGCAAGCAGGCGCGGAACTCGAGGCGGTCGAGGCGGCCAGAGTTGTCCTTGTCAAAGTGGCTGTACGACTGGCGGTACTCTTGGATTTGCTCCTCGGTGAGACCAGACATGTCGCGAGTGAGGATTTGGTTGTTGAGCGTGTTGAGCGAGCGCTGGAGGAGGGTGTGGACAGACTCCCAGTTTTCGCGAATCGACTCGATGGGGAAGTTCGAGTGCTTGTTCTCGAGAATGACAGCCTGCTCGATGCGCTGGTTGATCTCCTCAATCTGCTGCAGGCGGGCTTCCTCACCCTGGAGGGTGGCCTGCTGCGCCTGGAGGAACTGGAGCTGCTCCTCAGAGGTGCCAGTGGCGCCCTGAGCAAGGGTGGCGTTGGTGGTCTGGAGCCACTCGCCAAACGAGTTGGCGTTGGCAGCGTACTCGAGGCGGAGCTGCTCGTTGTCGTTCTGGCGGCCAGTCTCGGTGGCAATGTCGGCATCGCGCTGGACGGCGAGGGCCTGGATTTCCGACCAGAACTGCTCAACGTCGGCGACGGTGAGGGTGGTGTAAGGGTTGTCAGAGACGCCCTCGGCGGCGAGCTGCGAGGCAAGGCCGCGGAGCTGCTCGAGCTCGGCCTCCGGGTTGGCCAGGTTGAGCTTGTACTGCTCGTGGCGGGACTGGAGGTCGTTGATCTCGTCAATGCTGTAGACCTTGAAGCTGTCGAGCAAGTCCTCCTTGGCAGACTCGTGCCAGTTGGCAAAGGCAGCAGCCTTGCGGGCAAAGTCAAAGCGGAGCTCGTCCAGGGCCTTCTGGCGACGCTCGCTCTCCTCGAGGCGGGCGCGACGGTCGGCGCTCAGGCGCTGGAGCGAAGCATAGCTGTCGCCGCTCGCGTTAACACGGTCCGACACGGCCTGCGCGCCAGAGTAGTTTTCAGAGATGAGCTCCTGACCAGCGGTCTGGATGCCCTCGACGCGGGCAGCGCGGGCAGCGAGGTCGGCCTCAAAGGCAGAGTGCTGCTTGAGGAGGGCGGCAACCGAGGCGAGGGAATCGCCAACGTCGGCAGACGACAGGTACTGGTCCTTGCCGTCAGCCCACGACTCGAAAATGGCAGCCTTTTGGGCAAACTTGGCGGCGAGGGCCTCGAGCTTTTCCTGGCGGATGAGCTCGTGGCGAAGGGCCGACTCGTGCTCCTTTTCAGCGGCCTCGAGGTTTTTCCAGGCGTCGAGAACGGCGTGGATGGTCTTGTCGGCGGCGGGCTGGTACGAAGGGCGGTTTTTGAGGCGCAGCTTGGTCTGGATGGTCGAGAAGCTCGACTCGAGCTTGCTCTTCTCGGCAGACTTGGGCGGGCGCTCGCTGACGCGGTAGTCGCGGAACTCGCTGAGCTTGTTCTGGACACCCTGGATCGAGTTGCCAAAGTCGCGCTCGGACAGACGGCTGATGGACTGCTGAATCCAGGCGAGCAGGGAGGTGACGAGGCGGTCGTACTCGTCAATGAGGGCGCCAATCTCCTGCTCAAAGTCGAGCAGCTTGCCAATGCGGCGGGCAGCAATCTCGTTCTTTTGCGACGAGGCAAAGGCGTGGTAGTAGGCAGCCACGTAGGTCATGACCGAGCGCTCGTCGGGCTTGGGGGTGTTGATCATGTCCTCGGGGTCGAGCATCTTGGGGATGCCAATGTCACGCTCCGCAACGTCAAAGGCAAGGTTGAGGTTGACGGCGGCGTCGCCAATCTTGAGCGAGTCGTAGTCGATCGTCTCCGGGCGGTGGCGGTGGATGAGCGCGGCAAAGGCCAGACCGTCCTTGAACGAGACGTGGAAGTTTTGAATGTTGACGCCGCGGTAGCCCTTGGTCTTGCGCTGGCACCAGAGGAGCAGACCCTCCTTGGCAGACATCTCCTCGACGGAAATGTCCTGGATTTGGAAGCGAAGAATGATTGTCCAGATCATGCCGAGCGTCATCTTGAGGTTGCCGTCGCAAATTTCCTCAGCGCCAATGCCGACGAGCTTGACGTTCTTGGACTTGAGAAAGTCAAAGCCCTTGTTGATGTTCTGAATCTTGTGCAGACGCATCTTGCCAGTCTCGGGCTTGGGCAGCTTGTCGCCCGAAATGATTTCGAGCAGCTTGAGCAGCTTGACACCGTCGTTAAAGTCGACAGTAATGTCCTCGATCTTGATGCCGGCCTTGCCGAGGTTGGCGTTGCACCAGGCAGTGAACGTCTTGCGCTGCTGGCGCTCCCAAGCGTCGTCGAGCAGCAGCTTGGCGACCTGCGGCTCCTGTTGATCAGCGGGCACACCTTCCGACATGTTTCTTATGCTTGTGCTTTTGAGAGTCTGTCGCGAGGCAAAAAGAGAAAGAGAGAGAGAGATCAGAGTGAGTGATTCAGAGTGAGTGAGAAATGGCATTTTTCGACAAAAGGGAAAAAAGGCGCAGTTTGAGAAAAAGAAGGGGAAAAAAGAAAAAAAAAAAGCAAACTGCGCATGATCCAAAGTTGAATCTGAGTGTGGTGGTCACAGAGCGACAGTTCAAGGATGGAAGATGCTAATGCTGATGCTGATGATGCTGATGATGATAGATTACATTGGACAGACAGCAGTGCAAGGAGTCAAAGTAGAAGAAGAAGAAGAAGAAAAAAACGAAAACCCACAAAAAAGACGTTTCATGCCACACAAAGGCCGCTTGCTGTGTCCCTCCGCTTTGACCGACACGGATCGATCGCAAGTCACAACAGTGTCTCTCCGCATCATTGACAGACCAAGATGCACCCAGCACCACCATCATCATCCCACTGCACTCATGACCTCCTTCAATCTGGTGAAAGCTGCTGCTGATGCTGACTGTGATGACAACGATTTTCCACGAAATTTTCAAGATCTGTGCTTTTTCGTTTTTTAAAATAAAAATACAAAATAATGAAATAAAAAAAACTTGAACAGTTCTCAAAGAGAGAGAGAGAGAGATCAGACCGCCAAACGCCCGATTGGAGTCGCTGAGGTTTGTGACGAGCAAGCAAGTGGAAGATGGAAGAGAGCGGGGAGCAGTCAGCCCGTCGGCAATCCGTCCAGAGCGCGACCACAAACTCGAGGTTTTTTTTTTTTTTTTTTTTTTTGGTTTTTTGTATTATTTCCTTCTTGGGACGGATTTTTTTCTTTTCAAACAACACACTGCAAGCAAGCAAGCAGGAGGGGCTGGGGGCGGGAGGGGGTGGGGGTTTGGATTCATGCAGTCATGCAGAATAAGGGAGCAAGACACTCGAGAGTTATGAGAGATGGAGAGCAGGAAGCAAGAGCGGCAATGAAAAGTCACAAAACAACGATAAAATAGAAAAAAAAAAAAGAAAAAAAATAGAAAAACCAGAAAAAATATTCAAACCCCTTACACAAAACAAAAATGCGAGTGAGCTCATCATCCTTGCTTGGAGTCTAAGACAACAACGGATCACTAAAACATGGAAACCAAATCAACACAAAAGCAACGATAGTGGTATGTGAAAAAAATGCTGAAAGCCCGGAATTCCTTGAAAAAAAACAACAAGATTTGTGGACAAACTCGTTTGTGTCACCCGCAACCACCTCAGCTCACCGAATACGAGCATGAACACTGCAAGTCAAGTCGGGAAAGAGGCGAGGCGAACAATGGGTGTGAAACAACGCTCCTGTGCGATTGCAACACGCACGACATTTTTAGTATTGAATAAAAGTCTAACGGAAACGAACAAAAACACTGGGGATGGATCCTGCAAAACAGCGACGCTTGCTGCTGACGGGGGCATTAATAGTCTGTCTCGGCATCACGCGAATACGAGCGCGGGCCCTTTCCGTTGCCAGACTTTGGCGGCCACGGCACCACTGTCAAGGGCTGGGTGATTGGGAAGTACTGTGGGAGGAGCTGGCGATAGATCGAGTCGTCACTTTCAAGGAAGGTGCAGAAGATGATTCGGTCGATCTGTTGGTGAGTTGGTTGGTGGTTGGTGAGTCAGCGTTGTCGCATGTTGATTTGGAAACAAGACAAACTCACCAAGTCAGAGTTTGCTTCAAGCCAACGACGAGTCGTATGCAAGGCAACGTGAGCTGTGCTCATTTTTTCGAAAAGAGCCAGCGGCAGGAAAACAACGGAAGGTAAGTGTGATGAACACACACGCGCACAACCAACACTTTCTCTCAAACACAATCATTCATCGAAAACCCTTCTCTTCAACCACACAATCATCGAAAGCCCTGCAGTCTTCAACACCCAAACTTCTTCGTACCTGCTTGCACAGGCGGGTAGCCGTAAACACCGGTGGAAATGCAGCAAAAAGCGACGGTGCGCAAGTTTGCATTCATGGCCTGATCCAGCGACTTTTCGTAGCAACTCTGCAGCAACTGAGGCTTTTCGCCAATGGGACCGACAGTATGGATGACATAGCTTGCTGGGAGACGAAAGCCCGGTGTGATCTCGGCCTGGCCTGTGCGGCAGCCGTTGCGAAAGCGCGTTTCGCAGTATTTGCGCAAGTCCGAGCCGGCTGCGCGGTGAATGCTGCCATCCACGCCACCGCCACCGAGCAAGCTCTCGTTGGCGGCATTGACAATCGCGTCAATCTCGAGTGTCGTAATGTCACCGCGCCAGAGCGAGATTTTTGCGGCAAGATCGAGGTTTGTGTCGAAGAAGGCTTCTTTGCTCGCAGGCACTTTCTCTACAATGCACACATCGAAAGGTGAGGGCTTTCTGCAAAAGCCTTCCATGCATATGCATACATAACGTCCATCTAAATCATCTTACGTGCAGCGTATCGTTCCCACGTCGGGATGCTTTTCAGAAGGACAAAGTCACTGCCACAGCGATACGTCTTGCGGCGTTCCTGGAGCGACTTTGTCGGAGCAGGGGCGGCAGCAGCAGAAGAGCCAGAGTAACCAGAGCCAGCATAGGCAGGGAGAGGCCGGGCTTGAGCTTGGGAGTAGTGAGCATCATGACCAGCATAGTACGCAGAAGATGAGGACGAAGACGTAGGCGGTCGTTCAGTGCTGAAAGCAGTTGGTGATGATGGCTGTCGCGTGCCAGCAGCAGCAGCAACAGGGCCAGCAGCAGCAGCAGAGCCAACATTCGCAGAAACAGCATAAGGTTGAGCAATCGGCGGCTGAGCAGCAGAGCCCATCACGTCATCAGCACGACGCTGCTGCTGCTGTTGATGCTCATGTCTCTGTTGCTCATGTCGCTGTTGCTCATGTTGCTCGTGTGGTGGTTGCTCGTGTGGTTGCTCCTGCTGCGGAACGGACGATTTTGTGTAAAAGTCGGTGATTTTCATTCTCAGAAAACAAAAGACTGCCTTATTTTTTTTTTCAGAGTTTCGCGTTCGTTTCCTATCGATTGTTTTTTTTTTTTCGCAATGAACTCTGTCTACTTGGTGCTTGCTCTAGTTCCTATGAATCCGTCCCCGTTTGTATTCACTGGTCAGTCCTTGTCAACTGAAACATGGCGCGAGTCCATCTCGTTCCGCTGACGTCCTTTGACGAAATCCTCGGCTTGTGGACGCGCGTCCTGCTGGAGGAGCCCATTGGCACTGAAGCAGACACTACCACCCAGGTGTTCTGGTAAGAGAAGCAAAGGAAGTCAAAGTCGCGCAGTCATAGGAAGTTAAAAGCATTGGAAAACTGAATCTCAATCCGCCATCCTCCCACTGTTGTTGGGTTGAAAAACCTCGATCGGACAGGCTGCAGACACGCACTCTGTTTGCGGACATCCGGATTCCAGTGCCAAACAAGATCAGCGGCAGCGCAGCAGCAGCTGCTGGTCGTCTCTACGAGCAGATTGCGCGGCAGAAAGGGTAAAAACAGTTCAACCGAAGTTCAATGCATGGTACAATGCACCCTAACCGTTGTGTGATGGCCATCGCGTGTTGGATTTTGTGATTGAAAACCTCAATGTATTCAAGATTCGCTGGAGTCACTGCAATCACACCGGCAGACACGGACAACGGGACGCCAGGGCAAATCACCTGGAATCGCACCATCGACTACCAGCCGCCCACGGGCATGGCGGATGTCGGATATGCGAGCTTTACTACGCAGACAAAGGACACTTTGATTGAATATGGTCTCGAGGGCGATGACTACAAGGAGGTTGGTTTGTTGGATTTTACGCGAGCCTGCGATTGTTCTTGTTGCTGCTGTAGTTGTGCCAGTGCTCAAGAAACTCAACCTCTCGAGTTGCTTGTTGAACTGACGTTCAAATTCAACCCCAACAGATCTGGAAGAGGGTCGATTGCAGCGCTGAAGGACTTGCCAACCAGCACATGCTGGCAATGACGCTTGAGAGCGAGGCAATCGCCAGCAAGAGCAACGATGAAACCTTTGTCAATCAACCGAGCGTGCAAGGCATCCTAGTCGGTGCCGGAGACCGTTTTATCAGCTGTGTGGATTCGCCGAGACAAGCCGCTTTGTCGCAAAACAACGCGCCCCTGACATTCTCGACGGCCGCCGCGTTCCTGGAAGCCGCGCGCAATACTACTACAGCTACCCTTGGCGATTCTACCACGCTTGGCAATCTCGAGTCAAGCCGCGCCGCGCTATTCGGTGTCGACATTGCTCTTTTTTCCTCCAGGCGGCTTCTGCTTTCCACGCGGGCTGACTCCACCCTTCCAACCGAAGAGCTATTCCTTGAGATGGTGGGCACGTTCAAGTTGGTCGACGACAGCACTGTCGTTCAGTCTCTGACGACCCAAGCCGGCGAGCGGATTCGTCGCATCTGGCGCGTCCAAGAGAACAGCTACCCGCAGTTTCCTCTCTCAACACTCAGCCCGTAGCTGTTGCAGTATGATTTACTGCAGTATGGATGTGCGTGATTCTTTTTTCTCCAACAAGTCAAGCCATTTTCAATCCATGACTTTGAACCACGGCCTCCGTACCCTCCAGCAACCCCTATTTCACATTTACTACGCCGCTTTACTACGCCACTTGAGTGTCGAGTGACCATAGTTCGACACTTGACCCTGGTTCGGTTGTCGGTTGACAGTTTTCGGGTCTTCGACCACAGCTGCAGCGATAAGGACTGCATGCAAGTGATGTTGCAGCGACGTAATGAACAAGACAAGTTTGTATGACGAGTAGAGCTTGTTTTGGACGTGGTACGCAGTCCTTGTTACTTGCTCGTTTCAATGCGAATCGTTGCATTGCTGCTGCTTTGCTCAGTATTCGCGATGAGTGCCAATGCGCTCCCCAGCGCACCCCGCGCCGCCCACCCAAGTATTGCAATCCCATTCACCAGTGCATGCGTTTGGTCGGTTTGGGCCCTGCGGTCTGTTGGGACGTGTGGCGAGCTTGGGCGATCTATTGTCGGCGCTTGTCACACCCCCTCCCCTTCCGTTCAACCATCCACACCTGCCTCATGCAACCATATTGATGCCCACTGAATTGCGCAATGCTCATTACTTCGTAGAAGCGCCAGTCCCTCCCGCTTCCAACCCCGCGCCTGTGGTCGGCGTCCTGCTCCAACCGACGTATGGCAACCTCGCGCCGTTCGGCTCCCAGCTGCTGCAGGCGAACATGGTCAAGTTTTTGGAATCCGGAGGCAGTCGCGTCGTCCCAATTCCTCTCGATGCGCCGGAGGACGTTCTCGACGGGCTGCTCCGAAGCGTGAATGGTCAGTGGTGGAAGATTTTCTGAGACGGACGAATTCTGAGATCATCAAGATATCGTTATGAGACAATTGAGAGATTGGGGTGATTCTAACAACGCAGATGGTTTCTTCTTTGTTCTTGTCCACACAGGCGTTGCTTTCATGGGAGGCGCAACCAACATTATTGTCGAGCCGGACAGCCCATACTTTGCCCAGGCAACGCGCATTTTCAACTACACCCTTCAGGCGAACGACGCCGGTGATTACTTTCCCTTGCTCGGGTAAGCACGCGGCTCAACAGCGCGCGAGAGAGAGTTCAACTTGAACTGGTTTTTGTTTTTCTTGAATTGACTTGTGGGGTTGCGTCGCAGCATCTGCCTGGGACATCAGCTCCTGCTCTTGATGGCTGGCCACGACCAGCATCTCATGGACAATATCACGTTCGACTCTGAGGATTTGAGCCTGCCGTTGGACTTTGCGGCCGATGCCGCTGATGCACGCTTTGTGCATGCCATTCCCGAGCAACTGCGGCAGCCGCTGCAGTTCGAGCCCCTGACAGACAACCAGCATCATAACGGCGTCACTCCCGACGCCTTTAGCAGGAATCGCCATCTGCCTTCCTTTTTCCGCGTGATTTCGACCAATCTCGATCGTAAAGGCCAGCCTTTCGTCTCCACCGTCGAGGCGTTCAACTATCCGATCTGGGGAGTTCAGTGGGTAAGATTTTTATGACAAGAGGCGGGGGTGGTGGAAGGTGGGTGGGAGGCAATGGGCTCGATTGTAAATTTCTGACCGACCTCCACGCTTGTCGTTGCCAGCACCCCGAGCGCCCGCTGTTTGAATGGTCGGACGAGGTGAATCGATCTCTCGAGGCCATCCAGGTCGGCCAGTTTGTGTCGTCCTTCTTTATCGAAGAGACCAAGAGAAGCCCACATCGCTTCCCATCGCAATCCGCCGAACTTGCCGCGCTCGTCTACCAAGACCCCATCACGTACACTTACGCGCTCACCAATGGGAGCTACGCACAGATGTACTTTTATCCACCGTATCATCAAATGCAGCGCTTCCAGTAGCTCGCAATGTTTTGGGTTTGCAAAAAACACAATACATTTTTTTTTTGTGTTTTTCGTCACACACACAGATTTACAACCGCATTCACACTACATACACCACAACAACAGCATGACTCTGTTGCTCGCTCTTTTATTGAGTCGCTAGCAGAGTTGATGCATCCTTGATTTGCTTGGAAAAGGACTGGTGAACGAGCGATCAAAACAAAGTCAGAACTCAGTGACACGCACCAACCATTCAATGAGCAAAACTTGACGCATTACATGGAATTCGGGCAACGAGAGCTCGAGGGCGTGTGTGGCCTGCTTGCCGCTGGGGTCTTGGACGACGAGATGGACGGCAACGTAGGCCGAGTGTGTAGCAGTGGCCTCGCTGGACTGCGCAGTGACGCCGAGCTTCCACTTGAAGTCAATCAACTGTTTTGAGACAGTGTTTTGTGTTAGGTTCAATCATAGTACGAGTGGATGAAGTCGTGAGTGAGCTTTGCTTGAATGAACGAACCAAGGAGAGTGATGAGAATTGGGATTGATCCACTCCTCAGAGCCACTCCCACCCAACAAATGAGACGTCTGCGTGTGCGTGCGTCTTTGTCACTCCAAGCACGAGTGGTTTGGTGTTGGAGTCGGTGATCGCTGGATTGCTGGATCGTTCAGCTTTGGTCATGAGTGCTCTGCTATTGGCCTCAGTCCTTCTGTGCTCTCCGATCGCCCATCGCCACCCGTTGTGGGTGATGCTCAATTGCGATTTTCACTTGTGATGAGCGAGCGATGGCGGGGTGGGGTGGGAAAGGAGGAAGGAGGAAGGAGCACAAACCTGGCCAACGCCAATCATTTCAGTCGCGGCTGCTGCAGTCGTCGTTGCCATTATTATTGTATGTGTGCACAAACAAGAGTGGAGAAGCAGAAAGAGAGATACACTACTAAAGCTCAAAGTTCATTCATTCATTCATTCATTCAAAAAGAGAGCTCTCATCCCGAATCGGTCTTCCCTCAACTCTTCACGATATTCATCAGTAAACGAAACTTTCGCATTCATTTTATCGTTTCAATAGTGAATCCAGGTTCAGTTAGGGGTAAGGTTGAAGCACACGGTCAAACCGTTCTCGTCTTTTCACCCAAAATCCAAAGCCTGTCAATTGTTCCCGTCACTGTTGCTCACCGACTATGAAACAAGAAAATGTTTAGCAAAAATCTGCAAAGTCAAAACAGTCAGTCGCTTTTGGATTGACTGGCAGTCCTTTGTTTGTTCAGCAGGTTGAATTCGAGGATTATCCAAAATGGTATCGTATAAGAAGATGACCAAGAGACAGCGCGAGTGGTACGACTACGTCAAGGATGCGAGTGAAGTACTCAGGTAAGAGAAAAGCCCGAGTTGATTTGGAACACAGTTGTTGACAGCGTGTGTGCTGACGAGAATGGAGGGAGCAGTGTGGGTGCGAATCAGATTGGCGATGCTGAAGCTCAAGCGATTGCAGGGGCACTCAAAGTGAATACGACGCTGCACAAGCTCTTGTGAGTCATCTCACTTTGACTGATGCATGGAAGCGGGGTATTCACTGTACTCACTGATTGCGGGGATGGACAGTCTGCGCCAGAATCGGATTGGCAACGCTGGAGCGAAGGCGATCGCTGAGGCACTCAAAGTGAACAAGACGCTGACAGATCTGAGGTAAGGCAACTTTGACTGGTCCATTTGAGTGGGTAATCCAACAAAGAGCATTCAGAGTGCTCACAGATGGAAGGGACCAACAGCCTAAGTGGGAATCAGATTGGCGATGCTGGTGCGCACACGATTGCTGAAGCACTCAAGGTGAATACGACGCTGAAGGAGTTCTAGTAAGGCATCTCACTTTGACTGATGCATGAGAGTGGGGTATTCACTGTACTCACTGATGGAGCGATAAACAGTCTGTACCAGAATCAGATTGGCGATGTTGGAGCTCAGGCGATTGGTGAGGCACTCAAAGTGAACACGACGCTGGCTGGGCTCGAGTAAGGCATCTCACTCTTGCTGGTGCATGAAAGTGGGCGATTCAGAAGAGCGCCCATTGATCGAGGGGAGAAACAGTCTGGACTGGAATCAGATTGGCGATGCTGGAGCTCAAGCAATTGCTGAAGCACTCAAAGAGAACACGACGCTTGACACGCTCTAGTAAGGCATCTCACTCTTGTCGGTGCATGTGAGTGGGTGATTCAGAAGAGTGCTCACTGATGGAGGGAATGTGGACAGTTTGAGTGCGAATCAGATTGGCGATGCTGGAGCGAAGGCGATCGCTGAGGCACTCAAAGTGAACAAGACGCTGACAGGGCTTGAGTAAATATCGATCGCTTCAAGGTGCTCTGACAGCCGTTAGACTCATGCTCCAATCTGACGATGTCATTGACAACAACAACAGTTTGAACAGGAATTTCCTGACCAGCACTGGAATCAATGCACTCAGGCAAACGGGCAGTACCATTTGTAACTCTAAGTAAGACTGCTTGGGTTTTTTTGGATTCTTGCATGAACAACAAGCCACTCACCTGCTTTTTGGCGAACTTGGGTTTCCGAACAGAGACCTTGACCAGCAGCGTGTTCCGTCGTCTGTCGAACTGGCGCAGATTGCAGCTCGTGCCGCTGCGAACGTGGCAGAGATTCAGCAACTGCGCGCCAAGTTGGCCACGAAAGATCAGGAGCTGCAACAGCTTCGATCCGATCTTGCTGCCAAAGACCAGCAGCTTACCGCCAAAGATCAGGCGCTTGCTGCCAAAGATCAGGCGCTTGCTGCCAAAGATCAGGAGCTTGCTGCCCAGGCTCATAAACTGCAGTCAGCTCTTGATCGGATCGACGTACTTGAGCACAACCAAGCCGCCATTGGATCTTTTTCGAACTTTGACGGACCCGTCCCACAAGTGCCTCTCGCAACTCTCGTCTCCGCCACGAACAACTTTGCCACTGATTCTCTGCTCGGCGAAGGAGCATTTGGTCGCGTGTACGGCGCCAGTTTGCCTGGCCCTCGTGTTGCCATAAAAAAGCTATCCGCCGAATCCAAGCAAGGCACGGTCGAATTCAAGTCGGAACTGGACTCTCTTTCGAAATTCCGTCACGCAAACATCATTGCCATTCTATCGTATGCAGAAGAAGGCGACGAGCGATGCCTGGTTTACGAATTCATGCCCAACGGCTCTGTGCGCGATCGCCTGAATCGCAAAAACAACACTCCTTCTCTGACCTGGGCCCAGCGCCATCGCATCGCGGCCGATGTTGCCCGCGGCATGCACTACGTCCAGACAGCCTTTCCTGACCATGCACTGTTCCACCTCGACCTCAAGACGGACAATGTTCTGCTGGACGCGTACTTTAACGCAAAAGTGTCTGATTTTGGTCTCGTCCGTGCTGCTCAACACCTCGATGATAAGAGCTACCTTCGTACACAAACCGTTCAAGGCACAGCTGCTTACATGTGCCCCGAGTTCTTCGACGAAGGCCGCATGACCATCAAGACGGACGTTTATGCTTTTGGCATGATTTTGCTCGAGCTCGTGACCGCCGCCAAGCCTGGCAACCGCCTGAAAGAAGAGATGCGAAAAGCTGTGAAAAATCAAGCCGTCCTTGGCATGCTGGACTCGGCGCTCAAGCTAACCGAAGCAGAGCGTCAGCGCGTCGGCGAGTTTGTCACGCTTGCCATGGAGTGCCTTGAAGGTTTTGCCGACGATCGCCCATCCTTTGGGCAACTCATTGCTCATTTGGATCCTTGATGACAATCGGAAAACATGCTGTATTGCACGTTTCTGAAGAGGGTGAGTTTATTTGTCATTACCCACACCTTCTCATAATAGAGAAGGTGTTTGGGCTCGAGATCACAGTCACTTGCTCTCCTCGCGGATGTTGTTGTTGTTGTTGCGGTAGATCTCGTTGCAGTGGTTGTGGTTGTTGTTGTTGTTGTTGTTGTTGTTGTTGTTGTTGTTGTTGTTGTTGTTGTTGTTGTTGTTGTTGTTGTTGTTGTTGTTGTTGTTGTTGTTGTTGTTGTTGTTGTTGTTGTTGTTGTTGTTGTTGTTGTTGTTGTTGTTGTTTCTTTGTTTGTTTAGTGCCTCACGCTCGTTTTCGCAAATGCAAATCGTCACTCAATCAACATCCTTTGCTGTCTTGCTGCTAGTTTTTACTTTATTGTTTACTAACTTGTTTTCCAAGAATGGTAAAGATCAAACAAACCCAAAAATTCTGCACGAAAACACACCGCACGATCAAGGCAGCGAGCTTTGCCTGGTTGGACGTGGTGGCCGAATCAGCGCCCGCCCTGTATCGCGACATGATGATGGTTTGATCGAGCCAGGGCGCGTTCGTCTTCATGCTGATGAGCCGGTCGGTCAGGTCGTTGATGGTGAGTTGGTACATTTCCGCATGAAACGTCTCGTTGGCTGCCGCCCACCAGTTTGTAATGAACGGGTACGAGTTGTCCGGGTTGAGGAAGGCGGTAACTTGCACATTGTCGAGCGTAAACACTGGCGCCGCAGTGGAGAGCATTCAGTCTGTTTTTTTTTTTTTTTTTTTTCTCTTTATTGTTCGATTTTCCAATGCAAATCAACTTTGAGGTGACGAAAGTCAACCGCCGAGGAGTTGTTCAGGCAAGTTTCAAACCGAGTTGGTCTCTTCTCGATTCCAGCTTCAGGACGAAGCGACAGACAGTGTGGTTGCAGAGCGTGAGAGAGAGAGCGACGGACAGGGTTTTAGTAGCATTAAGCGAACCAACAGATCACTTTTCACTCGCTCACTCGCTCGCTTTGAGTTTACACCCCGAACCGGACACACTCGGCAACACAGCATGCGACGACGAAAGCAACAAAGACACTTTTGTGCTGGGAGTGTGACGCATGGCGAGCGGACAAGTCGCGAGTCGAGAGTGAGAAGCGAGTGACTTGTGCCATGATGGGTCTTGTGGTTTGTGGCAAGGTGGTGGACGTAGAGCGCTGCGAGCGTGGTTGGGTTGGAGGTTGGGGGTTGAGGGCAAGACAGGACGACCAGTGCATTGGACGACCGCACTTGTACCGGGCTGTGGGGCAACTCGTGGGTGAAGCGGGAGTTGGGATTGGGAATCAGCCGGTTCTGAGCCGGTTCTGAGCCGGTTCTGAGCCGGTTCTGAGTCGAAAAAAGCAGACAAACGAATCTTATTAGAAAACCGAGCAAACCCGAACAAGAATTATTCCGACATGAGCTCATCTTTGTTCTCTGTTCTTTTGTTTGGGTTTTGATTTTGCACAGAGCCGAATCCTGCAGCTGGATTTCGAGGAGCGGTCGCTCAACAACCTCAAGAAGGGCAACGTGCAAAAGTCATACGTCTTTGCCGATATCCAGAGTTGCGAGGTGGATGTCAGAAACCCGACACGCCTGCTCGTTCATTTCAAGAGTCGCACTCCGTACGTTTTTAACTTTACTCTGCTCTACATGCTGGGGTGAATCGGTTTTCATTCCGTTTCCATGGCGAACGCCTCCTCACAAACTCATCTTGGTGTGCTGCCAGGTACGAGATTGTCACCTTCTCCCAAATTGACCGGGACGCCCTGTACCAACGGTTTCAGAGCATTCTCGACAACCAGCGACAGTACGACGAGTTTATCGAGCACAAACGAGTACGTAGGCAATACCATATCATGCATAGCATGGGATGCATGGATTTTCACGGAATATCGACCGAGACCAACTCAACCGGTTTTTTTTTTCCTTCAACTTCTCCTTCATGCATCAACTCTCGCAGAAATCCGCCGCTGGCTTGCTGCTGCTAAAGGCGGGTTATGCTAGCAAACACGGCAAGCTCCACTGGGCACGGAGACGCTTGGTACTTTACCCGGATTTGCTGTCAGTGTATCGCGGCGACAAGGAACCGTCCGAGGATTTCTTCCCGCTCAATGTCATCTCGTTGGTCGACATGACCATGTCGGGAAAGGGCAATGCCGTGTTGGTTGTGACCACCAAGATGCGATCGTACGAGTTCAAGTTTGAAACAGAGGTACAGTGTCGCAGGCAGAAAAAGCCGCCATTTTTCACGAGATGGCTCGCACGCTCAATCTGCATTTTTTCTTCTCATTGCACGATAGGTCGAAAGAGACGCGTGGCATGCTGCCATCTCAGCCGCAATCGAGGCAATCACCATCTGCCCTCCACCAGTGCCAGCAGCTCCAGCCGAAACAACCTTGCTGCCCGAGCCAGTGCCGTTTTCGCGCCACGCCTCAACGTCCTCCGACCAGCCAGTCGTACGCTCGTCCTCCAATGGCCGGGCAGAGAAGCTCTTGGCTGCAGTAAAGTCAATACCCCTGCCAAAGTCGCCGGTGGCGCTCGTTGCTCCAGCGGCGGTTGGGCAAGATTTGCCAACCTCCTCCAAGTCAATTTCTGAATCGTCTCGTCCAACAAAGGACGAAGACCCATTTGAGAGACAGTCTGCATCCGCCAGCGACGCGCCTGGAGCAGTGACAGCTGCATCGCAAGCTGCCGCCGCTCAAGTTTTCGCAGGGATGGCCGTGCTTCCGCCAGGAGTGCCCGTTTTGCCTCCAGTCGCGTCTGGTGTGTCGCAAACAGCACCGGCAGTTGTTGCCCCCAGCTCGCCACCCGTGGTGCTGCCGTATGCGGCGTCAATCAGGCAAGATCGCGTCCCGAGCGTCGAGCTGACAATCGCGCAAGCAGACGCCCAACAGGATGGCCAGGCGCAAGAGCTGGACCTGTCAATACCCACCGAGCAGGATCTTGCGGCTCTGGTTGAGCAAGAGCTGGCAGCCTATGGCGCGCTAGATCTGAACACTGCCGCGACTCCAACTCTGGACAATGCCTTTGATTTGTGCAACGCCATGATGGCGGATATTCTGCAAACAACATCGTCTGGCAGTTCAAACGCGAATGCATTGCCGCCATCGACGCCGCTCTCTGAAAAGCAGCATGGCACCGAGCGCTCTTCTGTGGCCTCGGTTGCCTCGGTTGCCTCGGTTGCATCGGTCGCATCGGCCTACGACGAAGCGAAAGTCCTCTCATCACTCCAGGCGGCTGCCACAGCGGCCGAGCTGGCCGAGCCTCGACAGAAAGCTGCATCCCTCGAAAAACCGCACTCGCATTCGCTCATTGTGCAACTGCCATCTGTCGCCGCCACGCTTGCTGAACAGTTTTCTAACGTTACTGACGACACCAAACTGCGCGCTCACAGCACGATTGTCCAGTCCACTCCTGCACCTCCCGCGAGTAGCGCCACGCTCAGAACCGCCGCCCTCATTCAGCAGCAGCGTGCCTACCGAGCATCTGCTCTGCTGGGCTGCGACGACGATTCGAAGATTGTGCTCAAGAGTCGATTCGACCAGTTCCACTCCATCTTTATGCCCGAATCGGAACGATAACTTGACTTGTTTTTCGACAATGAGATTGTGTATGTAACATGTGCTGCTGTGTTGGATTTTTTAAAAATTGCTCAGTGTTCGTAACAGCTGTGTAACATGTCAATCGCAAAAACGCAAATTGTGCGGAAGAAGAGGCTAAAAGTTAGATTGTCAACAAAACGTGTTGCGAGCACGCAGTACCCGTCATCACAGAAGCAAACACAACAGAGCACCAAGGTTAGAAGATGTACAAAGCAGAAACAACAACAACAGCAACAACAACAACCACGCATTTGACAGTGGTTACAAGATCAAGACAAGCAACGACAACACCTGAGAAAACACCATCAATTTGAAACTCGTCAAGTTTCGATTGTGCCGAGCGCCATCGAACAAACAAAACGGCAACAAGAACGGCAATGTCAAGTTCAAGCATCGTCCTTCTTCTTTGAATTGCGCGGTGGCTTCATTGGCCTGTCTCCGTTGCTTGGGCCGTTGTACGCGTACTTTGTTTTCTTTTCCGCTGGCTTGAGAATCTGAACAAAGAAGCAAGAAAATGCAAAAAAGTGTGAGTAAACTAAAGCAGAAGAGAGCGTTTTGTTGAAATCGAACATTGGAAACAATCCAACTCACTTGGAACGAGCACATGAGAGTGTCGTCTACACTCATCATGGCACCGGCATTGTCGAATTCACCGCAGTAGTTGGGGGCTGAGAATAGTGTCACCAGTTGCCGCTTGGCGTAAAACTCGTAGCCGTCCTCGACGACCTGGTGGGCACGGCAGATCAAATCCAAGTCCATCTTGAGCAGGAACTTGGACACAACCTCGGGGCCGAACGTGAAGGACACGCCGCGCTCGTTCTCACCCCAGCCCGCAACGTCCTTGTCTGGATCCGACCACAGCAGGTCGCAGAGCAAGCCCGTGTCTGGGACGTCGGTTGGTCGCTGGATTTTACGAATCTGGTCCATGGACTGCAGGTCTGGTGACAAGCCGCCGTGGCAGCAAAAGATTTTCTCGTCAATGATGGCGGCGATGGGCAGGCAGTTGAAGCAGTCGGTAAACGTCTTCCAGATTTTCACGCTGTACCGACGTTTGCCTGTGTTGGGTGAAGGGAGCATGGGAGATGAAGTGAAGGATGAATTCAGACGTTGCATCGAGCGAGGGAAGAGCGAAGGAAGAGCGAGGTCCAAAAAAAAAAAAAACTTACACTCGTCGTAAAAGCCATAGATGCGGTTGATGCTGGCGCACTCGTGGTTGCCACGCAGCAGGAAAAAGTTCTCTGGGTACTTGATCTTGAAGGCGAGCAGCAAGCAGATCGTCTCGAGCGACTGCCGCCCACGATCGACGTAGTCGCCGAGGAAGAGGTAGTTGGATTCTGGCGGCAATCCGCCGTACTCGAACAAGCGCAGCAGATCGTAGTATTGTCCATGGATGTCGCCTATCGCCGCGAGACACAGACGCGCCCACGTTAGGGTAGTTTTATGATGAAGTGAGTGACGGCAGGTTTGGTCGAGTCAGAACGAAGCGAGGCGAGGCGAGGCGAGGCGACAGAGGTAAGCAGCGAATTGTTCAATGGAAGACCATTGTTGTTTGTTGTTTTTTGCTTTGAGGTTCGGCAAAGCAATCAAAGAGGACCCCCCCCCCATCGACGCACACACAACACGGCGCACAATGTAAATGGCAGGACCCCCCCCCCCCAAGCCAGCCAGCCAGCCAGCTGCACTCGCGAGCCAAAACAGCATCGAGAGCGGCAGAGTGGGCGGGCAGATTTAAGAGTGAAAAAAAAAACAATAAAAATACAATAAAATAACTCAACGTTTGCTGCTGTGCTTCCATCTCACTCGCTGCCGTGTGCAAGGTCAAGACAAGGCCTCGCTCTACTCCTCCATGACAGAGGGAGGCTGTGTGTGTGGGGGCCCTCCAACCAGCAGACGTTACATTGTCTTAAAAAAAAAAAAAAAAAAAAAAAAAAAAAAAAAAAAAGGACCCTGCCTTTCCTTTCTTCTTCATCTATTCTATTCAAGGCAAGCTGCCGTCAAACTCACCGCAGACCTTGAGCGGCGCCTGGATTTCGAGCAGGATGCTCTGCTGCACAAAGATCTCGCGCGCCTTGAGACACAGCCCGCGCACCTCGTCTTCGCCCAGCTGCACGGCTTTGCCCGGCCGGCTGCCTCGCACTGCGGACATGATGAACAAACAGAGAAAAAACAAAAAAAAAAAAAAAAAAAAAAAAAGGTCAGTTCTTTTGATTTGCATTACGATTACAACTCCTTCCTGGGGTGTCTCTGGTCTCTTCTGCTGCAGTGTGGCATCACACACCTGCGAGAAGGCGCTCGATGATGCTGTCAATATCAATGTCGGGTATTGGGTCGCGGAACGGCGAAGTCGATGCCATGGTTTTGAGATGGCGAAACAAAGACTGAGGTTTTTGTGTCAACAACAGAGTTCTGAGAAGCTGTGAGCTGTTGATGAGATCAAGTACACAGCACGCCGATCTCATGCATGAACCGCTTGTGATTGAACCCCCAGTCGCTTGAAAGCTCAGCTTCGTCTCGTTGATTTGTCGCTCAGCATTTTGAGCTTTCTCCAACACACCTCGTAGATCCAGGGACAGAGCTAGAAACAGCCGGCACGGTCATTTTGGTCGTGTGTGAAATGTCAGAGTTATCCAAGGGTTTGAAAACATTGGTTGAACGAGAATTTTGGCTGGTGAACAAAGCGCAATCACAAAAAGACAAACCACGACAGCAAACCAAAAACTCGCAGATAAATACAACATAATTTAGAGAATACAGTCAGATTTACACAGGATACTCTTCGTCGTTCACGTCCAAACTCACTCCGCCAAAGCTGCGGTCGGTGTCGTAGGCAAGCGCATCGTGCTCAGCCATTTGTCCCAGTTGGTCGTCGTTGCAGGTGCATGCAGAGCAGGCGTCAATCACATCTTCGTCGTCGTCGTCGTCGTCGTCCTCGTCACCGTAGGGATTGGTGCCGACAAAGCAATCCTCCAACTCGCTCTCGTCCAAATCGAGTCCAAGCGATTCCTTGATGCTTGTGCGCTGCGAGTAAGACCACGTGTCTTGCGTGATAACTGACGACTGCGAGTCTGGTAATGATGGTTCTGCCCGGGGAGTCTGTTGATTCAACGACGAGGCGGAAAGAAGGTTTTCGTCCACCGCGGCGACAACAACCGCGGGATTGCCATTGCCAGCATTGCCAGCATTGCCAGCTGCTGCAGCTCCAGACAGAGGACCAGGAGGGATGGAGAGACTTTGCCTCACTTGCTGAGGATGCAGCAGCAGCGTGATCGAGCCGTCTGATCGGCGCAGAATAGACACCTGAGCAAACGCATCCATGATGGCACAAGTGACACAGCCATGCCCTGCGTTCTTGTAGTAGTAGCCCACACTGTCTAGCAACATTGAAAGCCACAGTGGGTTAGTTTTCGGGAGGACAAATGGCCCAAATAAGAAACAACGAGCAGGTTTTGACTCACTGTAATCCGCATCGGAGGGCATGGCACGCGCCATCTCGCCATGGCCATCGATCCACTCGCGCGTTGCGTGGAAGAAGACTCTCACTGTTGCCCGAAACACAAAGCAGCTTTGCCCCTTGCTGTTGACTTTTCGCTTGCCTCGAACCACCTGAAAATGGCAAAAAAAAATGGGAGAATGAGCGCTCTGAAATGCCCCCAACATCCAAATCTAGCCCATACCTTCAGCACTCGGCTGGACCAACCAGCAGGGCCCAGCATGGCGTTGGCAAGCTCGACGCACCGTGCATACGAGAGCAGCGATTGACGATTTGGCAGATTCTTGGTCGCAAGCGCCGCCTGACATGATCCATGTATTCCTTTGAGCGCTCATCCACGAAGCATCCTCGATATAATCGACACACGCACGAGAGAGAGAGAGACAGATTCTCTTACAGATAGTTGGTACATCCAAGACTCTGCTGCCGGACGATTGGCCAGCCATTCTCGCGGGTGCTCGAGCGCGTACACGGCGCGTTCTGCATCGCTTGGAAAGTAGAATCTCACAGTTCCATACTGACTGATTTCGTTATCTACAGCGACAGCGCACATCATCGAAGGGAAGAAAGTGAGATGAGTGCTCCATCGACAACGACAACAGTTTATCGACGACCACCGACTTGGAAATCGTCCCGGAACATTCTTGCTTTGCTGCAGATAGACGCTGTAGACGGGTCCAAACTCTCGCATCAGAGTCTGCCGTGCAATTCAAGTTTCAACGCAATGAGCGAAAGGCGAAAGGCGAAACGAAACGAAACGAAACGGAAACTCGAAAAACACAAATGCACACAGACCTTGAGAAGTTGCTCAGTCGCCTCGATTGGCAATTTGCGAATGTACACACGACATCCATAGGCTTCTGGCGTTGCGAAATGGGCAACTTCATGGCGCGGTTGCGGCGGAGGAAGGGCAGACGTACGACGTGAATCAAACAGTTTCACATCCATTTGATGCTGCTGGCGTGGCTGCCGAGGTGCAGGCGGATGCGGCACTGCAAACTCGCCTGCCAGACTGCTGGCATGAGCACGGGATGACGCACCGACAGCCACGTCGCGCTTGAACAGCGGGACAGTGGAGCTCGGTGACGATTTGAAACGCGCGGGATTTCGCGTGCAAGCACTCTTCCCATTATTGCCTGCAACGCGCGCCCCATCATCACCACCATCATCATCCGCAGCTGCGTCGTCGGGTGGGTCCTCGGCTTCCTCGTAGTCGGGGTGCTGAGAGTCGCCTCCTGCAAAGTCGCGCTCGCGCTTGACTCGCAGCTCGGCAAGCATTTCGGCGGAAGGCGGCTTTGGCGCGTTAAACCTGCCGTCGACCATCAACGCGGACACGGCTGCAATGCTGCTGCTGTTGCTGCTGCTGCAACTAACCGACATGATTGTTTTGTTTTGCAACAATGCACAACGCGACGAAAATGCGAGGCGGCGGTCGACAGCAAAGAAACTCGAACACCAAAAAAAAAACAAAAAAAAAAAACTTTTAGACTGAATGACCTCCCGTTTTTGTACTTGTCTTGCATGCATTAATAACAAACCAAGAAACAAGAAAAGGATGAGGCTGATACTCTGAGTGGTAAACAGAAAAACAAAACGAAAAGCAGACAAAGACAGCTCGGGTGGGAGGACAAAAAAGGCACACAGGAGAACAAGAAACAAAATCACGCACAACGGCTCAAGAATTAAAAATCAAAACAAAAGGAAGGGGAAGGGGGAGGGTGCCACACTTCTTTTGTTTAAGAGTTGGCAACAGAGGTAAATGCGGGGTTGACATAGGAGAAGCCAGCAAACTCCTCCTGATTAATGGCAAGAATGGTCTCGCGATCGGTCGGGGTGAGTTCAGCGTTTTCGGCGGTAAAGTCCTCGTCAAAGTTGTTGGCGTCCTTGCGCGACTTGATCTTGGGCTTGAACGGAGGCTTGATTTGGCGCGCTTCCAGCTTGGCCCAGTCGATGGCTTTGAAGAAGGCGTTGTTCTTGATGTCCTTCTCGCCGGTGGGCGAGCAACCCAATCGCTTGGCCACCGTCTTGGTCAAGTAGCCCTTGACAATGTAGATGGCGTCCTTGGAGAGCCACGACGGGTACAGGACGTCGTCCTGCAGAATGGCCTCAAACAGGTCGTCCTCGTTGTCGGCTTCGAATGGCGGCTGGCCCACCATCATTTCGTACATGAGAACGCCGAGTGCCCACCAATCGACCGACGCGCCGTAAGGCTGCTCTCGCAGAATTTCCGGAGCAATATAGTCGGGCGTGCCGCAGAACGTGCCAGTGGTGGCCGTGCCGGTGATGCCTTCCTTGCACATGCCGAAATCAGCCAGCTTGATGTGACCGTCTGCGTCAAGCAGCACATTGTCAAGCTTGAGATCGCGGTAAATGATGCCCTGCTTGTGCAGGTAGAGCAGGGCCGAGACAATCTCGGCAGAGTAAAAGCGGGCGCGCTCCTCGTCAAACTTCTTGGCGCGCTGGATCTGGAACATCAAGTCGCCGCCGTTAATGTACTCCATGACGAAAAAGATGCGGTCTTGTGTCTGGAAGCACGAATGCAGGTTGCACAGGAAGGGATGGCGGCCGGCGCTCATCAAGACACGCTTCTCAATGTTGGTGCACTCCACGTCGTCGTCTTGCAAAATAACATCCTTCTTGAGGACCTTGATGGCGTAGACGTCTTCGCTGCCCTTGCGCTCGGCCAGCATGACCTTGCCAAAGCTGCCCTTGCCCAGCACCTTCAAAAAGATAAAGTCCGAGAGCCCAAACTTGGACTTGTTGTTGGCGCCCCCTGCGGCGGCCGCCGACGCAACAACCGCCGAGGTCGTCGTCGTCGTCGTCGTCGTCGTCGTCGTGGATGGGGCCGTGGCGGCTGCAGCGGCGCGTGCAGTGGTCGGTGACACGGGCGGCATGCCTGTCGACGACGACTGCGGCGAGGTGCTGCTGCCACCAAGCGTCGCGCCAGGAACGGTGAGCGACGGTGCACTTGCTGCTACTGCCAGCGGCACGCTTGCGGCAGAGTCCGAGGCCGAGATCGACAGAGACTTTTTGGAGCGCGTGTTGCCGAGCTCCTCGGCGTTGGTACCAATGCGGGCCAGCTCTTCCGCAAGCAATCGCTCGTCCACGCCGCACGTGTGTGGCACCTTGTCCTGGCAGCGCTTGTGGACGTTGAGTTTGCACGCTTCGCAGCGCATGCCCTGTCGGAAGACACCGTACAGTAGCGAGCCGCAGTGGTCGCAGAAAGTGGGGCTCTTATAGTTGTAGACCTTGAATCGGTGTGGAATGTTGATCGAGAAGCGCTTGTCGGCGTCGTCTGCGTCCGACTTTGCATTGCCGGTGCACACGCTCACAATCTTCTCGTGGCACTTTTTGTGCACAACGACCTGGCAGATCTGGCACTGGTAGCCCTGCTTACCCAAGCCCCAGATAAAGCCCGTGCAGTGCGAGCAGAACGTTGGTTGGCGGAAGTTGCGAGCCATAAACTTGTGATTGTTGACCTCGTGGATTTTGCGCTTGCGGACGGCGCCCCGGCGCTTAAAGTTGTCTCCGCGCTGCTTGAACGCCGTCTTGTTCCGTGGTGCTTGTGCTTGGAAGTCGGCAATAATGTGGATGGAGCCGCAGGGCTCCAATTCAAACCAGGCCTCGTTCCTCCCCGTCGGGTTTTTCAAGAGCTGCTCTAGGGGCACGCACACGCTGGCAATGAACTGATCCGGCGGGACGAGTGACTTGTGAAAGACGATAATCTCCAGAGACCGTCCGCTGTGCACCTCCTCCTCAAAGTCCTCGCTCCAGATCGGGCAAAAGTTCTTCTGTTTGGCGGTGGTCTGTGCGATCGGCGTGTCGTCCACCTGCACGACCGCGTACGGGTCGATCGTTGTGCGCTTGATGCCGCCGGGCACATCGCGCGGCTTCAAGTCCTTGGCCTCGACGACCTTGACCTTGAGTGTGCCGCTGAACGTCTGGACGCTCGACGCCGAGCTCGAGCTCCTCGACGACGCAACGGACGCGCTCGAAGTCGACGACAGAAAGCTCATTCTGTCAAAGGGAAGAGTCGAGTGAACAGAGAGTCATCAGCAGAACAGAACAGAACAGACGGAACAGTGAGTTGCGGTGGTGCGGTTTTTTTCATTTACAAAGAAAGGCAAGGCAAAAAGGGCGCTTTTTTTTTTTTTTTTTTTTTTTGGGAAGTGAGTTTTTGGAGTGCGGTGAGAGTTTGCGCGAATACCTCTTGCCCTACTCTCCTCCCCGAACCGGTGTATTCGTCACGTCATGTCACAGCGGTTGCAGCAGAAATGAAGCACGGCAAAAACCAACCGAAACAAAAAAAAAAAAAAAAATCGAATAAAAATGTTCTCAAAAAAAAAAAAAAGAATAAAACGTTTTGTTTGTTTTGTTTCTGGCTTGGATTGTTCGACGTGGTGGTGAGGGTTGGGGGGTGAAAGCAATGTGCAACACACAAAGTGAATGCACGCTTGAACTGCTGCTGTTCGCGAGGCCCGCAACTCGGCAGAGAGCGAGCGGCGAACTCACCAAAAAACCAAAAAAAAAGAAAAACAATAATAAAATCCATAACAAAAAAGAACTCTTCTGCAGCGAAAAGTAGCGAGAGCGTGACTCGCACAATGGCAGTAGCCAGAGCAGACGGAGGCAACAAGAAGCTCGTCGGACAGCCAAGACTGGTCCGCGTTGCGAGCAGTCGAACAGAGCAGCGAAATGGCTCGTAAAATGAAAAAGTTCAAAAATGAGGTTTTGAAAAAAAAAAAGTAGAGAACGATGGCAGCCACCTCGATTTCCCATACGGCTACTCGACGCTGTGTCTGTCAGTCGTCTCAACTTGCGAGGAGTAGAGTAGGGAGAAGAAGCGTGCAAGCTAACCAGGAGAAGAAGAACGGAACGAGCAACAAGGAGAAAAAAAAAAAAAAAAAAAAAAAAAAAAAGACCATAGAGCGAGCTATGAAGCATTCAATGCGCTCCGTGAATGATTGAGGCTCTTCGACACATTGAATGTCAGCATACAAACTACCGAAACAAGAGCACGCTCTCGTCGCGATGTAGCAAAAGTGGCGGAGGGGAGCAGCAGAAGAAGAGGAAGAATCGTAGGAAAGTGGTGAGAAAAAAAAAAAAAAACATTGCTTACCAAGAAAAAACGAAAAAAAAAAAAAAAAAGAATGAGAAAAGCAACAATCAAACATGGTGAAAATTGCATTCTAAAGTAGAATAATGGCGAGCGAGCAGAGACAGCGACAGCATGCATGCATGGTCAACAGCGTGAGACAGAGAGACTTTGGCAATGGAGTCGTGTCAAGCAAGCCGAACTGAAACACCAAACAACGAACGACAAACAACAACCAACAAGAACAACAACCAAACAAGTGCTCAACCAAGAACGACACTTGTTGCAGCACAACCAAGCCAAAAAGAGCGCAGGGTCAGATCCTGAGAGGCACACCGCTCAACACTGGCAGCCAGAACGCATGCGCGTGAACATGCGTGTGAGAATGCGTGTGCGTATGCGTGTGCGTGTGCTGATGCGTGTGTGTGTGCGTGTGGACGTGTTCGACGACAGTCTGGTAGAATGAGGCGGGTCCTGTTGGGTTGACAGAGGCGCGTCGGGACGAGAGGGCGGAAGGAAACCCGCCGGATGTTTGAGATGCTGCGCGTTGGTCTTCTAGATTGAATCGGAAGGCTCCATGGTACACGCCGTCCGAGTCTTGATCCAAATGCAGTGCTGCTGCTGCTGCTGCTGCCGCTACTGCTTCTGTAGCGTCATTCTCAGGGTCCACTGGCGACTCGATAACCTCTTCCTCGCCATCGCCCAACAACAGGTCAGTGCTTGGGGTCGCGCCACGAGACGCCCGCTGCCATCGCCGTCGGACTTCCACGTGGCAATGCTGCGAGACATGCTCCTGAACAATACTGGCGGTGTGTGCTTGCTCGACCGTCTCGCTGTGGGTCACAATGACGAGTTGCCACTTGTCGCTGAGATTGGCACCCAGCTCCAGCTGCATGTCTTCGACATTGACGCCTGCCTGCTGCTCGCGTTGCATTGTCTGAAACACCTTGGCCAGCTGCGACTCGAGCGAATCCGGCGCCCATCCGGGCGTGTCGTGGCCAAACAGCCCGAGTGCCTGAATCTCGTCGAGCGACAAGATGCACGAGTTGCGATTGTCTCGTTCGAGCTCTGGCAGCATGAGGCTCTTTCGCATGGATGCCCGCGAAGCTCGATTGGACGAGTCGCCGGCTGCTGGTCTTCTCGATTGTCTTGTTGGACGTCGCTGTTGATCCTGATGAGTCAAGTCGTTGTTCAAATTCGCATTCGCCCAATCTGGCGCGGTCGTCCCAGCGGTACCGTGGCCACCCGCAGCAGACGCCGTCGCCAGCCGGTGGATGGCGTCTCTCTCAGTGCCCCTGCTGCTGCTGCTGCTGCCCTCGAGGCTCGCAGGAGTCGGCGCGTTGTTGTTGGCCAGCAGCTCGTCCCAATCGTCCAAATCACCAACTGCCGCAAAGAAGGAATTTCGGAATGCCCGCGACAACCGCGCACGCTCCACCGCGGGCAGGGGCGCAAATGTGAGCGACGTGGTTGCTGCACTCGAGCTGGAAGCCGTGGCAGACGCGCTCGTCGACGTTCCAGCGTCGGCGGTTGCGAGATGATTCTGATTCTGTGACAAGCTATTTCGACCCGCTTCGCCTCCGGCTGCCGACGAGCTTGCAGCAGCAGCACTCACGCTTGGCCTTCGCTGGTGCTGGTCGAGTCCACCTATCGTGGCTGCATCTCCGAGAGTGGCCAGCAATGCTGGTGAGTTGGCTTGCAGCAGTAGCATCAGTCAGTGAGTTTCAAATCTTGTTCAATCCCAAAATCTGATGCTGCAAGAATTCAAGATTTCAAAACAAACAGTGGATTACAAAATCCTGAAAGTGGATCTCGTTTGGTTGTAATTCATTCTCATCGTACAGTACGCCCTTGGATATATCAACAAGGCAAACGGGAATGGCTACACAGTACTGTATGATCCGCAATGGAAAAAAATCAGCTCGCCTCAGTCTCTGTTTCACGCCCGCTTCCGACCCCGCAAGAATCAAACAAATGTCCCTCTCGACGCTCGCATCGGTCAAGGCGACCCTCGATGTGCTGCTCGCCTCGGCCAATTCCACGCCTGCCGTGGCGGATCTCCTGGCCATCGTGAAGGGCTTCCGGAACGGCCTCGTCTATGGCGCCAAAATCCGCGCGCCGCACGCGTTCGTGATGACCTTCCTGTTTGGCCGCGGCAGGTCAGTCCAGTTCCCAAGGACAAGGGGGAACAATAAAGCAGGAACAAGCTTGCTGAATCCAAGTTGTCTGAGGGGGGAAGAGTCGGCGTGTGCGAACGAGTGGAAGCAATGCAAATTGAGTGGAATCGGAAGAGCGAGTGGAGCGGAGTCAGATCGATACATGGAGCGGAAGGAGATCGCCAGCACTTGGACCATGACAAGCTTGGATTATCACTGAGCACAAGTGAATTGGAAGCGCCAACTCGGAAGGAACAAGAGTCACAACGGGAATGGGAATGGAAGCGATCAAGTGTCCGAGATCACTCACTCACTCTGCATCACCCTCTCTGACTCTCTGATATGTCTTGGACTACAGTCTGAAAAACAAGGCAACCGCAATCTTCAAAGCAACGTACACGCACTCGCGTAACTTGTCCACGTTCGTGCTGATTTACAAGTCGCTGCTCGCTGTGCTGAAGCGATTGCAAGGAGTTCGGCACACAACGCATCCGTTCATTGCCGCTTTTATTGGCGGATGGTATGTGTTTGGTGAGAACAACAACATTAACAGCCAGGTGAGTGTTCCAAGGTCTTGGTTGCCGCTTTTCACCTTTGCCAGAGTTTAGAATTTTGTTGAGCGAGAGATTGGGGTTGATGGTGCATCAATGCCCAGCGCCTGACATGACATCTCTGCCCACATAATGCCTGGCTCCTGATTGGGTTTTTTTGGAGCGCGTGTTGTACCGATTGCTCGTTTGCTGACTTGAACTTTTGTTGTTTTGCGCCAAATCCCGACACGTACACATCCCTTTTTCTGCCTACCAGATCAACATGTACTTGCTATCTCGCATTATTTTCGGACTGGCAAAGCTGGCCGTCGAGAAGGGATACATTCCCAAGCCCCAAAATGACCCGTTCCCGCTCTTTGCCGCATTGGTCTGGGGTATCGTCCTCTGGCTGTTTGAGCAAGAAAAGCACACTTTGCAGCCGTCGCTGCAGGCCAGCATGACCTATCTTTACCACGATTCCAATCACTGGACCAACCTCAAGAACTTTTTGTGGCACAACAAGTGAACTTGATTTCTTTTGTGTTTTGTTTTTCGACAATATTCTAAATACACACCATCACAGCAATGTCCTCCACGCGTGACGCCATTTGCTGGGTGCTATAGCAGCCGCCCGTGGTACTCGCAACCCGACACTTTTTCGTTCAATTGCGGCCACATGACAACGACGCGATCGGGAATGTGCAGCATTTTCAGCAGCCGAGCAGCAATTGACAGGGTTTCGACGCGACAGATGCTTTCGATATAGACCACTCGAGTATCGCACACACCCAGGATCTGAATTTGCAGGTTTTTTTAGGGTTGAGGTTTAGACGAGACTGTGTCAGCAACCAGCCTGTCACTCGCACGACATCAACTATGCGAAGGATTCAACAAGACTTACATAAAGTAGCTTGGCTGCAATGCAGACAGGGACGCAGGTTCCTGGACCGTTGCACAACACCTGAACCAAAAAACAGAAATTCAGTTTGGTTGGTTTTGCGTTTGTTGTCGACCTGTACCCGCCCCTCGCCACGCTTCCAACCCAAAAGAAACCAAACATGCTCGAAGCTCGGGAACAACCAAAATAAAGAAAGCAAAACCTCAAAAAAAACTGCAAATCCTCACCAGCTCTGGGCGAACACGGAATACCATTGGCAACGCAAACAGCAGCGCATGCGCTGTCGTAAACAGCGAAGTCAGCCAAGATTGAGCCACCTCCCGGCTTCGAGGAATCGTTTCAATCCAGAACTGCCTGGGCTGAGCAGTCCATCGCGCAGCAGCTGGAGCGAGCGACGACGGCTGTTGAGCACTTCTTGCGTTGTTGGACAATCTCGACTCGATCGCTTCCGACCCAGCCGCCTTCCCGCCCTGGCGTTGCTTGTGGCTGCGAGTGCGTGCACTGATCGACACATCCTTGTTCGCGACTGAGTCGTCGTGGTGATGCTTGACGGAGCCAACGCGAGCCAATTGCTGCTCGAATCCGAGCGCTTTCGCCTGACTGGTCGTGTCCGTTTGCGCCAGGACGTAGACACGAGGAGTGTATCGCTTGGGATCCAGTGAACGCAGGAGGTCCATCATTTCCATCGTGTGGCCGCCCGAGCCGAGAACGACCATGGTGGGGCAGGGCTGATCCCGACCCTGCGCTCTGCCAGCACGCACCCGTGCCCATGCGCGACGGCGGATGAATAGCCAGATAGTGAATAGGGTGGCCAGTGTCAGAAGCACCGTGCCGGCGATGGCCAAGAGCGAGGCGGCCGAGTCTGGCATGGCGAACGCGTCCCACAGCATTTTTCTAAGCCAGTCTGAGCACAACGTAGGTGGGCTGAAATTCAAAAGGCAGACTGCAATCAAAAAGGAAGGGGGGTTTTTCTTTTGTTTTCGAGAAAATTATCAATGTTAATGTTAACGACAAAATATCAGAGAGACAGCAATTCTGGCGCGATTTCTATTTGAGCGCCTCGATGGCTGCGCCAATGGACGTGACACGCTCCACGCGGGGCACTTTGGAGCGAGATCCGCGGGGAGTGGTAGTTCCGTTCGCGCTGCCGGTGCTCGTGTTGCTCACGTTGCTGGTGGCGCGCGTCATTCGCGTGGTGGAACTGGCGTTCAGCTGCGCGAGTTGCTCGCTGTTTAATTTCGCATGGCGGCGGCCATCAGCCTCGTCGTCTTCGTCGGGCTCGTGTCGGCGTTTGGCACTGCGGATGGCAGGACCGCGAACAGCTGGCGCTGCTGCTGCTGCCGTGGATTGTGCCGCTGTCAGCGCTGGCGCAGCGTCGAAGTCCCCGCGCAGATCGGCGAGACCGGTGAGAGAGTTCCGCTGGCTGCCAGGAGATCGCCGCCTCAACAGCGGGGCAGCCGATGATGACGCAGGATCGGGCAGATAGCTGGCGGGCTTGTTGTTGTTGCTTCGGGGCCGCGAGGGCTGCTGTTGTGCAGAAGAAGTGGTGCCTCCGATCGTAAATACTTCCGCGCCGCTCTTGCGGAGGAGCGCGCTTATCGGACTGGTCGGACTGCTAATATCGATCGGCGTCATGGCAGTTGCGGTGGAGCCGTGTCGGCTGCTTGAACGTGACGGGGTTCGAGGCAAGTCACCGGCAGCTTCCGGTGCGGCAGCTCTCGCGGGTGACGGGACTTTTTGTGGCGGAGGGTGGCTCGACTGGTACCTGGAGTGCGCTGACGACGATGAAGATGACAAGACCACGGCATCTGACTCGGACGGCTCCTTCTTGACGGTTGGTCGACTCGGTGCAGGAAGCGGCGCGGCTTGTTGGGCTGACTGTGCGTCGCTCTTCTTGGTTACGACAGACACCATTCTTGGTGCAGCAGGCCTCGAGGAGGTACCGCCCCCACCGCTGCCACCATCAGCATCCATGTCCATTGCTTGCATTGCTTGGGGTTGATTGGAGCCGCTTGCTTGCTGCCTCCGCTTGTTCACATCCTTCAGCTCTTTCAGATCAACCGTCAGAGCTTGGACCTTTTCGCGCTGCTGTGCCTCTTGCTGCTGCGCAGCTTGAAGCGCTTTGGTTTGTGCTTCTAGCTGAGCAGCGAGGGCGCGTATCTCCTCCTTTTTGGCGTTGAGAACGGCGGCAAACTTGACGTACATGGCGCTTTCGGCAGAGCTCTGTCCCTCAATCACATCATCGAGCATGGCAACCGCCTCGGTTCGTTGCAGCGCCAGCTTGTCGCGCTCCTGGCGCAATGCACGACCTTGGTCCATGAGCTGTTGGCGGTCGGTGATGAGCGCGCGCAAGAAGGCTTTCAAGGACGATTCGGCTTTTCGACTAAAGGACGGGAGGCTGATGCCGCCGCGGAGAACAAGAAAGCCGTTGCTGCGGTCGTGCCACTGGAGGACGAGCGCGTCGCTGTCGGAAGAGTCGGGAGTGGCACCAGTCGTCGATGTGAGTCCGAGCGAGGACGAGAGGGAGACGGACGCTCCCGATCCATCGGACGGGTCCGGAAAGGACTCTAACGAGGCTGAAAATGTGCCTGGAAGGAATATGTCTGGCTGCGATTGCTTGGCGGACGACCGGGGTGGGCGAGAGCTGGCGCTCGCTCGGCTGGTGGTGGAACCGGACGCGGACGCCGACGCCGACGATGCAATCTTAAACTCGTACGCATACTTGGCATCGTCTTGCTTGGCCAGCATCATGTTGGAGTCTTGAACAAAGTCGGGCAGGTCCTTGTCCGAAGGCGCGAGCGCGGCCACATCGACCGTCCGCTGCCACACGCGTGCGCCGTTGGTCACGGTGAATGTGACAGACCGGATCTTGTGCTTGTCGAACGCCGAGTGGCTCGCGGCAGTCGTAGATTTGGCGCCAAGACCTGCTGAGATCGTGTTGCTCGCTTTGCCGCGTCTCGTCGTCGTCGTCGTCGTCGTCGTCGTCGTCGGCTGCGACGCGGTCAGCACGCGCAGGTCGTCCAAATCGGACTCGTCGTCTCGTAGCTGCAGACTGGCGCTGCTCGCCGCTGCAGAAGACCCGCTCGTCGTCGGATGGTGATGCTGATACTGATCGCCAGTGTCGTGCTCGCTCCAGCGGCACAGCAAGTAGTACTCGGCCGTGTCCTGCACCCCGACGCGCTCGCCCTGCTTGGGTGACTCGCCCGTCTGCTTCTTGACGACGAATCGCTCGAACGTTGTCGCGTGTGCGTCGTTGACCAGCGTGCCCGACATTTTTCTTTTTGAGGATGATCAAGCTTTTGAGTGATGCTCGATTCTCAATTCGATTCTCTCAATTCTTTGCTTTTTTGAAAATCGACTAAACTTGGATTTTGGAATTGTTTTTCATGTCAGTCTTTTTGTCTCTTTCGTTCTTTCATTTTGGTATTGTTTCGAACAATCGTTCATGCTTTTTGTCAATCTCAGTTGATCCGCCACATCCACATCGATCTTTCCCTCTTCCCTCTTCCCTCTTCCCTCTTCCCACTTCTCCCCTGCCCCCTTCTACTTGCCCTTCCCCTTCCATCTCTCTCTCTTGGCTTGTATTTTTGGCTCGCGTCCATGTGCTCTGTTCACCAATTTTTTTATCCGCCTGCTTTGTGGCACACACCCCCCATCGCCACGCCGACTCGCACCGCGCCATTCTACAAATACACATCGACGCACTCCCCGCAAGGCATTTAGCCCCATCTACGTCCTGCTCGATCGATCGTCCGACCTCGTGCCAAACAATGGGAGAGAGGGGCGCGGAAAGCACGTCAATGCGAACACAACACACTGAATGAACTGAGAAGGAAGGACAAACAGCACTGTGGCCACCTGCGCTGCTGCATTTTGAGAACGCCGCGCTCGTCGGTCGCTCTCTGTCGATTGCCGTGTTTTTGCCTTCCTGTTCAGCACAGATGAAAAGGCAAACGTCGGAAAAGCAAAGCAACGCGTTCAAAATGCGACCACGTTGTTCTCGCATTGACAAAAAAAAAAAAAAAAAAAAAAAGCCGATTTTCAATGCGTTTTTTTTTTTTCCCGCTTTTTTTTTTCATTTGTTTTTCCCGCTTTTTTTTTTTAATTCTTCGTTGTTCAATGTTAACAAATGAGCGCGACTTCAATGAATTCAAACCCTGAAGTCATGGATCTGAGTCTTCGCTCGTGATCGGAAGCAGCGAGCGAGCAAAAGTGGTCACTGAAAGGGGAGGGGCGGTCTTTGTGGCCACAAGAATTGACAGCCGCGCAAAAAGTAAATTGAATCGCAAAAAAAAAAAAAAAAAAAAAAAAAAAAAAAAAAAGAGAATTCAATGTGGATGCGATGTGGCTGGGACGATTGGTGATTGAGTGGAGATCAAAGCGTCCTGCATTGAAAAAGGCAGCATGAACGTGCAATGGAGGCACATTGACACTGAACAAGTCAAAAGTTGAAAAAACCAACAAAAAATACATTAAAAAATCACGAACGCATTCCCCACAGTTTTGTACGAATCTACTTCCGACGCAGCTGTTTTTTTCTCTCCTTCTCTCACTTCTTGCCCCCCCCCACTCGGACGCGTCATCCATCGCACAGCCAGTACCGAGCGAGCGAGAGATAGAGAGATAGGAGAGCGTCGCCACGTGTGTCCTTGTGCTTATCCTTATCTCCCAAAAGGGCAATTAACGCATGTGTAACGCTCGTCCATGTGGTCCTCGCTGAGAAAACGCAAAAAAATACCAAAAAACAATATTACATTTGCATTGACATTCACTTTCTATTTTGGAAACTACTGTTTTGCAACGTGTCAAAAAAGATATCAAGACCTTGCTCACACTCACATTTTTTTGGTTTTTGTTTCACTTTTTTGTTTTGTTTCACTTTTTTGCTCAGAATCATGCCTTCCCGCCAGCTCACCGCCGCTGTGGCCGTGCTGGTGGTGCTTGCCACCGCTGCTTCGACGGCGTTTGGCGACGCTCCCATCTCCTTCAAGGACCCCTACGAAACGATCATCACCGACTATGGCCAATCGTGCATCAGCCACCCGAGCCATGCCCGCCACGGCAAGCCCACCGTCAAGGACCTCTCTAGCCCCGAAACCACGCTCGAGTTTTGCACGCCGTGGGCTGGCAACGGCTGCTGCCGCCCCGAGCTCACCCGCTTGATCAACTCTGTCCCGGACTATGACGCCGTGTACGACTTTAACTGGGCTGTGTGCGGCGAGCTTTCTGCCGACTGCGCGACCTACATGAAGCACGAGGCGTGCTTTGTCGAGTGCTCCCCGTACCTGACTCCGTTCGAGGATCGCTCGTTCGGCTACTACTTTTCGTCCGTCCCCGTGTGCTCGAGCTGGGCTGATCGCTGGTTTGACGCGTGCCGCAACGACAAGACCTGCGTCGACAACTGGTACGACGACAACGCCTGGGATTACACGCCTGACGGCTGGAACATTTGCAAGCCGGACTCGCAGTGCACCACCTACGCAGACCGCTTTGGCAGCCCCAAGAAGATGCTCGAGACCCTTTGGGGCATTTCCTTCACCTACTCGACCGACGAATCCCGCTGCTACATGCCATTCTTCAGCGGCGTCCCCAACGAAGCCCCTTACGTGAAGGCGCTCTTGGACAAGATCCAGGTGGAAGACCCGTCTGTGATTGGCACCAAGGTCAAGGCCGTCGACTCGACCGAAGAGTCCAAGCTGCCCAAGGCCGTCGACTTCCTCCCCATCGATGCCCCGTCGATTGGCGCCAAGACCCAGACCCCGGAGCCTGGCCTTGCCGGCTACACACGCATTGTCGTCGATGACATTGGCCTGACGTACGCCCTCGACCAGATTACTGGTGCGATTGACATCTACCCCATCGACCGCAGTCTCGGTGTCCTGACGCACATCACCTTCGCTTCCACCGATTCGGCTGCTCTCGACATGGATCTGATGGAGGGAGTGCTTGCAGTCACCACGGTTCCTCGCTCGTCGCTGGCCACCTGGAAGGAGGATGCTGCCCAGCCTGGCTCGCTTGTCTTTATTGACATTGCTAACGGCTTTGCTGTTCTCTCGACGGTGCAAGTCGGTGCCTACCCCGTCAAGGTCCTGTTCACCCCCAACGGCGAGCACGTCGTCGTGGCCAACCAAGGTCCCCGTGTCAGCTCCACCCTCGACCCCGATGGCAGTGTCACCCTTGTCAGCGTTCGCCCGCAGCGCAACTACACTGTCGGTATTATTGGTCCCTACGTTCCGCCAAACTTGCTGGACTGTGCCGCTGCCGTCCAGCAGAGCACCCACGTCCGCACCGCTGTCTGGAACAACGAGACTGCCGTCGACCCCCGTGTTGCGCAGTTTGCCAACTTTTCTGCCGGTATGCGCGACATTGAACCCATCTGGCTCTCGGTTGCCATCGATTCCGCGAACGTCTACGTGTCTCTGCAGGCGCAGAACGCCTTTGGTGTCATCTCCATTCCTTCGGGAACCTGGACGCGCGTCGTTGGCTGGGGCTTTAAGGACCACCAGGAGCCCGACATGGGCCTCGATGCCTCCAGCTCTGACGGCATCAACGTCAAGAACCAGCATCTGTTTGGTCTGTACCAGCCTCGCGTTGTTGAGGTCTTTTACGCCGACGGCATTCCCCACCTCATCACCGCCAACCAGGGTGACGCCACCCGCAACGCTGTGGACATTTCCACCATCACCATCGACAACCCCGACTTTTGGAGCAACCCTGACGGCTTCAAGGCCTCGGTCGCTGGCCTGAAGGTCCACGACACGCTCGGCGTTGAGAATGGCAACCACGAGTTTATCTACACGTTCGGTGGTCGCTCCGTCTCCATCTGGGAGATGGACGGCTCGCTTCGCTTTGATTCTGGTGACACCTTTGAGCGTATTCTTGCCTGGATCCAGCCTCGCTGGTTTAACGCGGTTGATGGCGCCAGTGGCTTTGATCAGGCCTCGTCCACCACTGGCTGCGCCCCCAGCGCCGTCACGCTCGGCCCGATTGGCGATCACCTCTACGCCTTTATCGGTTTTGACAACTGCAACGGCATTGTCGTCTTTGACGTGACCCTCCCCCACGACTCGCACTTTGTTCGCTACCTGCCCATCGAGGACATTTCTCACGTCACCGGCCTGTCCTTCTTCCCGTCTGTCGCCCCCACCTTTGACACCGCCAAGCTCTACGTCACTGCCTCTTCTGGCACCACCGCGACCGTGCGTGTGTACCAGGTCGTCCCCACTCTCGACCAGGGCCGCTTGACCGTCCCCGTCCACGAGTCGTGGTCGATGGCCCAGCCGCTGCCCACTGCCCGCTCGGATTTTACTGCCAGCACTGTCGGCAAGCGCGTCTTTGTCACTGGTGGCTGCATCACGGACAACGTCGTCACCCCTTACGGCGTCGACCAGTGCAACCAGGTGGCTGGCGATGTCAACATTTACGACCCGGAGACCAACGCTTGGGTTGTTCCCGGTGGTGTCATGATTACTCCGCGTACTCGCCACGCCGCTGCTGTCTGGCGCGAGCGTCTGTACGTTTTCGGCGGTCGCCCTGCTGGCGACGATTATGGCCAGGCATTCTCTTCGGCCGAGTTTTACGACTTTGAGCTGGACGGATGGCGCGCCATTGCTCCTCTGCCCGTCGCCCTCAGTGATGCTGCTGCCGTCGAGCTCTTGGACAAGATTTACGTGTTTGGCGGCTACGACTCGTTCTACACTGGCTCGCTCAACCGCACTTTTGTTTACGATCCGATGGCCGACACCTGGTCTGAGCTCGTGAACGCTCCGCTCAACGGCGCGTTCGGCCGTGGTGACCACTCTGCCGCTGTCATTGACGGCGTCATTTACTGCTTTGGTGGCTTTAGCCAGGCTCTGGGCGCCGATTGGGGCACCACTGAGGCGCTTGCCACGATGGAGGCCTTCGATCCTTTTGTCGGCCACTGGACTCCCCGTGCCTCGATGAACCTCGCTCGCGGCGATGCCGGTATTGCCGTTGTCGACGACATGCTCTACGTCATGGGTGGCGAGGGCAAGGATGGCTCTGACCCTTACACTTGGAAGTACATTGCGCGCAACGAGCTCGAGCGCTACGACCCTGCCCGCGACCTGTGGATCACGCTCGCCCCCGTCCCGTCGTCGCGCCTGCGCTGCGCTGCCGCCTCCGTCGGCGAGTTTACCTATCTGTTTGGTGGCCACAACCAGCAGAAGGAAATCCTCTACCTCGTCGAAAAGTTCAACGGTGACATCATTTTCGGTCTTGAAGAGTACTTTGAGCACATTCAGATCCGCGCTTCCAGCCTCCACAACTATGTCGTGTCTGCCACCTCTCGCGAGTCTCGCTGGGTTGCCAACGAGGCCTACACCAACGACATGACCACCGTCAACACCCAGCTGGCCTCTGTGCAGACCACCTCGGCTGCCAACAACCTGACCATCACGACGCTCCAGGCCGAGATTGCTGCGCTCCAGGCACAGTTGGTGGTCCTTACGCACTCCCTCAACGCTGCGACTGCCCAGGTTGCTCAGCTTCAATCGTATGTCGATTCTGGCAACGTTGGCGCTGACAGCAACGCCAAGGAGATTGCCGTCGCTGCCCTTGTTCTGGTTGTGCTCCTCATCGTTGCGCTCATCGTTGTTGCCGTCAAGACCTGGGCTGTTCCTGCCCGTCGTCGCGCCAACAGCCAGCGTGGCCCTGTCAAGCTGGAGGACCTCAGCGACCGCATTTAAAACCAGTCTAGGCGCCGCTCTTTCTCCTTTTTTTTTCTCCTCTTCCCTTGCTCTTGTGTCTTGTCCTTTGTCATTTCGAACCCTTCCTTTTCACCTTTTCTCCTTTTCACCTCTTTCTATTTGTACTTTTTTTTCTGCCGTCTTTTTTGGCCGTCGAGCTTGTTTCTCTCTGGCTCCAGACGTGTGCTGCGTTTCCAACGTCGCATGTGTTTGGACTGTCGGGACTTCTCGTGTCTGCCTAACCCCTCCAGGACCGCCGGGGTGCTAAGTATCATTTGAACTTTCGCACTTTTGCTCCAACGCACAAGATGTTCATCTTTTTGTTTGTTTGTTTCTGCATCCTGTTTCGCTGCCCCACTCAATGCGGATGTCTTCCAACGAGGACTGTGATTTTCTGGCATCGGGCATTCCACCTTGCTCGGAGCTGTCTTGAGATTTTTGCAGAGCTGGCCTCATCGGTCTGCTCGAATTCTCTTGATGGCTCTCTGCATGCTTGTGGGTGTTCTCGTTGCTGGTTCTTCTTGTTCTTGTTTGGCTGCTGGCTGCTGCCCCCCCCCCCTCAAAAAGTTGTTGTATCTTGTCTTTTGCGCGATTGTGTTGATTCTGGCTTGGCTGAGATCATACCCGTGAACCTGCCCGGATAATACCGGGAAGGAAGCGTCCTGGAACCCCATTTTTCTTCTTTCTTGATGTATGCCTCTTTGTTCGAAATGAAATTGTGTATATGACTTGTTTGGTGCAAAAGTTGATTGAGCATTTTTTTGGTTTTATTGTGGGCAATGTCTTGGTAGAGTGTGTGTGTGTGTGCACAGGCGGTTTGACATGAATGGGGGCATAGCTTGATCGAGCCTGTTTCGTCTTTTGCTCAGTCTGCATCGTGGTTGGATTTGTTTGCTGAGTGTTCTTGATGTCTGAGCCAATTCAACTCCTTGCAAGCTCAACCGACCTGTCCTACGATGACTTTGTCGCCCAGTTCATGGCGCCAAACCGGCCTGTCGTGCTCCCAGAAAGCGCCATCCGACACTGGCGCGCACGTCACGAATGGACGACCGATGCGGGTGCAACGACCGGGAGCGATGCAGTTGTCGTGCGCAACATTGACATTGACCGCATCGAGGCGCTGTTTGGCCAAGCTGTGGCTCCGATTTCAGACTGCGATGTCACTCAGACGTATGGAATGGCTGGATTGGTCGGGACGGGTCGCAGTGATGATGGGCAACCGCTGCTCAAGGAAGTGACCATCGCCAAGTACTGCGATTACCTGCGTCGACGAAGACAGCATGTCCAACGACAATCGAGGAGCACTGGAACGAGTGTCGAGTCTCGAGACGGGTCTATTGGGAAGCCTGGGAAGCCTGGTGATCACGATGGCACGATCGTTTCGGATCCTCTTCCTGCCGACCGCTGCATCTACTTGAAGGACTGGCACATGACCCGAGACTTCCCTGGCTACAATGCCTACGAGTTGCCAGTGTACTTTTCTGATGACTGGCTCAACGGGTACTGGGACGAGTGCGGCAGTCTCGATCAAAACCGGCGTGACGACTTTCGCTTTTGCTACATTGGCCCAGCAGGCAGCTGGACGCCCGTTCATTTTGACGTAATGAGGTACGGGCGACGCGAGTTGTGGGTTGGCTGATGCGCGTATGTGGGAGCTACGCTGTCATCTGAATGTAACTGTGTTTGACTGCTGCAGCTCGTTCAGCTGGTCTGCGAATATCTGCGGCCGCAAGAAATGGATCTTCTTCCCGCCCGAGGCCCGAGAAATGCTCACCGATGCCGCTGGAGAGCTGCTCAGCGACGTGCGAAGTGTGGACGAAACAAGGTTTCCAAACTTCCGCAATGCACCGCGGATCGAACTGTTTCAAGAAGAGGGACAGTTGGTGTTTGTTCCAAGTCAGTGGTATCACCAGGTTATCAATCTGGTAAGCAGCAAGACACCGCAGAGAAGATAGAGAGAGATGGAGGACGATGTGCTGCTCACCAGCTCCGTCTCCCTTATCTTGGTTTTCGTTTTTTTGTTTGTTGGGTTTTTTTGTTTTTTGTTTGTTTGTTTGTTTGTTTGTTTGTTTGTCTGTTTGTTTTTGTGCCTCAGACCGACGTCATATCAATCAACCACAACTGGGCCAATGGATGCAACATTTTGGGAATGTGGCAGCTCGCAAAAGAAGACGCACAGCTTGTTGCTACTGATCTTTCGCTCGAATCGGCATCGCTGGATGAAATCTCCACCAGCAAACAACATGGCGCGGTTGCAGCAGTACGCTCACCGGCAGCGCCAGCAGCAATGTTTGGCCTGATGGCAGCTACTGCAGAGCAGGCTATGACTGTTCAAGACCTGCTTCGAGCGAACGGATCGCTTGACTTTCGCGCAATGCACGACTTGTGCATGGTACAAGTTCGAAAAATCCAACAACGCAGCCACCAACTAGCTCTGTTGGCTCCTTCGGCAGTCACCGCCGAGGTTTGTGCTGCGCGAAATCGGCACGTTTCCGACCTCAAGACGATTCGGCAGATCTTGACCGACATTTCTCGTTCGACATTTTATCGAGAGTGTCGAGATGCGTGGCCCGCCTCCATCGATATCGAGCAAGAGCTATCTGAACAAGAAACATTACAAAGACGGCTGACCGAGTTATTCGAAAGTTTCAAGTAGTTTTTTGCTTTGTTTTTCGTGAATTTGCCGTCAACGTATTTTATCCTCCTAAAAATTAATACAGTAGTCAACAAAATGTCACGATTCCTTTCGCATCACCAACACACTCAAAGCCAACAAAAACTATCGCCGCTTGTTCTTGCGACCTTGAGGAGCCGCGCGTTTCATCAGCCCGGCTGCCTGGAGCTGTCGCTCGGTCTGCTTGCGCTCCACGTGTGCCTGTTGCTTGCGGTGGTCGGCAAACTCGCGCTCGCCCTTGAACGCACTCGCTGGAATGCTGTTTGCGCCCCGCAGAACATGAACCAGCAATGGCGGCAGGGGCGGATTTTTGCCATCGTTGATGCAAAAAATGTAGATGACGCTCACCAAATCGGTGCGGACCTCAGTGGCACGCTGCTCGACGGCGATTCGACCGTCCTGGTGCGCAGGTGTTTCGTTGTTGTTGTCGTCGTCGTCGTCGTCGTCCGATTCGTCGTCGTCATCTGATGCGTCGTCCTTGCGCTGTTCGTGCGTTCGCTTCAAACCACGCGCTGGGTCGGACTCGACGAGCTCCAGCAGTCTGGGATCCGAGACAACGGTGCGCACCAGATTGGTTTTCTGGTGCCGATAGCCGGGGTAGCACTGCTCGTCAAAAGGAATGCAGGTTTTGAGGCGCAACTTTCCCGATTTCTTTGCCTGTGTTGCAATGTCCCACGAAAAGTACGGCTCTGTGATCTTCAGCACGACGTGAATTTGGCCGTTCGGCCGACGCAACCGGCATGCCGCGGCACGGAAAAAGTCTGTTGGAGTGGGAGGGAGAGGGCGCGCAGTTTAGCTTGGACGAACGCAACAAACGCACACAAGATTCAATCACCAAAGCTGCCACGAGCCACATACTGTACAAAAGATCTTGATTGGACTGAATGCTCTCGGTATACCCAGACTCTTGCGAAAATTCAACGCCAGTGTGCGGGAAGAGGAAAATAACACGGTCAAACTGCCGCACCGTGACCCGGTGCGAGTTATCCTCGGGATCGCGCTGCTTGCGACGCGTGTGTCCCGAGCCACGACCATTTGCACTACGCGACACGCTGTCTGGCTCGTCGTCGTCGTCGTTGTTGTTGTCGGCCTCCTGCTGCTGGACGCGGCCGGCGGGAGGTGCATCGCCCTCGTAAAAGTCGAACGCGCGCGCATCGACCACCGCTGTTTCAGTGTCAGAGTCCTCCACCGGACGCTCGATATCGCCAGGCAGGATGGCATGCTGCAGCCGTGTCGCGTCAATCCCGTGGAGCACGGTCGCGCCCATCGCTTTGAGCGCAGCGCAGTTGGCGAGCGTGCGCTTGTCCGCATTGCCCTCTCGCTCTCGCTCTCGGTCAGAGTGATCAGCGGCCTCGACTGCGATTGCAGCAGCACTACTATCATCATCGTCCTCTGACGTTGTGCCCGCTGCTGGATGTTGCGGCTCGGGATCGAAGGCGGTGCACACGAGGCGCGCGCCGGATCCCAGTCTGCGAGCGAGACTCGCGCTAAAGCTAAAGTCGGCCTCGCCTAGGAGCAGAATGTCCATAGCAGCAGTGTATGGGATGCTGGCCTTTGCCTTATCCTGCCCTGCCGAGGGCAATGGTGCGTCATTGTCGGTCTTCCTCGTGGCAGGGGCGGCGACACTCGGATCCACACGCGGCTTCTTGCTCTCGTGCTTGGGCATCGTTTGCCTTCCTACTTTTTTTGTTTTTGGTGCCAAATTGACGAGTTTAGAATGGAATCCAACTTGTGACCAAACCCCCGTCTGTGCGAGGTCGGGGTTGTTTTGACAAGTGAGGACGTAGACCAAAAAATCCAAAGCCAAAAGACTGAGTTACCATCGCTTTGCTTTTTGGCCATCAAAGTCACAACACAACAACGGCGACTCGTTTTTGTTGCGTTCAAATTCGTAATGTTCGACATTCTGAGCTTTGTTGACCTTTCAGTTCTTTTTTTTTTTTTTTTTTTCTTTTCTTTTCTTTTCTTTTCGTTCTGAACAAATGGGCAAGGACGATACAGCGAGCCTGCTGCCGTCGTCGGGCGGCGCTGGCGGCTCGATTTCCATTGGCATGGGCGGTGCTGTCGGAAGCGCAGCATTGGCTGGGAGTGGCAGCGGCAACATCAGCAGCGGCGGCGGCGGCGGCGGCGCTGGGACTGGCGGGGGGGTCGCTGGCGGGAGTGACGCGTGGACATTTGCGCTCATGACGTCCGAGGAGACGCTGGCCCGGCTGGACGTCCATCGCGATCGCGGGCTGGACGCGGCTGCAGTCAACCATCGCCGTGGGCTGCGCGGGTTTAACGAGCTCGAGGTCAAGGACGACGAGCCGCTGTGGCGCAAGTTCCTCGATCAGTTCAAGGAGCCGCTCATCCTGCTGCTGCTCGCTTCGGCGACCATCTCGCTGCTCCTCGGCCAGTTCGACGACGCCATCAGCATTGCCCTTGTAAGCGCGTTTGCTTGTGTGACTTTGAGACGTGGGGAAATCGCAACAGCGGCGAACGAGAGACAGAGACAGAGAGACAGAGAGACAGAGAGAAGGGGAGCAGCAAGAGAGAGCACCGTGGGAGGAAAAAAAAAAAAAGGCGAAAGAATAGAAAAAAAAAAAAAAAAAAAAAAAAAAGGCAAACACGCCCATACTGATTTTCCGTTTTATTTTCATTGCATCTCTCTCTTTGGTCGTCCTTTCACTCGTGTTTTTCACTTCTTTTTGTTGTGATATCATGACATGCGTTGTTGTGGTGGTGGTGCTGGTGGGGGTGGTGGGTCGGGAGTGGATTGCGTTTGCATGGGGACTGACGATCGTTGTTGCGAAGGAAGACGATCAGCATGGTCCAACACAACACCCATAACAAGCGAAGCAGAACATTCTCACCTTTGCAGTTGTTGTTGGATAGGCTGTCATCATCGTCGTCACAGTCGGGTTTGTCCAGGAATATCGCTCGGAAAAGTCGCTCGAGGCGCTGAACAAGCTGGTGCCGCACAAGTGCCACTGCTTGCGCGAGGGCAAAGTGCAGCAAATCTATGCGCGCGAGCTCGTGCCAGGCGACATTGTCGTGCTGGCGCTGGGCGATCGCGTTCCTGCCGACATTCGCATGATTGAAGTAAGTTGGCGGTCTTTGGGTCTTTTTCTTTTCGTTGGACAGAGCATCCCTTTTTTTTTTTCGTTGACATGCAACTCACACCTCGCTCGCTTCGCTGTTATTTGCCCCTGCTGCGAATACTTAGTCTGTGGAGCTCGAAATCGACGAATCCAACTTGACCGGCGAGACCATCCCGATGCCCAAGCACACTGGCGCAATCCCGCATGCGCCTGGCTTGCAAAAGCCATCCATCCACGACCGCAAGAACATGGGCTTCATGGGCACGCTTGTGCGCAACGGCCGCGGCGTCGGCGTTGTGACTGCCATTTCTGAGGACACTGAGTTTGGGCACGTGTTCTTCATGCTGCAGGAGGTCGAGGACCGCCAGACTCCGCTGCAAATCAAGATGCAAGAGCTCGGCCAGAGCCTGTCGTGGCTGTCTTTGGGCGTTATTGGTGTGATTTGCTTGCTCGGTCTTGCCCAAGGCCGCAACATGCTCGAGACGTTTACTGTTGGTGTGTCGCTCGCGGTCGCCGCCATTCCCGAAGGCCTGCCGATTGTCGTCACTGTGACACTCGCCCTTGGTGTCATGCGCATGGCCAAGCACAACGCGATCGTCAAGAAGCTGCCGAGCGTCGAGTCGCTGGGCTGCGCGAACGTTGTCTGCGTCGACAAGACTGGCACGCTGACGCAAAACGAGATGACCGTCACCCGCGTGTTCACGGTGGCGCGCGGTGTGCTGCCCGTTTCTGGCCAGGGCTACTCTGGCCACGGCGCTGTGCTGGTGGATGGTGCCCCCATCACTGTTGGAAACGCCAACGCGTCCTTCTCGGCCGCGCCCGTGATTGCGCACGACGTGCTGCGTGTGCTCGTTGTGGGCAACCTTTGCAACAATGCCCACATTAGCGCAGCCGGTGAGCTGGTGGGCCAACCCACGGAGGGCGCCTTGATTGCGGCCGCCATGAAGGTGGGCCTGACCGACCAACGTCGCTGCTACGAGCGCGTGGCCGAAAACCCCTTCAACTCGGACAACAAGTGGATGGCTGTCAAGTGCCGCCGACCCACCGTCGAACAAGCCGCTCAGGCCTTCCCCATCCTGGCCAACGCGCCCGCGCCGAGCGTTTCGCTGCAGGGCGGACCCAGCGTCATGGACTCGACCGGCGACACGTACTATGTCAAGGGTGCTCTTGATGCTGTTCTCGACCGCTGCTCGTTTGCTGTGGCGGCGAACGGCAACATTGTCGCGCTGTCCCCGAGCGACAAGGCCTTGATCACTCGCACGGCGGCCGAGGTTGCTGGAACGGGCCTCCGCGTCGTGGCCATGGCCTATGGCTTCCCGCTCGACTCGCTCGTGTTTACCGGCTTTGTTGGCATCATTGATCCGCCGCGCGTGGGTGTTCGCGAGGCTGTCCAGCAGCTGCTGGGCAGTGGTGTTGCCGTCGTCATGATCACGGGCGACGCCCAGGAGACTGCCGTGGCCATTGGCGAGCAGATTGGCATTTTCGACCGAAACTTCCACACTGCCATCTCTGGCCAGCAGGTGGAAGCCATGGATCAGCACGAACTCGCGCACGTCATTCACCGCGCGCGCATCTTCTACCGCACCAGTCCCAAGCACAAGATGACCATTGTTGCCGCCTACCAGGAGAATGGCGACGTTGTTGCCATGACCGGCGACGGCGTCAACGACGCGCCTGCGCTGCGCCTCGCCGACATTGGCGTGGCCATGGGGCGCTCGGGCACGGACGTGAGCAAGGAGGCTGCCGATGTCATTCTCGTCGACGACAACTTCCTCACCATCATGGCCGCCATCGAGGAGGGCAAGAGCATCTTTTACAACATTAAGAACTTTTTGCGCTTCCAGCTCAGCACCAGCGTTGCCGCGCTCTCCCTCATTGCCATCTCCACCTTCATGGGCTACCAAAACCCGCTCAACGCCATGCAGATCTTGTGGATTAACATTATTATGGACGGGCCGCCTGCCCAAAGGTAAGAGCAAAGTGCTTGGAGCGTGGTGTCGAGTCCATTGTGTGGTTTTTTTTTTCGTTTTTGTGTGGGGGCGGTCAACTTCTGCCTGCGACTCACGCTTCCACCCCTTTTGGCGCTACTGTTCACTTCCTCGTCATCAGCCTCGGCGTGGAGCCCGTCGATCACGACGTCATGAAAAAGCCGCCGCGAAAGGCCAAAGACCCAATCATCACCAAGATGCTCATTCAGCGTGTGCTGATCTCGGCGCTGTTTATTCTGGTTGGCACGCTCTACGTCTACATTCACGAAATGAAGGTAGACAACGTGGTGGACGCGCGCGACAACACGATGGCCTTCACCACCTTTGTGCTGTTTGACATGTTCAACGCGCTTGCGTCTCGCTCGGAGGAGAAGAGCATCTTTACGATTGGCTTCTTTACCAACTCGGCCTTCCTCTACTCGGTGGGCGGCTCCCTCATCGGTCAGCTGGCCGTTATTTATGTACCCTTCCTTCAGTCCATCTTCCAGACCGAGGCACTGGCGCTCGGCGATGTCGTGTACATTACGGTTCTTGCTTCCACCGTCTTCTGGGCCGAAGAGGCTCGCAAGATGTACATGCGTGGTTCCTCTCAAGCATGATTTTGGTCTCAGATTGAGGGGTTTTTCTTTCTCGATCACATTAATCTGAGTGTCTTTTTGGTGTTTTGTAGGTGTTTTGTTTTGGCTCAGTAATAAGCTTTGTTTTTGGAGACGCTGTTGCTGCGTGAAGAATGATAAATTTTCGCAGCTGAAAGTGAAAGTGAATGCTTTCACCAACAAAACAGTCGCAACAAACTCCCAGTTCGGCTCAACGTTGCCACAAAAATGAGCTCCCGCAGCTCGAGAAGAGGTGACTTTTACACGTTGCCGCAACAGCGCACCAAAGCTCGACGCGAGTGACTTGGAGTGCATGTCAGGAATGTGGTGTTGGCATTTTTTGTTGTGGTTTTCGTGTTCGACATTGACTGCGCTTCTCGCTGGTTTTTCGCTGCATGCTGCACTGATTTTAATACTCCCTTTCTCCCATCTCCTTAGTGAATAGACTCGTGAAGGCCTGTGTGACGAGTGAACGTGGCAAATCGGGGGTGGAAGATGAATGAACGCCCAAAATTCGGTGGTTCAAGCCGATTTTCCCCCATCATTTTCTGTCGAGCGCGGAGGCCAACATTCCCATTGCTCAGCATTGCGTATGGCTGGCCTTCGAGCGTCTGGCACTTCTTCATGTTGGTAGCGACGCCCGAGGTTGCGGTTTTCGTCCTTGTGTAATTGGCGATGTGTCAAGTGGAAGGGTCAGATCTGTACCGCTCCTAAATAGGTGCGGGTCAAGTCATCACATTGCGGATGCGCCTACATTCCCCCTGCGTCCATCCCCTATTCTGCAGACAATCCCGCAACTCCATTGCTGCTGTCGTGTGCATCGCTGGCCATCTTTTCGTGACTGTTTTCTGCCAATCATTGCCCAGCATTACTCACTGTGCGCGCGCGTCCAAAAACAGGTTGTCATTCTTTTTTTTTTTTTTTTTTTTATTGTATTTTTTTTTTCGGCTCGTTTCTGCTCTTTTTCGCTCTTTTTCGCTCTCTCCGTCCCACTCCCACTCTCACCCCCACCCCCTCTGCTGCTGGTGGAGCGAACGACGCTGTTCAAAAACACATGTCCGTGTCCGATTTCTACTATGCCCTCGCGGGCATCGTGCTCACCGTCAACCTGGTTGGCCTTGTGTGGTACTGGCTTCGACGAGACATCCACCCCATCCGCTCTCGCGGCGTTGGCTGGTCCATCATGTCTGGCGCGTACGTATTCCAACCTTGCCTGCACACTCTGGTCGTCAACAAAGCACACTGTCATCACGCACTGTCACGAGCGATGGGAGGAGGAAGAGAAGGGCACGAGCGTTTTGTGGCCTTTTTTTTTATTGTTTTTTTTCTTGTTTTTTTTTTGTTTTTGTTTTTTGTTTTTGTTTTTCTATTGTCTTTTTATTACACAAACGGGCCTCAGTGTGCTTGTGTCTTTGCGGGGCAGAGTGCGCTGTGGCACTGTTCAACCCCAGCCCAACTAACGCATACGCACCCTACTGCGCTCTGCCCTGGGCAGTCGCCGCTGGTCAAGGGGCGCGCTGAAGCGTTGCTCCACCAGCGTTCAAACCCGATCGAACGAACCACGGCTTCCGATGCGTTTCTTTGGCTTGCATCCGAGCGATGCACCGGGGGGACGGGTGTTTTGGTGGTTCGAGCAACGTTGTCGTTGTCTCGCATCTGGCATTTCTCTCACATCTGCTCGGCCAGCGCTCGTCCAGCACGACGACGAGGCAACAACACTGCTCGATGTCTCTACCTTTTTTTTTTTTTTTTTTTGATTTGATGCTAATTTTTTTTTCAATTTTGTTTTTTGATGGCAGATTTGGAACGTACTGGATTGTCGTCAACATGTTCAATCTGGCTGACAAGGAGCACTACCCTTGCATGCTGTTCTCCATCAACAGCTGCTTCAACCTGTGCCTTTGGGCAGTGGTAAGAACCTGAATGGGTTTTTTTTTTTTCTTTGTTTTTTGTGTTTGTTCCTGCTCTGTTTTCATTGGCTTTTTATTTTTTCAATTCTTTTTTTTTTTTTTTTTTTCTGGCGCGTTCGTGCTCGTCGATCCTCTCGCTCGCTCTTTCTCTTTCTGTGTCTCGTTTTTGCTCGTCGATCCTCTCGCTCGCTCTTTCTCTTTCTGTGTCTCGTTTTTCTTTCTTTCTCTCTTTTTTCTTGGCTCTCGATCGCTGTTCTCTTTTCTTTTCTTTTTTTTTTTTCCTCGAACCACACCCGCAGCTGTGACATGTGCGTTTTTCTTTCGTTTTGCTTTTTTTTGTTTTTTGTTTTTTTGTTTTCTTTGCGGTTGCCATCGCGAACGAACTCATGATGTTCGGACGATGTCGCGCGTTTTCGCATCACCACAAAACTCGGTACTTTTTGCATCGTGTCCGCGACGTGCGCTTCCACTGCGAACTGCAGGTCACTTCTTCCCAACACCTCCAGCTCGTGCAGAGTTCGCACTTGTGTTTTCAGAGTGGGTCCCCGGTCCGCCACGTTTTCTGGTGGGTTTTTTTCTTTTTCTTTTTCTTTTTCTTTTTCTATTTTCATGTTCATCCGGTTGTGTCTGCGTGTGTTTGTGTCCGTTGTGACGGTTGCGGTCGGCTTTGTTCTTTGTTTCTTTGTTTGTTTCTTTTTGTTTTTGCATCTCGAACGTGATCACTTTTGTTGACACTATCGTTGTTTTCTCACCCCCACACATCTCCATCATCTCGATGCACACAGCCCTACCTGCTCCGCATGTTCACCGCTTCGTACAAGTACCTGTGGAGCATGGAACGGCTCAACCAAAAGTCGCGCTGGTACACTGATCACAAGTGGCTCATTTCCGACAAGTTTATGTTTTGTGTGTTTGCGTTCATGACCCTGCTGCACTTCTGGGTCACGTTCGGCATCATGCTGGGTGTGGGGCTGGACTACTATCGCCAGCCCATTCTGAATTGCGATACGAAAACCAACACGCGGCCGCAAACGTACCTCGGCTTTGTGTACCTGGTTTCGGTGCTTGCCTTTGTCTTTGTCCTGCGCCGCCTCAAGATCGACGATGCCTTCTACATTAAGCGCGAAATGACCTGGGTTGCGGGCTTTGTCTTTCCCCTCTTCATTGCCTTCATCATCTCGGTCAACGTCAAGATTCCCGGCTACGACACGTTCATTCTGCAAATCCCAATCTACTGGCTTGCCTTCATTTTCACCATCTACTACCCAATCATCCTGTCCTACATTAGTGCCGTGCGGTTGAAGCGCACCGACTCGTTCTTCAACCTCGTCAATGATGCCGACTCGACCAAGACGAATCTGATGATGGTCGACCTGGCGTCGCCGTCCAGCGATGCCGCGGCCAAGGCCTCCATTGCGTCCAACGTGTCGGAGACCCAGGATCGTGCCACCGAGTCGGATGTCCTGCCCGAGTCCAGCACGCCCAGCACCCCGACCGAGAAGGTTGCCGTTCAAGTCGATCCGGCTCGCCCGATGACCCCCATGGAGGCTGCTCGTCAAGCCGCGCTCGCCAAGACGTCCATGACTGCCCTTCAGTCGAGCACGTCCCAGCTGGGCGAGCCAGGCCAGGAGGTGGAGCCCCTCGCCATCATCATTGAGCACCCCATCTTCCTCGAAGCGTTCAAAAAGTTTTCCGCGCAGTGCTGGTGCTCTGAGAACATTTTGTTCTATCTGGACGCCATGAACTTTAAGCACCGCCCGTTCAACCAAGCCGAGCTCGACCGCATCCGTCGCGAGTACCTCCAGCGCAACGCGTCCTTCGAGCTCAACATTCCCGAGTCGCTCCTCAAGACAGTCACCAGGCGCCTGGATGCTGGCGACTGCGACTGCAACTCGTTGGATCCGGTCATTGCGCAAATCCACAAGCACCTCAAGTTTGACATTTACCCTCGTTTCCGTCTGTCCAATCTCTTCCGCGACGCCCGACGACGTGCCAACACCCCTGCTCATGTGTAAAAAAACGCAAAAGAGAGAGAGAAAGGGACATTGACGACTTTGGCGCTATTCATTTCATATCTGGTCTTAGTTGCCTCCTCGCCTGTCATTTGAGCCTTGTTGTATGTTGATCGTTGGTTGTATGTTTAGTGTTGATTGTCGTGTTATGTGATCTTCTTGGTTTGTGCCTGCTTGCTATTGCTTTTCGCCCATGCTTCTGTCTGATAGCAGCTTTTGTGTGTCTGTGAGTGTGTGTCTCTGCGTCTGTGCTTGTGCTTGTGTTTGTGGTCTAATATCATCCACTCTTACCTTTTTGACTGTCTTTGCGTGCTTGTGGAGCATTCGGGGACGAGTCGCACAAACTCAATTTCGCTGGCATTTGCCCGGTTTTTGGTCCACTTTGGCCTCTCTTGTCCCAGTACTCTTTGCCATGACAAATCCGCTGATGTGTAGATCTTGTCTCGGACTCGTGCACTGCGAATGATTGAATCGAAAAGCAAATTCAGAGAGTTCAGGCCATTCTTACTTTTTGTTTCCAATCAAAAAACCCCCTTACAATTCACAATGGTTCGTGACTTTTTTTTTATTTCCAATCCCCGTTCGCATTTGTCCTCGGTGTTTTGCGCTGCTCGCGTTCGCCCATCCGCTCGGCTGAGCTCGCCTGCTCTCTTTGATGATCTGCTGCTGCTTTTGATTCATGCATGACGGTGCTGGGGCGCGATGGCGAAACGACCAGACAGACAAAAAAAAAGTGCGCTTTCAAAAAAAAAAATCAAAAAAAAATCAAAAAAAAACCTGTCGATTTTTTGGTCCCTCGCTGCTGCTTTTGCTCTCTGTCCGTCGCTGTGCAGCGGCTGTGCTGGGACTGCTTGCGGTGATGCACTCGTCGACGACGCCTGTGGGGGCCCAACCTTTGTCCGCTCGATTGTCTTGCGTGGCAATGAAGGGAAATCCCCGTCTCGTCAAACTGGGGAAGAAAACGAGATCTTTCACCACGAGACTTTTTTTTTTTTTTTTCTCGGGTGAACCACGAGTGTGCTTCGTTGCGCTCTTTTTTCCTGCTGATTCGAGGGATCGCATCCACCTGCCGCCCTTCCGCCTGTTGCGTTTGATTGTCGCAAGTGGTGATCTCGTTTTCCCTTGGGTTTTCCGCCCCGCTTGTCCTCGGGGTGTCCTCAATCGAAAGGAGCGTTTTGCCTTTCTTTTTTTTTTGCTTTTTTTTTCATTTTTTTTTCTTTTTCTCCCAATCTTTTTGGCTTTGGGGAAATCCGGTTTTTTTTTTTTTTTTTTTTTTTGGGTTGCTTTTCGAACCAAGGCCACGAGTTGTTTTTTCTTTTCTTTTTTTTTTTTTCTCCTTTTTTCCCGCTCTCTTGCTTTGTCCTGCTTCTTGCTGTCTCTCGATTTGCTCGTCATCCTAGCTTGATGTGGTGTTGATGTGCTGCTCCCAGCCGTGCCGCCTCGCATGGATCCCTGAATCGAGCGCAAGAAACAAAACGCGATTTTTTCGGCCTTTTATTATTATTTATTATTTTTTTTTTTTTTTTTTGCTCCATCCATGTGCCGGCAACTCGCCTTTGCTTGCCTCCTTCCAATGCGCTCGACTACCATCACGAACAAGCGCCTAAACTCTGCCTGTTTGCTTTTTTGACTCATCTCCATTGTTTTCGATCTGCAGGCGGGCGCTATGGAAAACGCGCGCAAGGTCAAGATGAGCGCCGAAGAGCGTGCTGATCGCTTCGGCTACGTCTTCTCGGTCTCTGGCCCAGGTCAGTGCAGACAATTGGGGGTGGCCTGCTTTGATTGAAATGGCATGGAGACAACTGCAGTTGTTTTTAGTCGTCGAGCACAGCAAAGCTCACCTTTCTTCTTTTTTTTCGCTTTTTCCCTTGGTTCCATGTTTGATCGCCATCTGCAGTCGTCGTCGCCGATCACATGAACGGCGCGGCCATGTACGAACTTGTCCGTGTCGGCCACGACGAGCTCGTCGGCGAGATTATTCGTCTTGAGGGTGACACTGCCACCATTCAGGTCTACGAGGAAACGTCGGGTGTCACTGTCGGCGACCCCGTCCTCCGCACTGGCAAGCCCCTGTCTGTGGAGCTTGGCCCTGGTCTGCTTGCCTCCATTTATGACGGTATTCAGCGCCCCCTCCGCGACATTAGCGACCTCAGCAACAGCATTTACATCCCCCGCGGTGTCAACACCCCCGCCCTCAACAAGACCGCCCAGTGGCACTTTGTCCCCAACCCCAAGATCCGCGTTGGCGACCACGTCACCGGCGGCGACCAGTACGGCACGGTCAAGGAGAACTCGCTCATTGAGCACCGCATTCTCGTTCCCCCGCTTGCTCGCGGCACGGTCAAGTTTATTGCCTCCGAGGGCGACTACTCGCTCGAGGATGTTGTTCTCGAGACCGAGTTTGCCGGCAAGGCCTCCCAGTTCACCATGATGCAGGTTTGGCCCGTGCGCACCCGTCGCCCAGACGCCGAGAAGCTCCCCGCCAACTACCCCCTGCTTACTGGCCAGCGTGTCCTCGATGCCCTCTTCCCCTGCGTCCAGGGTGGCACGACTGCCATTCCCGGAGCCTTCGGCTGCGGCAAGGTAAAGCCAAAGGAAGGAGGTTTGGAGTTTCGGGTACTTTTGTTCATTTTGCTGACCTTTTTCTGTTTTTTTTTTTTTCTCTCTCTCTCGATCTCTCTCGATCTCTCTCTTTGCTTCTTCGCAGACTGTCATCTCGCAAGCCCTGTCCAAGTTCTCCAACTCGGACGTCATTATCTACGTCGGCTGCGGTGAGCGAGGAAACGAAATGTCGGAAGTACTCCGAGATTTCCCCGAGCTCGAGATGGAGGTTGATGGCCGCAAGGAGACCATCATGAAGCGCACGACTCTTGTCGCCAACACGTCCAACATGCCCGTCGCTGCTCGCGAGGCTTCCATTTACACTGGTATCACTCTGTCCGAGTACTTCCGCGATATGGGTTACAACGTCTCCATGATGGCCGACTCCACCTCGCGCTGGGCTGAGGCTCTTCGTGAAATCTCGGGTCGTCTTGCAGAGATGCCCGCCGATTCCGGCTACCCGGCCTACCTCGGTGCTCGTCTTGCCTCCTTCTACGAGCGTGCCGGCAAGGTCAAGTGCCTCGGCAACCCCTCCCGCGAGGGCTCTGTGTCCATCGTCGGCGCCGTCTCGCCGCCCGGTGGTGATTTCTCCGACCCCGTCACCTCCGCCACCCTCGGTATTGTGCAGGTCTTCTGGGGCTTGGACAAGAAGCTCGCCCAGCGCAAGCACTTCCCCTCGGTCAACTGGCTCATGAGTTACTCCAAGTACGAGCGCGCGCTCGACCCCTTCTATGAAGATTTCGACCCCGAGTTTGTCAGCTTCCGAACCAAGTGCAAGGAAATCCTCCAGCTTGAGGAGGACTTGTCCGAAATCGTCCAGCTTGTCGGCAAGGGTTCGCTCGCCGAGTCTGACAAGATCACCCTCGAAGTTGCCAAGATTATTCGTGACGACTTTTTGCAACAAAACGGCTACTCTAACTACGATCGCTTCTGCCCCTTCTACAAGACTGTCGGCATGATGCGCAACATTTGCCTCTTCTTCGACCTCGCTCGCCGCGCTGTCGAGTCCACGGCACAGTCAGACAACAAGATCACCTTTGCCATCATCAAGGACAAGATGGGCGGCCTCATGCACGAGCTGTCCTCCATGAAGTTCCTCGACCCCATCAACGGTGAGGCTTCCCTCAAGGAGAGCTTCAAGCAGCTCGCCGAGAAGCTCCAGAATGCTTTCCGAAACCTTGAGGATTAAAAAAAGAGATTTGTTTTTTTTGCTTCATTTCCCCCCCCCCCGTCTCCAGTTCTATTTCTCTTGCTCCCTCTCTTTCTTTCCAACTTTTGTTCCACTCTTTCTTTCTTTTTACCCATTGGTGGTTTCCTTGTATGCAATCTTGCGTGTTTGTTTTGCTGTAGCTCTTGTCCAATTTGAAATTGTTTTTTGAAGTTTTCATGGTTTTTTGTTTTTCCTTTTCATTGGTTGTTTTGAACTACTGTAATGGACGGAGGATTGTCAAAAAATCATTCATTCATTCATTCCATAATTTGTTAAAAGAAAAACAAAAGCCCAACCATTACTGGCTGACACCCTCTGGCAAATTGCTGGCATAACCGCCAAAATCATAATCAATACCAGCGGCTTCCAATCGGGCGCGCACCATCTCCTGCTTGGAAATGAGCTTGAGTGCGCGGTTGCCTTCTTGAACAAGATCGCGCTCCTATCAGAGAACAGTCGTCGACGCCAATGTGAGCGCGCGAAACTAGAACCGCACACAAAATCAAACACATCTCGATGTCGCGTTTACCTTGTTGTGACGCGCCTTTTCGTTCAAGCTGTAGGAAATGTGTCGGAACTCGTTCTTGGCGTTCTTGAATGTTTGTGGGTGGACGTCCTTCTTGTCAAGCAGTTGGCACTGCAGCAGTCGGCCGAAAATGAGGTAGTTGTTCATGGTCTCTGCAACAGTCTGAGCAACGACGCGGTCGCCAAACTCGACGAATGCAAAACCGCGGGATCGGCCAGTCTGGGTGTTGAAGTAGGGAGAGGGTGGAAGAAACGTGAGCGCAAACACCTTCAACCAAGACAAAATAAAACGAAACAAAACAAACCGAATATAACAGAACATACCTTCTTGTTGCGCGACATGCGCAGGCGATAAACGTTGCCAAATTGGGAGAAAAATCGTCGCATCTGCTCCTCGTAGAAACCGTACGGGATGTGACCGACGTACAAGACTCCTCGCTCGGTCTTTGTTTTGGTCTTGGAGGCAGCACGCTTTGCCTGTTGCATACCAACAATGAAAAATGACAACCCCGTGAGCAATCGGAAAGCGTCGGAAACACAAGGGGAATGGTGGTTGTGGCTCAAAATAATCAGCATCTCTGCTGCCCGCCCTTTTGACACTCTTCCATCTTTTAGCTTTTTGGTTTGCAGAGAAACGCCCAGTACCAGGTGCAATCAGAGCCTGTCAAGTGCCATCTGCCAAGCCCTCTCCCCAAAAAGCCAGTCGCCAATCTACACCCTCCCAAATGCTGTTGTGGAGAAGAACTGAAATGCAAGCACTAGTCAAAGATGCCTGTATTACAGCTCTTCTGCCACCCAGCAAAACGAGTGCGCAATGAGAAACCGAGATGAAAGAAGGCAGGCAGAGCAAAACAAAGCGAAAGAGCGAAAAAAAAAGCAAAAAAAGGGAACAAACAAAAATAAAGAGAAAATGGAGAGCGGGGAAAAATCCAATGTGTCGAGCAAACACACACCGACCAGACCCACAATCCGCATCACCCGTGTCATAGTGGCACCAGGCATTCCCAACAGACCGAATCGCAAAAAAAAAAAGAAGAGCGGCGAGAAAAAGGCAAACAACAAACTAAACAAGATAAAAAAAAAAGCAAAAAACAGCGAAAACCGAGGAAAGAGCAGCAGAGAAGAAGAAGAAAAGAAAAAAAGCAAGCAAAATATCACATGCAGATCAACGTCTGGAAAAATCAGGAAAAAAATCACACAAGAGGAGAGAAGGGGAAGCAGGTCGAGGGGAACCAATTGTCCCAAGCCCCCGACCCCCCAATTTGAGGTGTTTAGCATACCTCAACAGCTTGAAGGTTGGTCTTCAGGCGGTTGAGAGTGGCCTGGTCGAGGCGGATCTCCTGGCGCTGGGCCTTGAACTCGTCGTCGTCGATCGGCTCGGCGTCGGAATCGGCAGCCTCGTCGTCGTCGTCGTCGCCAGCAGCGTCTTCGCCCTCTTCCTCGGCGCCGTCGTCCTCGCCATCATCACCCTCCTCGTCGTCGTCCTCGGGCTCCTCGTCGTCGTCGCCCTCCTCTTCCTCGGCGTCGTCCTTCTTGGATGGCTTGCGCTTGTCGCCCTTCTTGGGCTCCTCCTCCTGCTCCTCATCGTCCTCGTCCTCCTCGTCGTCGTCGTCATCGTCGTCGTCGCCCTTGTCCTCGACTTCCGAGTCTTCCTCGTCGTCCTCGGGGTCGGAGTAGTCCTCCGGCAGCGCGTCAAGGACCTCCTCCTCCTCCTCGTCTGTTTCGCGATGGATTGTCACAAGTGCAAGTGAGACCAACCAAAATCAACAAGCGACACAAACGTCCACATCCATAGCAAAGAGCGAGATTGAGAGTGTGTGGTTGCATGAGCTGCTGCTGCGATCCGACAACCAACGGCTGGAAGCGCCACTTCCACGTGGGACGGACGAGGCAGCGGCGCTCGCTGCGGCTCTCAACGTCGACCCCCGCAACCCCCCCCCAAATGGGAGTCTGTGGAAAAGGGACTGGGTGCTCTGAACGCAGCCCACTGAATGTGCAATGACTGATGCGCACGGAGCGAAGAGTGAAAGGGGGAGCGCAAAAGCGGGAAAGGGAACCGCATGGGGCGCTTTTCCATTCAATCCCCAATCTCCAAGGCAGCTCAGGGGGTGCCTATGAGACTGCGAGCGTATCGATGTAGAGAAGCTGTGTGCGTGGTTACCCTTGGCCAGGCGGCGGCTCTTGCGGGTGGTGGGCTCGTTGTCGCTGGAAGCGCGCTTGGTGCCTGAAAGCAGAAAAAATAAAAGGAAAAAATCATATTAGTTAGTACGCGCACTAAGGAAATTATAGCCATGGTGGAGAGCGGGTTGGTAAAGATTGCTGTTTTTGTTTCATTTGATGTTCATACCGCGAGAAGACATTTTGTGTTTGTGAAAGGATTGAAATGAAAAATAAGAAAAGTGAGCTATGACTTTTGGAGTTGATCAAGAGTGTTGAGGAACGAGGATGATGTTCTAGTTGGACAACTGCTTCAATGGATGGATGAATAGATGGATGAATGGATGGATGATCGTTGAGTTGTGCGTGATTTTTGCGCAAGGTTTTACACTTTGTTTTTCCCGCACTCCCTCAAACCACGTACCATACCAAGAATATCATAGACGGTCCAGATTTCATTGATCACTTTGGTGATTCTTCCTGCAACTCTACCATCTGAGCGAACCTCGAGATAAGCAGTCTCAGTCCCATTATTCATCTCTATTTTTTTTTTTTTTTTTTTTTTTTTTTTTTGGTTTGGTCTCAGTGTTCAGGCAATCGTACATGGTTTGCGGCACGCGGTTTGACTGCCCTGCCAAGTACTCGCTGATCAAACCCATCGGGGGTGCCTACGGAGTCGTCTGGTAAGCCCTGACACACACACAACACACACAACAGGATGACTGATAGAGAGCGAGAACTGGGTCCTCTGTGCGATTGCGGCTTTGACTCAATCACCCCCCCCTTTTCACTTGCCCCACTCGCCATTCTGTCCATCTCTAGTGCTTGTGCGTGTGTCTTGTGTGGAGCCCTTCCCTTGTGCTCGGCGATCAAGCAGCGACAATACAGCAGTGATGATCCAGTCTGCGGTTTTTTTTCTTTATTTTCCTTTCTCCTTCTTTCTTTTGAGCCAGACGATGACGCATAGCACCCCTCGCGTTTGCGCCAAGAAGAAGGGGGAAACCAACTGATCTCTGCACGCATTCCCCCGTTTTCTCCCCCTCTCTCTTCGATTTGCTTCAAATCATGAAATCGAACATCCAGAAAAAAAGAAGAAAAAAAAGCGATAAATTCGCAGCAAATCCAGATTAAGCAATGAAAGCCCTTTTTTTTTTTTTTTTTTTTTTTTTTTTTTTTTTTTTTTTTTTTTTGCTTTCTTTGCTTGTTTCTGTATTTTCGACTCTCACAACGAAACCCACACTCACACAACTTCTCCATTCGCTCGTTTTGCTTTGTTTTGTTTTGTGCTTTGTGGCTGTGAGCAGCTCGGCGCAGAACAACCTGCTTGGACGCCGTGTCGCCATCAAGAAAATTATCAAGGCATTCGAACACCTCACCGATTCAAAGCGAACCCTCCGCGAGATCAAGCTCCTGAGGCACTTCCATCACGAGAATGTAATAATGCAATAGCAACACAGTGCAAAAAAGCACCGCAGCAGCGAGACCGAGTCCGCGCACACCTCATTCTGGAGGAAAACAGAGGAGAGGAGAAGGGGGTGTGAACAAGCAACAGTATGCGGTTTTCATGTCTCGGAGGTTTTGTCGAAGAACACTCTGGCGGTCCGATGATCTGACCTGATGGTGGTCTGATCGGAAATGCATTCATCAGCGAAGAAGAAAATGCATCGGTGGAAGGCGTCCTGCGCCGTACAGAGGGAACAAAAAGAACAGAGCTTCTTCTCACTCTCTTGACCTTGTCGGAATTGGCAGGTCCTCTCCATTGAAGATATGCTCCAACCGACCTCCTATGAGCAGTTTGACGATGTGTAAGCAACCCGCGCGTCTGTCTGCAACAGTAACACAAGAGAATTGTCACTGACGTTGCGCTCCACAGCTACCTGGTCTCGGAGCTGTTGGACACAGACCTCCACCAGATTATTGGCTCTCCTCAACAGCTGACAGACGACCACTGCCAGTACTTTCTCTATCAAATTCTCCGAGGCTTGAAGTATATTCATTCGGCAGGAGTGCTCCATCGCGACTTGAAGCCGAGCAATTTGCTGTTGAATGGCAACTGCGATTTGAAGGTAAAGTATGGGTTGGTTTTTGTGTTTGTTTCCTTGAGCGCAAGAAGGCAGCTCTGTCGTTTCAAAGTCTTGTTGCGCATTGACGGTTGGATGCCATCACTAACACGGCAACATCAACAAAATGTCGCAGATTTGCGATTTTGGTCTCGCTCGCGTTGCACAAGCTGGCGACGCATCTGCAGCTGGGTTTATGACAGAGTATGTCGCCACTCGGTGGTACCGAGCCCCTGAGATTATGCTCTCCTGGCGCGAGTACACCAAAGCTAGTAGGTGTTTTGTTTGTTGGTTTTTGTTGTGCGGTTGTCGATGTTTGCGGACTTACTCTCCTTTCTTCTGTCCTTTTGACTCTGCTCATACTAGTTGATATGTGGTCTGTCGGCTGTATTTTCGCTGAACTGCTTGGACGTCGACCCTTGTTTCCCGGCAAAGACTGTACGGCCCTTTTGTTGTTGCCTCGAAGCGTTTTCGAAGCGTTTGCTGACTCAATCGGTGACTCTACGCATTTGCCTTTTGCACCATCTCTTTTTTTAGTTTTGCATCAATTGAGCTTGATCACCGACGTGCTCGGTTCGCCTTCCAACGACGACATTGCTGGCATCAGCAACGACAAGGTTTGTTTTCTTGTTTGACGTTGACAGTTATTTGCGATGGCTCTTTTTTCGTTCTTGCTTGAGTTGACTTTGTTGCTTCCTTGAATGTAGGCACGTCGATTTGTGCGGCAATTGCCCGCCAAGCCAAGAATTCCATTCCAAACCATCTACCCGAATGCCAATCCAATCGGTGAGTTCTGTTCTTGTGACTCGTTCCAGACCTGGTCGAATCTCGTGCTCATTTTCTTTTCTTTTGGATTGGCCCTACAGCGCTCGATCTCTTGCAGCGATTTTTAATGTTCAATCCGGACAATCGTATTTCTGTTGAAGAAGCTCTTGCTCATCCCTATCTTGCACCGCTGCATGACCCAGCCGATGAGGTACAGCAGCAGCACACTGTTCATTCCACCAGTCGAGTTGAACGCGACCCCTCATTCATTTCTGTTTTTCTTGTTTGCTGCAGCCGACTTGCCATTCCACGTTTAATTTTGATTTCGAAAATCGGCCGCTCACGAAGGAAATCATCAAAGGTAAAAGAGCAGAAGAAATAAACAACGAACTGTCGAGTTTGCTCCGTCCTGAAACTGACGTGATGAATGGCTCCTTGACCAATGTTGACAGAACTCACCTTCCAAGAAATGCTGGCCTTCCATCCCCCAGTGGCCGGAGATGAGCATGCGCTCTTCCTGCACAGCCAACTCCAAATACTGCAACAGCAGCAAGTCCTGCGGGCACAACAACTTATCCTCTACGAGCAAGCCGTCATCCCACCCGAAGGAGGCGGCGAACTGCCGTACGTGATTTTGGCAATGAATGCGATTTTCGTTGTTTCAGCCTCTACTAACCTCTCGTCCTGTTTTGGTTTGCTGTTTTTATGCGTGCGACAGCTTTGATGCCGTGCTCAGTGATGACATGATTGCGCCTTACGCTCAAGGATGATTCATTTGTCAGAATGACTTGCCGAGTTTGTTGTCGAGCTGTCGACTTTTGTGCTGTTGCCAAACGAATCGCTCCTCTCGACTGTACATTACACCACTATAGAATAGATCTTACATTGCAGTCCACTTTACTGAGCACCAATGCTTGCGACTCTGCAACGCAATCGCTCCGTGCTGGGCGTCGGTGCTGCTGCTGCTGCCTCGTCTCGCGGCGGCGTGATTGCGCACCGCCTTGCATCACAATCATTGTCATCCACGAATGCGCTTGTGGCATCTGCCGGCGGCCCATCGAGCCGTCATGTGTCCCAGAGCGCCTTGATCGGCGCGGCGGCAACGCTGCCAAGACAACCAGCGCCGATCACCATCACACACGCCTGCTCCCATCCGAATCACTCGAGTCGACCACTGCCGTCATGCGCACGCCACCCAGCGCTGGCCGTCGCTCGGGGTCGCGGTCGTGCACTGGGACTGCCGGACACGCTGCTGCACACACATGCTCGCTCGATTCACGCCCACATGGGAGGCCGCGCATCTGCCAAGAACCACGCCGGCGGCGGTGGACATGGCAATCGCAAGCCATCTTCGTCTGGAAAGCCGTCCGGTGCCTTCCCAGCACCCGACCTGCAGACCGCCCAAGCCTCAGTCTCGTCGCGGCTCTTTGCTGTTGGAGGCGCTTCACCACCACCTCCTCCTCCTCCTGCTGCTGTGGTGGCACCACCACCTTCATCATCATCGTCATCATCTGTTTCTCCACAGAGTAGCGCTGCTCAGTCATCGTCCACGCCTGTCAAACCGGTCCAAAAGCCTGCGAAAATGGTCGAAATCTTCCGCGGCATGTCTGCCGAGCTCCTCGCGCAACGGTTGCGAGTGCCATTCAAGCAGCTGCAGCCAGTGCTCCAATTGCTCGCCGATGAGGACGCCGATGTGTCCCCTGCGTCAGCTCTATCCATTGAAACGGCAGAGCTGGCCGCCCTCGAGTACGAGTTTGACGCCAAGATCGTCTCGCCACCGTCCAAAAAAGCACCCGTGCCTCCGCAGAATGCAGCAACGCAACATCAACAACAACATCAGCAGAGGCAATTTCCACCACATCAGCGCAGAGGCGCTCAGCCACCACCACCACCACCACCAACACGTGCACCAGCGATGCCGACCAACCCTTCGCGAAAGCCACGGCCACCCGTCGTCACCATCATGGGACACGTCGACCATGGAAAAACAACATTGCTAGACTCGCTAAGGAAAACGTCCGTTGCAGCAGGTGAGGCAGGTGGAATCACGCAACACATTGGTGCGTTCAAGGTGCCCCTGCCGAACGGCGGCGCGGCAACGTTTCTCGATACCCCTGGACATGCCGCGTTCTCTGCCATGCGCTCGCGCGGTGCACGTGCAACCGATATCGTGATTCTGGTTGTGGCCGCGGACGACGGCGTCATGCCCCAAACAGTCGAGTCGATCGAGCACATTCGCGCGTCGCGAGCGCCCATGATTGTGGCCGTCACAAAGTGCGACATGCCAATGAGCAACCCCAAAAACGTCTACCAGCAGCTGCTCAAGCATGGTGTCCATGTGGAAGCGCTTGGCGGCTCCGTCCAGAGCGTGGAGCTGGCCGCACCCAAAGGCCTTGGTTTGAGCGACTTGATTGAGAATATTGCAGCCCTGACCGAGCAGATTGCCCCCGAAGCCGAGCAGGATGGGCCAGCGGAAGCAATTGCCATCGAAAGCAAACAGCGCGAAGGAATGGGCATGGTTGTCACATGCCTGGTCACGCAGGGCATTCTCCGAGAGGGTGCCATTCTGGTGAGCGGAACGGCGTTTGCGCGGGTTCGTCGACTCAGTAACGATCGCGGCGAGGCGGCTTCGGAAGCCTTCCCTTCCGATCCCGTCGAAGTGGTCGGATGGAAGCACGTCGTCGAGCTCGGCGGCCACATTGTCGAGGTTCCCTCGGAAGATCGCGCCAAGCGCCTCGTATCCGTCCGCGCCAGCAAGAAGCAGTCGCAACAGACATCTCAAGCGCCCAATCTGGCATCCGAGGGCTTTTCCGACCAGATGAGTCGCGAAGACCGCAGGCTTCGCAGCGTTCGCCTCGCCTCCCACGGCCGCATTGTTGTTGCCAAGCGTGGCATTGACGCCGAGGCAACCCAACACAACGTCAAAGAGGCGGAAGCAGCCGCTCGTGCCGAGCCCGTGTCACTCAACATTGTGCTGAAAGCGGACGTGGTCGGGTCCATGGAGGCGATCGCAGCCTGTCTGGCTGGACTGCCGCAATCGCAAGTTCGCGTCTCGGTTGTGCGCCAGGATATTGGAGCCATCACGCAGTCAGACATTGATATTGCGGCTGCATCTGACGGTGTCATCATCACCTTCAGTCAGCCCGCTCCGTCCAAGGCGATTGACACGAAGGCTCGCGCGGCCGGCGTGGACATTCGCAGCTACAACATCATCTACAAGCTGCTCGATGACATGAAAGAGCTCATGCGATCGCGCCTGCCCTCGCGGACCGTTGAGAAAACCCTGGGCACCGCGAATGTACTGGCCTGCTTCCCGCACTCCCGTGTCCCCGGTCTCATTGCAGGCGTGCGTGTCCAAACCGGTAGCATGCTGCGCAAGCACAACTTTAGCGTCACGCGCAAGGGTCAGGTCATCTTTAGCGGCAAGGCGGTCGCGTTGCGGCACGTCAAACAAGACGTCGAGACGCTTGATCGTGGCGGCGAAGGTGGTCTACAGCTCGAAAAGTTTGGTCCTTTTGAGATTGGCGATGAAATCCGTTGCTTTGAGCTCAAGGAAGAGCGACCTGAAATTGAAGAGTATTAGGATGGGTGAAATTTCTTTGTGCTTTTCAACGCCAATGAATAAACGAATGCCACATCACAATCAATAAAGACGACAAGAACAATGGGAGGCAATTTCGTGTATTTGGTGGTTTAGCATGCAAAACAAAGACAATACAAAAGAACAGACAAGCAGATCACTCAAAGCAACGCTTGAAGCCAAGAATGCTGAGCTTGCAGCGTGAGCAAGTACGCGCGCAAGCTTTGCTCGTCCATTCGTGACTCTTTCGCGACTTGAACAAGTTTGGAAGCGAGCTGAAACACTGCGCGATCCACGGCAAACTCTGGTGCCGCGCTTTCGTCGGGTTGACCTTGAGTCTCAATCACCGAGAGGGCGTTCCGTGCGCGCTCGAGCACTTGAGCTGGAAATCCAGCGACTTCGGCGAGTTTGATGCCTACTCGGGTCATGTCAGTGAGTTGCAAGGTTTCAGCAGACAAAGTTGAAGCAGACAAGCGGAGACAGAGTTGTTCGGTTGGTTTTTTTTTTTGTTTTTTGCTCAATACCGTAGTGAGTCTCCTTGGATGGGCCCTTGCGGATGACATGGGTGAACACGGGCCGCGCCGAGTCACTGCCTAGGTTCTGTGGATGCAAACAGAGGGGCATTGATTGAGTGAAGGAAACGTACAGCTTCTGACAATGACAACCTGTTCTAAATGCTACTTGCCTGGACTTCAAGATGGAAGCTGGCAATGCAGAACGACGGGGTCACGCGTGCCAATCAGTGCACACACAATACCGACCAAAACCTGAGCAAATTGTTTCATGAAGGTTGAACGAACGGAAAAATACGTACTTGGCCACATTCGGATAGAGCGAGTCGAGCAGTGTCAGCTCTTCAAAGTGAGTCGCAAAGAAGGTGAATGCCTTGAGCGAAAGCAAGTACTCGCAGATGGCGTGGCAAATGCCAACCGCCTCTTGTGCACTCGTGCCTGCCAGAACAAATGCGGCGTGAGTATTCGTTTGCAACGGCCCTTCGATTTGCACGGCACAACACTGAGCTTGTCTCACCGCGACCCAGCTCATCGATAATGATCAGCGATCGGTTTGTCGCGTGCTGGAGGATGTATGCCGTCTCTCGCATCTAAGAACAGCACGCGCGCGACAGCGTAGAGCTCAGTGAGCAAAAAAAGCATTTGCTTTTGGATTACTCAATGAAAGTCAAGCAATCATCACCTTACCTCGAGCATAAAGGTGGACGAGTTTGACTCGATGTGGTCATCGCTCCCAATTCGAGAAAACAGGTGATCTGAGATGCGCAGCGAGGCGTACTCTGCCGGCACCAAGCATCCCATCTGCGCCACCACCTGCATAATGGCGATCTGTCGAAGGTAGGTTGACTTGCCGCTCTGGCAGTCCATGGGGGCACGTCAAGTGATCGGATTTTTTCAGTGAGTGGTTCATCATCTGCTCCTTTCAAGATGTCAACTTGTGAGATGCGTACCATGTTTGGCCCCGTGATAATTTGAAAGTTGCATCCGCTCGACATGAACACGTCGTTCGTGACAACCGAGGCCTCGTCCGCGCTGTTGAGATGCTCAATGATGGTGTGGCCACCAGCTTTCACGGCAAGCGTATCAGTGAACTCGGGTCGAACTGGAGCAAATACATTTCCGAAGAGACAGCGGTGTGAGATTGCAACGAATGTGCTCGAGAACCCAACATGCGCAAACAAAAACAACGCAGTACCGGCCTGGCGTGATAGCGTGGCATGGTGAGCAAACGACTGGAGCATGTCAAGAATCGCCAAAACCTCGGTCAGCTTGTAGAGGCTGCTGATCATGTCACGGATGTCAAGCAGGACATTTGCAAGCACTCTGGTGGGGGACGGGAAGGAGTTTTTGGTCAGTTTTGTGCATTTGCATGCTGTTAGTTGCATCTCCGTCCCAGCATGCAAGCATTAGCGAGAACTGATGAAACGCACGCGTTGGACATCAAGTACGTTTCTTGCAGCGACTCGTTGACACGATCTAACATCGACCAAAATTGTGTGAGAGTTGCAAATGGGTCAGATACCTCAGCAACAGGCCAGAGCATTGTTCGGCTTACTGTTGAGCTTGATCTATCAGCATCGGCAAGGCAAACAACACTGCATCGTAAGCAGCACTTCGTTCGGAACGCGCTTGCAACCGCAAAACCCCTTACCATGTCCGAAGAGGTGAACGACAGCGTCTTCTTGGAACGCACCACCTGCTGAAAGATTTTAGGAAGGCCAAAGTTTCCCAGGGCTGGGCGTGAGGAGGAAGCTGGCTGTCGAGCGCGATTGTCGCTGTTGACTTCGTTGCCGACTTCATCGTCCGCATCATCATCATCATCGTCGTCGTCGTCGCTATCGTCGGCAGCGGCATTTGCCGGACGAGCCGAACCGCTCGTTTGAGCTGGTCCACCCGGCACCATCGAGACAGGAGTGGTGATGTAGAACCCGCGGCTCGCACTGAAAGCAGTCTTCAGCGGCAGGACAAACTTGGTTGCATACTGGGATGTCAAGTTGTAGATGTCTTCAACGGTCTCAGTGTAGGTGCGGCGAGCTACATCGAGCAACCCATTGATGCCAGGTTTCACAGCAAAGCATTTCTGAGGAAAACACAAATAGACCAAAGAGCCACGGCATTTTTGTTTTCAGGTTAAAACCCAGTGGAGCTTTGTAGCAGTGAAACTTGCCTGAGATCGCATGAGCAGGATGCCCTTCTGGAACTTGGTATCGTCACTGATGGCTTCGTCAATCTTGGCACGGATTTGAGCAAACCGCTCGTCCTCGAGCATCTAAAGGTATGCCACAAATGCAGCAATTGGTGCATGCAATGGTTTGTTGACTGAGGTAAACTCCAACTGCTGGCGACAGAAAACTCGTACTTTGGCGCAGCCTTGCAACAATGCGGATGAAGCCCCCGAGAGCGTTTGGCGAAGCTGCGGGATGAGATCAAGCACGTGCTTGAGATGGATGAGATTGGTAATGTTGGTGTCGGCAATCGTAATGGAGTGCTGCTTGGGAATCGTGATGAGCTGGGAGTCATAGGCAGAGCCAGACAGCGTGAGCTACGAAGGCATGCGCGCAGAATCTCAGAGCTTGAAAGTTACCAGAGCAATCAAGTGGCCGACGTCCAAAAACTTGGAGAGGATGTCCTGGAGACCAAAGAACATGTCCTGCATGACACGCAAAAATGATTGGATCGTAGTGCAAAACATCACAGAGAAGACAGTAAAGTTGGAACTTGCATACATCGTTTGTCGTCAATTCTGTCAATGCAAACGAGGATGTGAGCTACAGTTGTTGCAGAAAATCGCTTTCGTTTGCGCTCGCCCACCTTCAACGGCATCCAAACGCGTCTCGATGGTGTTCAAGTCTGTGCAAGCAGTGGTACTTCGACGTCAGTGACAACGTCTCACCACAACAACCAGAGCTTATGTGGGCTCCCGACCTGTGGGCGGCTGAAGAATGTTGGAACGAAGGAGCCGGGCTGGTGTTGATGAACGCCGGCAATGAGATCGCATCCAGAATGAAAGTGCATGATCCCTTTTTCAATACTCTTACCTCCTGGAATCGTGTAGCAGTGGTTGAGAACACCGTACAGCGAGGCTTTGCTCTATGCAGTGAAACCAACATTTCAAAGTGCGTCAACCACGATTTCACACTTCCAGCATGTCTGATAAACTTTAATTCCCCAATTGCCGCATACCGATGGGTCGCGAGCGTTTGCCAGAAGCTCCAGATGCTTGCAGGTGGTCAGATCTGGATCGGACACAATAAAATCAGCCACAAACAACACGAAACACGCTTTTGTGCGTTTTTTTTTTTTTTTCAATCTATTCTCGGTGGAACCCCTCAAGAAGGCTCTTACCAATCATCATGGACTGCTCGCTTCCGCGCATGACGACATCCAGCGAGTGCGGGGCGTACACGGTGTTTTGGATAAACTCCAAGTACTTGAGCAGAGCTGCGGCTGTGGCCAAGCTGTAGTACTTGCCTGCCACTTCAATCTCAATGCTGCTGCTGTTGTCTTTGAGAACAAGGTTGCGGATGTATTGCAATCCTGTTGGACGGCAAAGTGAAGGGGACTTTCCGGCAAAAACAAAACACTTGCACACAAATTCGGTCGAAAAATGTTGCAGCATCGCTCACCGCACCTTTCGTCTCGTTAAAGTACTTTCTCTGCACTGTAACGAGATTGCTCAGAGGAAACTTTTCGTTGATGACGTTGTAGAGCTTGAGGGCCTGATTGTTGTCAAAAGCAGTGTTTGGCATGATGATCTAACCCATGCCAAGAAGAGCATCAAAAGTCGCTACAAAAATCAGCATTTCGGAAAAACGGCAATCTTGCCCCGGAATTCAAGAGATAAAATTGCAATCATCTTTCGGTCAAAAATTGGCGATGAAGGGGCACCTCGATAGGCTGGTACAGTTGCAACTTGGCGAGCACTTTCGAGTACGTGGCATTGTCTGCAAACTACCAGATGCAGGCCGTCCAAAGGAGTTACAAAAACAAAGTAATTTATATTTTACGTGAGTTGAGTCAAGATCGGCGAGTAGGGCGGGAGGTTTGTGCCATTGAAACGGCGCTACCTGTGAGAGGGTCAGAACTGGCCGTTTCAAATCGATGCAGGCCATTCCTATCTCGCCGCCAAGCGCACGGCTCTCCACGATCGCTGTGATTCATTGTGATTGTTTTACAAACGAGCCACCATTGCAGAAATGTGAGAGCCATTGCGCCACCCAAGCCAAGAAAGTGAGAAGGAGAGTCCGCCAAAATTTGGCGCCAAAACATGAACGCACAATCGACAGCCCAAATTCGCGTTCATCACAACTTTCACGCCCAGGTCGCCCGCACGCCACCACGGCTTACCGACAATCGCTGAGGGAGACCCAGATGAGATGGTTGATGTGCCGGTAGTGAGCGCATGTGTGCCCGGCGTCTTGCCATGGCGCGCCGCGGCGCCAGTTGAGGTCGAAACGGTGTTGCGTGAAACATTTGCTGGCGTGCCACCGAAGCCGCGGCTTCCTGGGCGCGGTCCTGCTGCTGCTGCTGCTGCACTTGTCGAAGCATTCTGTGATGCCATGCTGCTGGAGCTCGCAGGAGGCCCAGTCGACGCACGCGCGCCGTCCAGGTTGGCGCCGGCGGTCAGCGTTCCGAGGTCTGTCCGGACAACCGTCGCCAAAATGGATGGAGGTGCGACGCTCAAGTGAGATCAAGCCTCAATGAGTCGACTTGGCGTGATGATTAGCTTACCATAGCGAGAGGTCATTGCAGGCGTGCAGACAGAGGAACAGAAAGCACAGAAAAGAACAAACAACAGGGAGATGAAAAATGACTGATCGACAACATCCCATTTTCGGTTGTCATATTCACACTGAATACAATGCCATGTCATGGAACACGGAATTGATTGATTGATGCTTCAGGCTTCAAGGTCAAAGCACTCAGTCTTTTTGTTCCATCCAATGTTCAACCAGCTGATTCGAACACTGCCAGCCGTCGCTTCGGTTTGTCCCTTTCTTCCTTTCTTTCATCGTTGCCATTTCTCCTGCTTTGTGTCTGCTCTTTTCCACACTTGCTCTGTCTTGGCACGACCTTCTCTCTCTCTTCCCCACCTCATGGCTCCTTGCTTTGGCTAGGCTGAAGGGACTCTCTCTCTCTCTCTCTCTCTTCCCCACCTCATGGCTCCTTGCTTTGGCTAGGCTGAAGGGACACAAGGACAAAAAAAAACTCTCGCCTGGTGCCTCGCTGCGCACCTCTCGCATTCGTGCACCTTTCATCTGCACTGATTCACTCCCTCGCTGCGCACCTCTCGCATTCGTGCACCTTTCATCTGCACTGATTCACTCGCACGAGAGAGGGAGAGGGAGAAGTGTGGCGCAACTGTGATCCCATTGAAAAAAAGAAAGAAAGAAAAAAAAAAAAAAAAAAAGTCACGGTCATTGAATCCACGCAGTATCAATGATCAATGAGGGGGACGCTGATCACTGATCACGAACAGATTCCCCTTTCGAACTGTGTAGTGTGTGCAACCAACACACTGGCATCATGGCACTGAGCAGCATTGACTCACCTCAGCTTGTTTCTGACTGACGGACAGCGATGCGTTGTGGCACGAGCGTCCGCACGATCCATGCACGCCGTCAGCGCCGCCGCGCTCGCAGGCAAGCCGCAGATCAACGCCAGTGCTGCTGCAGTCACTGCCACCACCGCCACCGTCGTCAAGGGCAAGACCCCCGCCGAGGGCCCCGAGATGACCTTGTACCCTGGCGCCACTGCTCCGTTCACGGACAAGCTCGAGTTTCTGCGCAACGGCACCGACCGCGGCCCAATCCCTTGCTATCGCATCATGGATCGCACCGGCACCATCCTTGACGGCTCGCAGGATCCAAACGTGAGTGGTGGCATTTCGACGAGCGAGAGCTTACTAGGATTGTGTTTTGTGTTGTCGTCTCACTCTCTCTCTCTCTCTCTGCATCTTGCGACTTTGCCAGTTTGATACTGCCACCCTCGAGAAGATGTACGTCACAATGTCGCGCCTCAACGTCATGGACGGTATCCTGTACGAGTCGCAGCGCCAAGGCCGCATCTCGTTCTACATGACCAACTATGGCGAGGAAGCCACGCACATTGGCAGCGCTGCTGCTCTCGATGACCGGGACATGGTGTTTGGCCAGTATCGCGAGGCTGGCGTCCTCATGTGGCGCGGATTTACCCTTGACGAGTTTATGAACCAGTGCTACAGCAACAGCAAGGATCCCGGCAAGGGCCGTCAGATGCCTGTGCACTATGGCTCCAAGCGCCTCAACTTCCAGACCATCTCGTCGCCGCTTGCGACCCAGATGCCCCAGGCCGCCGGCGCCGCCTACGCCTTCAAGCGAGCTGGCAACGGTCTTGCCGTTATCTGCTACTTTGGCGAGGGCGCTGCCAGCGAAGGCGATGCCCATGCCGCCTTCAACATTGCATCCACCACCGATGCTCCGTGCATTTTCTTCTGGTATGTATGCAGAGCGCTGCTGCCGCTGGAAACATCAGCGATTTTTTTTTTTTTTTTTGCAGTCGTGCTCATTTTGAGTTTTGCCTTGTTTGTTCTTCCTCACGTCCAGCCGTAACAACGGCTACGCCATCTCGACCCCTACTCGTGATCAGTACCGTGGCGACGGCATTGGTATGGCGACATGCTTCCGACGCGACGGTCTTTTTTTTTTTTTTTTTTTTTTTTTTTTTTTTTCTCGTTTTTCTCACTTGGTGTCGCTCTCGTTTTGTTGTTTACAGCAAGCCGCGGCGCCGGCTATGGCATTGACACAATCCGCGTTGACGGCAACGACGTCTTTGCCGTGTACAACGCGACCAAGGCCGCCCGCAAGTTTGCCGTCGAGCAAAACCGTCCCGTGCTGATTGAGGCCATGACTTACCGGTACGGGTTCAAAGCAGAGCACAAACGAAAAGCAAAGCAAAACAAAGCAAAGCAAAGCAAAACAAAACAAAACAAAACCAGACTCCTCCCGGTCGTTTGTGCGTTGCCCTTCTCCCCCCCCCCAAACTCACCTTTTTGTATCCCATTCGCTTTTGACGTGTGACAGTGTGGGACACCACAGCACAAGCGACGACTCGTCTGCATATCGTCAAGCCACTGAGGTCAATCGCTGGGTCAAGGAGGACCACCCCATTACCCGCCTGCGCTTGTACATGGAGAAGAAGGGCCTGTGGGACGAGGCTCGCGAGCAGGCACTCAAGAAGGAGGCCCGTGCTCAAGTGCTCGACCACTTCCAAAAGGCCGAGACGGAGCTCAAGCCCGCAATCAAGCACCTCTTCACCGATGTGTTTGACACTGTGCCGCTTCACTTGCAGCGTCAGCAAGAGGAGATGCGCGCGCACATTGCCAAGTATCCCGCCGACTATCCCACGCAGTTGTATGAGAAGGATTGAGGAGAGTGTGGTGTATGTTGTCCGAGTGTTTTCATGCACAACTGAAATGAAAAAAATCCAAGGGTGTTTTTTTCTTTTAATTTCGTTTTTCGAGTAGTCGCCATCAGTGGAAACAGTAGTGTTGTAACGGGGTTGAGCGAGAAAAAAAATTGTATTGAACAGAGAGACACTTTAAAAACAACCAAAATCAAAAAAGAGGGGGCGAGCTCAGTCAAGCCATCATCCATGCATTGGGGGACAACCAGAAAGTGGGAAAAAGGAGAGGAGGAACTCGAACAAAGAAGAAGAAGAAAGAGAAGAAAAGAGCCAGGAGAGCAAAAACACACGAGCCAAGCGCACATTTTGCAAACATTTTTTCACAAGTGGTAGTGTTGTGCGGAGCAACTCGAGAAGGGTGACACAGAACAATGGAGTTGACCAAGGTCTGTGATCTGCACCTTCACTAAAAGCTGTCAGCGTTGTTAAGAAGAAAGTTGGGCGAAAAGAAGGAAAAAAGCAAAAAAAAAAAAGATAAAAAAATCGAAATCAAATCATAAACCAAAGTGGAACGAGGGAGAGTGTCACCACTTGGTTTTGAAAGCATGAATCAGCCAGCGACAGAATCAATCTGTAAAAAGGGGACCGAAGGGGGGGGGGAGAAACGCTGACTGTCTCTCTTTTTTTGTCGTTTCTTTGCTTTACATGTTCAAGTCGCCAAAGTCGTTGAGGACGTTGTCCAACTCGCTTTGAAGATCGGCAAATTGGTTGGTAAGGAAGTCATCCAACTGCTGCGGGTTGAGCACAGAGCCAGAGGCTGCGCTGGCAGGGGCGGCAGGCTTGGGGAGTGTGGCGGTCTTTGCTGGTGGTGCGCGCGCTGGCTCATCATCGTCAAACACAAACACGTACTCGCCAGGCGATGGCTTGGCAGCGCCAGTGGAAGGACGGGGAGCACCGCCGCCAGGAGCGGGGACGGGCGCCTCGGGCTCGGCATCCGAGTTGAGGTGCTTGAGCACGGCCGATTGGTTTTGGTACAAGTCGTCCGACGGCGGCTCGTGCTGGGTGAAGGCGGGCGGTGGTGGCTGCGGAATAGAGCCGCCGAAGGCGTTGGCGACAGCGTCGCGGTTTTGGTACCAGTCGTGCGAGCTGTTGTTGTTCTGGGCGGGCGGAGGGACTGGCGGGCGGCTTGAGCCGCCGGGAATGGGAGCAGGCGCGCGTCCAGCAGAGGACTGCTGCGGGCTGCTCATGCTGACATTGGAGCCTTGGCGACCAAACTGGGCAGGGGCGGGAGCAGGGCTGGACTGGTTGCGGAAGGTGCTGTTGTGGTTTTGTTGCTGCTGAGCCTCCTTCATCGCAAGAGCAATGCCGGGCAGGACGGCAGGGCCGACAGCGGGCGGGGACGACGCCTTAGCCTGGCGAGCACGCATGGCCGAGAAGGCATCGCTGTTGCTCGAGCTGCCAGCTGCGGGCGCAGGGGGCGTGGCTTGCAGCTTGACAAAGTTGGCCGGGATCAGACCAATCTGACCAGTGGGGCTCTGAGCGAGCCACCAATCCGACGTGCTGAACTCGATAATGCGCAGAATCTCGCCCATCGAGAATCGGACTTCGTCTGCTGCGCCACCCTCAAAGTTGTACAGGGCGGTTGCTTCGCCGACAAAGTTGCGCGAGTCGTTTTCCTGTGGGACAAAAGAGCACCAAAAACCCAAGAGTCAGGGATGATGCGATTCAACGTGACAAAGCAGCACCGAAAAAACAAAAAATGTGGACACGACGATAGAGAATCAACATACGCGTTCGACGGGGGTGGTGAGGCAGTTCTCGTTCAACGGCTTGTTCATAAAGTGGTCGACGAGGTCGATCAGCTGAGGAAACTCAAACGAGTAGCCCTGCTCGCCAATCTTGAATCGGTTGTTGCGCTTCTTGATCATAAAGTGACGGATGCCCGAGCGCTCGCTAATTACGTTCGTCCAAAATGAAAACCCCAAAAGAAAAAAAACGATGAGGTGGATGACCGCTAACAGCAGAGCGACACAAAACACAAAAACAACAAAAGCCCCAACAACAAAAGTGCTTACCGGACCGAGAGGACGAGGTCTCCAGCAACCGACGACGAATCGCGGATGAGGAAGAAGCCAATGCTCTTCAGCTTGCGCTCTGCCTCGATGCGACCAAGGGGGCCATGGTAGAAGCTGTGAGAAAAAAACGAAAAAAAGGAGAAGAAAAAACAAGAGGCTGAACAGTTAGTGTCAATTGCATGCATTGAGCTCCTCCCTCAGAGGCGCGAGTGCAGTGAATGAGACAGAGCAACAGCAGAACAAAGCACATTGAGTGGAAAGAAGATGAGAGTGTGCAGCAGTTGGAAAGAAAAAATGAAAGAGCCAAGACAAAAAACAAAAAAAAAATAATAATCAAAAAAACTCCCTCGATCAGCCACGATCAGTGTGGCCAAAAGTGTGGATCACTGCTTGGGGCTGAAGGCCATCGTCTTCTATCGATTGGTGACTCGAGTGCAACCCAAGCACCACCACCAGCACCACCACAGTCAACAACAACAACAACAACAATAACAATAACAAACCAAACCACATCACAGTGACTCGGTTCAAAAAAAGATAATAAAAAAAATCAATATTAACTCATAATGAACCAAAATAAATAAATAAATAAAAAACAAAAAAAAACCACCAAAGCACGAGGATTTGGTTTCAAGTGGCAGGCAAAGTGCACCAGGCTCAGACCGAAAGCTTGATGCAAGGCAGCAGACTGCAGCTGGCCCTCGCCATCCCCCGATCCTCTTCAGAAAGCGGACGCCACGATCCAGGGGGGCAGGACAGAAGAAACACCCAACGGAAAAAAAAGAAGAAAAAACAAACAAAAAAAAAAAAAAGAAAAGAAAAAACAAACAAAAAAGAAAAAAAAAAAGAAAAAAAAAAGAGGCAGGCCAACTGAAGCAAAGGCTGCAGAGAGCCATCCATTGGGCTCAGTGGTGCATCAGATGCAAATCAAAGCTGACGTTACACCAAGCGAGCACAGCCATCCCACTGAGGAGGGGCGGCAGGCAGGCTCAGACTCGCAATCATCAAAAAATAAAATAAAATCACTAATAAATTGAAAGGCCATGGTTTTGGATCATGGCGGTTTCTTTTTGTCTTCTTTTGCTCAAGTTCAAGCAACGTCGACACCAAGCACGACGGACGCCCACTGGCAACAAACCATGCCGACCATGCTGTTGCTTGGGAGAGAAAGAAGGACACAACGGCAACCATGTGATAGCGAATACAGGAAATTGTGAAACCACAAACACCCAAAAATATCCCACGCCGAGCGACGTAGCGGCAGATGACAGCGAAGCGAGCACATCGCATGAATGCACGCATGCGATGGCGAAAAGAGGAAGGGGTGGGGTGACACTGAGCGAGCGAGCACGGTGATTCGAAGCAGTCGGAAAAGAAAACAAAGCAAAAAAGACCCGACAGATGTCTCAAAATAAATGCGGTTTGCTTGACTCAACAGCGTCCTGTCAAGACCGAGCGGCAAGCACCACAGAGACCAAGAGGGGCCAGGGGGACGAAAAGTGACCCAGCCGGCCCCGGAAGAAGAGGGAGAGGAGGAGGAGGAGGACGATACGGGACGAAGAGCAATCACCACCACAAAAAAAAAAATAAAAATAAAGAACAACAGAACAAAAAAAAAAAAAAAAAAAAAGACCAAAACAACTTTTTGAACCTGTTTCGTCACTGTGTGCGATGAGCGAGAGGGAGTCGCTGGAGAAGGGTCTGACACGAAGCGGGTTGCTTGTCGTGATGCCAGAGCGACTGGGGCAGTAGCGACTCTGACAAACACGGCAACAAACGAGCCAGCCAGACACACGATTCGATCAAAAAAAAAATCGATCAAAAAAGCGAAAAAAGAAAAAAAAGAGCGAAAAAGAAAAAAAAGCCTCCGTTGGCTGAAGCTGCATGAGGAGAGCGACAGTGCGAGCGGCGCTAGGATACATTGGCGTTATGTGCAACATTGAACCCAACCATTGAGGTGGTGGACTGGTTGGCGACAGAGGAGAAACGGGGGAAGCAGAAAAGCGAAAAGCGAAAAGCGAAAAAAAAAAAAAAAAAAAAAAAACGAACCGATGCTTCTTGTGCAAGTCAGCGTAGTAAGCAGACATGAGAAATAGTGTATGAGAGTGTTGGAAGACTGACCTTTTGTCTGAGGCGGCCGAATGTTGCAATTACTGTTCAATACACCACCACATAATACAGTACAAATGATGGCAAGCATCGCAAGGAAGGAGGTAACGAGCAATGCGGTCGTGATCACGAAAACCAGCTCAACCAAAATAGCACGATGGAACAAAAAGTGCGTCGCTTGTGTGGATCTTGTCAATACAGATTGCCCTTGAGAAACGGGAAGACAGCATCCATACAAGTCAGAGATGAAGCGGGCTGCTCACAAGCCAGGTGGATTAGTGGGGAGTGCAAGCGCGCGCGCGAGAAGGGGCGAGGCGAGGGTGAAAATTGGATCTTGTTGATTTTAGCCTTGCCCTTTTTTGTGCTGTCGGGAGTTTGAGCGGGATGATCGTCCTTCAGGGAGAGAGAGAGAGAGAGCGAGCTGAAGCCTGATAAACAGACCACATAATGCCACGGCTTGCTGCTGCTGCTGCTGCGTGCTGGAGCTCTGGGGGCAGAGAGCTTGTTGAACTGGACTTGAATCGAGACCCGAAAAGCTAAAATTCCTCCCTGCATGTGTTTTGGACGTTTTGGGTGCATCGGGATAGAATTGTGATTGTGCATTTGTGGATTAGTGAATCAACGTTGCCTGGTTCTGGCTCGAGCTTGAGCCTGCGTGGCCTCAGGTTGGGGCTGGTGAGTGTGGCGTAGTCAAAAGTTCCAATCGAACTCTTCCAATAATCACTCGTTTTCAGTTAAATTTTGGAACGTCACAGTCTCCATCCTACTGTACCAGCCTGTGTATTTTTGATAATCCTGCTTGTCGGGTCCTATTTTTATTCCAGTTCACTCGGATCCTGCACCTCTCCGGTCGCAAAACAAGCCAACAAGGCCAAAAACAACCGCAGTCCAGTCCTTATCCTTTTCTCACCTTGGAACACTGAACGAATGGCGAGCCCCGCGATCGCAGCGCCGTCGACCCCGCTTCCGTCAACCCTCGGCTCGCTGACGGGCAGCCATGGGTCGACCGCCACATTGCAGGCGGTGCCCACTGCTGCCGTGTCGGCGACCTCGATGACCTCGCTCGACCGGTCTGGCCTCAGTTCGCTTTCGCATTCGGTGAACGACCTGACTTCGACCTCGGCCGACTGGTCCCGCGGGCTCACCAACGCCACGGGCGACAACCACTGCTTCATGAACGGCGTCGTGCAGCTCCTGTGGCATCTCGCGCCCTTCCGCGACGCCTTTGCCGCAGTCGACAGCCATCACTGCTCGGACACACAAAACCAGCTCGACTGCGTCTTTTGCGCGCTCAAGGTAAGGCTTGTTGACCTGGAGTGTCCTCCATCCCATTGCGATTTTGGCATCCTTGCAATCCTCTGCTCCTTGATGAGCAAAGCGGCTCCAGTGACCTTGGTTCCAGGCTTGAGCTGTGCCAGGATGCGAAAATGCGATTGGGAAGAAACTCGTCACATGAATTTTTTTTTTTTTTTTTTTGGATTTCTTGATCCATCCTGACAAACTTGTTGTCGCTCTATTTCGAGTACACCTCGGACATGAGCATCCAAACCACGAAATTGCTGGTGAACTTTAATCCAAGTTGTGTGGTTTTGAGCGATGCATGCAGCATTCTCAGCACCCATACCGCAACAACGGCAAATGTCAAACCAAAGAATGTGCGACGCGATGCGAAAAACGCAAACCAGCTCAGATCCGCGCTTGACCTTGACCTGAGCTCACTTGTGAACTGAACTCTCGCTCAACAGACAATCTTTAACAATACAACCGACTCACACGTCCCTCCGGACGCTCTCCGAAGCGCGTTGAGCTCAGTGTACAAGTCATCGTCGCGGTTCCAGCTTGGCGACATGAATGACGCAGTGGAGTGCTTGGTACGTTCGCCTGTTGCATGTTGATACGCACGTCGACTAGCGTGGATGATTGTTGGGGGTTGTTCCCCGCTTTAACTGGTGGAATGTTGTGCTGGCATCGATTTCTACACTAACCCCCCTTCCCTCGCTTGACATGTTCCTGCTTGATAGGAGGCCATCCAAAGCACCATCCACTCGCAGGTCGTCGGCGACCAGGTCAAGGACGATCACTACGACTCGTGCACGGCGCCGACCTGCCCAGTTCACAGCGTTTTTGCGCTGCGCGTGTCCGAGCATGTAAAGTGCAGCAGCTGCGGCGCGCAGTCGAAGGATTTCGAGTTTGAAAAGAGCATCCACTACGTTGCCGTCGAAGCGCTTGCAGAGCAAGTCCACCACGAGCGCAAGCGCCGCAGAAAAACCAACACGTACCGCTTGAGCATCATTGCTCCCAACACCAAGGACGCGCCGCCGGCCAACGGCAATCCCCGAGCGAGCCTGTCGAGTGGAAGCGCTGGCAATGTCGAGGACGAGCCCTGGCCCGCTGGTTGGGAAAAGGTCGAAGCCCCCGAAGGCAAGTTGTACTTTCACGACCACAACTCTAAAATCACGTATTGGACGGATCCGCGCCTCCGAGTGCGGGCTGGTTTGCCGCACGGCTGGGACTTTTCCACGACAGAGACTGGCGAAATGTACTATGTCGATCACGTTACCAAGGGCTCTGCCTGGACGCCGCCGCTTGCGACGCGCTCCATCCAAGCCACCTTGCATGAGTGCATTCCACCCGTGGCCCTCGACCACCTGCTGAATGCAGTGAACGAATCCGACGTGCGCAGCTGCCAAAAGACCTGCGGCACCGTCAACACGATCGTCCCCACTCTCCACAGCGCACCGAGCGTCTTTGCCTTGGCCCTCGTCTGGGGCAGCACGCGGCCGCAGAGCGAGCTGATTTCAGAGGTGCTGGAGCTGCTGGCCCCTGCGCTGGACTTGGCGACCGTGTTTCACCGCACGCGGCCCACCGAGCCAAAGGCAAAACGTCGTTGGAGTCTGGCAGATCCTGACAACCGCCTCAATGCCGACGCCTTTGCTGCCAAGGACGCTCTGCCAATGTCCCTGACCGGACTGGTATGCTACTACGGCAAGCACTATATTGCCTTCTTTTACAACCCGCGAGACCGGATGTGGATGATGTACGATGATGCGACCGTCAAGCCGGTCGGGCCAACGTGGGCGTCGCTCATCGCCAAGTGCAAGGCCTCAAAGTTCCAACCTGCCGTCCTGCTTTACCAACGCTGCACGTTCGAGGAGGCTCGGGCGCTGGCGACCCAGTACATTAGCGAGTACAATGAGATTGTGGAAAAGCGGGCGGTTGCGAAGGCGCGCGACCAGCATCTCATCCAGCTCACCGAGTACGAGCTCAACCGCATCTCCAGCTCCATCTCGGACGCCGCAGACGCGTCGGGCGTGATTACGTCTCCCTTTGCCACCCTCAGCTCGTCCGGCATGCTCGCCAAGCTCCACAAGGGCGGCATCGCCTCCAAGCTCGGCTCGCTCGCCACACGCGACAATGTTGCCCAGCTGAACCGCCGTCCAAGCGCGATTGATACGTTTGAGGCGCATGCGGCCGAGGAGGACGACGCAGCGTTGGCGCGCCGGCTGGCAGCAGAGTTTGAGAGCGAAGACCAAGCCTCACGCCAGTCCGCAGAAGACGCCGATGCCGCGTTTGCCCGCCAACTGCACAACGAGATGGTCGCCCAGCACCGCGCGGCGCAAGAGCAGTTCCGATTGCGACAGGCCGAGCAGCAGGCGCGCTTGCAGCAGCAGCAGCAGCAGCCGCAGCCGCAACAACAACAACAACAACATGCAGCAGCACCTAGCACGTCCGATCCCGCGACTACCAGTGTGACTACCGACCCAGGCGTCACCACCTCGAATGCTGCTGCTGCTCCTGCTCCTGCACCTGGTCCGCGTGTCAAGCTCGAACACATCTCTGCCAGCGCATTCAGAGAAGGATCCTTGTTCCTGAAAGAACGCAAACACTTGATCAAGTCCGCCTGGAAGGAGCGTCGATTCTCCTTGCGCGGTCCGTACTTGACGTTTGTCAAGCCAAACAAGGTCGACTCAATCAAGGTGGTCGACCACCTGGACAAGTGCGTCTTGCTTGTCATTGACCAGAGTCACACGCGGCTGTCCGGGTCCAGCGGATTGGAGTCGGTCCGCGATCGCTCCAAACCTGCGGCCGCGGACGCCTCGCTTTCTCGAAGCCCATCCGCAGCTAGCTCTGCGAGCTCGGCGTCCGTCTTGAGCCGAGCGTCGTCCAACGAGCGCATCGGCACTGTCAACGGCAAAAAGGCGGCGACTCCCACTCCTTTCTACTTTCAACTGCGCCACCCGAAAATGCTGTATGAGCTCTGTGCCGCCTCGGAGGAAGACATGCAGCAGTGGCTGCTCATGCTCGAACGTGCCGGCGCTCGACGGGGCTCGCTCAAAGAGTCACACGCGACAGGCTCTGAAAGCGCAACGCCACCGTCACCTGCTCCTGCTTCCGACGCTGCGACTGCGCCGGGTACTGATTCTGCCCCATCGTCGCCATCAACGTCCAACCCGGCTGCGTCCCCGTTTGTGTTTAATGCTGCAAACTATTACTAGATTTGGATTGATTTGTTGAACTGAATGTTGTCTTTTTTTGCTTGGACATTAAAGTTATGCACAGTTGTTTTTTTCAATCGTATTTTTGATTCAAGAATTTGAGCAGCTCTTGTCGTTTCTTCTCCATCTGTGAGTTCGTTATCGGTTCAACCAGCGGAATGAGTCTTCCCACAAGCATGAGACAACACCAAACCCCCTATAAACGTCTGCACGTCGTTCGATACCTCTAAATCATCCTCTGTTTTCTCGACGTGCATCTTGATCACTTGACCGGAGATGGCCGAGCGCCGCACGTTGGGATCGGCGTCAGTCGAGTGTCGACGCTTGTCCTTGCTTGATTTCTGCATGTGTGCTTGTGAGTTTTGTTCGAAACAAAAAAAGACCCAGACAAACAAACAAACAAAGGTGCGCGACGGTTTGATCGATTGGGTGGTTTCGTACCTTGGATTTATGTGATTTGTGGGACTTGTGAGACTTGTGTGACTTGTGCGATTTGTGAGACTTGTGCGATTTGTGGGATTTATGGCTCGAGCTGCGTTTTCCATGATCGTGTCGTCTTCGGTCTGAGCAACCACGCCAAAACAAAACATTCAATTTTTATGAGGTTTCACGCGTTCCTCAAAGCTCAAAAGAGAATCAAGTGAGAGTAATGTTTTCGTACCACCTCCATCTGAGTCTGAATCCGACCCCGAATCCGAATCGGACGAGCTGGACGAGCTTGATTCAGAGTCTGAGCGAGCAGACGAACGTCGATGATGCTGGCGCCGCCGCGGTGATTGCGACCGTGACCGTGCGGGTGATCGAGACCGTGATCGAGATCGAGATCGAGAGCGAGACCGTGATGGAGTGCGCGAACGCCTGCGTCGTCGAGCAGAGGAGGAGGAGGAGGACGTCGTGGAGCGATGAGAGGGGGACCTCGACCTCGACCTCGATCTTGACCTGGAGCGGGATCTTGAGCGCGGACGACTCGATCGTCCACTTGACGAGTGACGGCGAGTATCGTCACGGCGGTCGTCATCAGAACCATCACGGCGTCGGCTGCGAGAGGCTGACGAGTGGTCGTCGCTGTGCCGGCGAGATGATTCCATTTTTTGCCCCTCAGTGACTGAGACAAGGACTGAGACTTGGAGATTGTGTTCAAACAGTAACTCGACAAGCAGTCGTCACATTGTTCACCGAAGAAGCAGTCAAAGATCAGGCTGCAAGCGCATGAAAACAGAGGTAAAATGTGTTTATTTTTTTTTTTTTTTTTTATCTTCTGTACACGAGCAACGCACCCCCAAAAAACAAAAAAAACGCGTCGCAGCTGTATAAACTAGGTCAAAAAAGTGACCTTGAACAGCAAGCCATAGAGTTGCAGGTAAAGCTGCAACCAAACACGTTCACGATGAAGTGCTCGAAAGGCCGACAACGCAGCCAAACACATAGTTGATCACCGAGAAGGCTGTGGCACAATAGTGTTCCACTCCACAGGTGCTCAACGGACACGCAACGGGAGCACTTGCGCCGACGGCCAACGTCGAAAACAAGTTCGCAACCTCGGGCTCGTTGCGAATGCGTTGCGACAAGTTGGCAAAGCTAGCGACTGATGTGTCCGTCATGTTGTACGTTTCCTTCAAGTTGTACAGCTTGGCCCATGAGCGGAGAGCAATGTCGTCAAGCTGCTCATCCGTGGCGGGAGTGGACAAAGCGGCGGCAGCAGCGTTGGCACCAGTCAGGTCGAAAGTGTACGTCTCGTGGTCAATCAGCTCAAACGTCGTGCCATTGAGCGTGTACACGCGGAACGACGGATTGACCTGGGAGTTGGGAGACACGGGCGGACCAGAAAATACCACGTCGACGGGCTGATCGACAATCAGGTCGGGCTCCACAGTCGCATTTCCAGCGGTGACGGCGTGAATGAGGCTGAATAAATCGCGGTGCACATAGCCGTACACGTTGAGAACCGCGCTGTTCGGAAACGCGGCGATGAATTGTATGGCCCCTGAACTGTACGTTGGGGTCACGTCGACAGATCCAGGAGCGATGTTTCCAATGATCACGAGGCGCTCTTGAGCCATGAGTGCTTGTGTGAAAGTCTCGGTAAAGAACGCAATCTGCTCTGTCGTCCGAGGCTGAGCCCGATCCAACGCCACAAAGTAATTGTACTGAAGAAAGAGAAAGGCCCCAAAGCAAAACCAAAATCAGCAAGTCAACATTGGGTCGCAAAAGCAGCAGCAAACTTCAGTGTGGTCCAGGGACTTCACCTTGTTGCTTTGGTATGAATTGGTGGCCACCAGACGCAAACCAGGTCGAATAGGTTGCGTGTATGCACCAAACCTTTGCACTGGTTCTAGCAAAGTCTTGTTGGGAAACCACGGGCTCCACAAGTCCGCGTAAGCGTCGAGTATGTACTGGTCGGTGTTGTAGTTGAACAGGTTGTCCGGGTAGACATCGTGAGATCCCACCGCTGGGAACACGGTGACGTTCGGCATTGTCTGCAGGAAGAGGTCGCGGACGAGGCGGTTGGCCTCGAGCGTCCGGTTCCAGGAAGAGTTCCAAATGTCGAGCGGGCCGTTGTTGCCAGTCCAGAGCACATAGTCGATTCGGCCGTTCGGGGCAGTCGAGTCGTTCGCATGAGTGTTTCCGTCGAACGAAAAGGTCGCGTTAATGTAGGCAAACAGCGATCGGAGAGTCCGGAGCGGCGTGTTGCAGTTGTAGTCCCCAAACGGACCCGCGGTTCCTGGTCCATTGCTAGCGTGGCAGCAAACGAGTTGATCGCAGTTTGTGTTTGAGTTTGGCTCGTAGGCCATGTCCAGGTTGATGTCTGTGATTTGCAACAGGCGGATGGTTTCGCCTGGCGCGTACTTTGGCGTGGTGGAGGGCACTGGAAGGGCAAATGCAGAAGACTTTCTGGATGTGCGTGCTGGGTGTCTTCTGGACGTGCGTGCTGGATGGTCATGCTGATGCGTCGATGGCTCGGTCGTTGGTTGGACCTTTTTTGAGGTGCGAGGTACTTGCGTCGTCGAAGAGCCAAACAGCGAAGAGACGAGGGCGTTTGCAAACAAGCCCATGGCGCGCGTGGCTCGTTTGACGCTGTAGGTGCGAGGATTCGCGTCGTCGCGCCGGACAGACCTCTCGCTGCGTTGCTTGGTGTCACTCAAACCGGCCACGACCATGCTCGGTTGGTAGGGAGGCGGGAACTGGCCGAGGCGGTTTTGGGTTTTGTTCAAAACGACACAATAGTCAAAGTATTCGCACAGCTCTTCGGATGTCAAAGTGGTCAGTCCGAGCGCGTTCACCAGCGGCGCGACGTATCGGTCGCTCAGCAGCGGGCAAATAATTGAGCCGTTGATTGGCACAGTTTGGACTGGTATCGTTTCGACCGCTATTTGGATTGCGATTCGAGGAAACACAAAAACGAGGAAAAGACAAAAACAGAGAACATGAACGCCGTTGACCAAAATCAGCAAGTTCGGCACCAACAATTCCATGTGCTCCAGCAAGCTGCCATACTGTTGCTCACACGCGTACATGTGCACAAAAGCGAATGCAACACTTACCAACCACACATGCATTGACGAATATGCTGCGAATGCTTTCCACATCAGTCAATGTCGCCATCAGTTGAAAAGTTGGCAAAATTGCTCGGCAGGCGTTGCAATTTGTCCCAAAGCTTTGCTCGAGCAACGGATCCGGAAACGGATCTAACGGCGCCAAGGGCATGATCGGAACCGAGAGTCCTGTGCCAGCAAACAGACTGGGGCTGGACTGGCGGCGAGACTGCCGACTGCTGCTACGCGCAGACACCGCAATAGCGAGCTGTGCTGCATCGTCTGCGTTCATCTTTGAAGGGTCGTTCACCGCACCGCCGTCACCCGAGTCTCGCAGCAACTTCCCCGCTGGTGCCGCGGCTACCAGTGGTAAAGACTCGAGGCTCAGGAGGAGCAGCAGCGACAGGAGTGCTGTTGTCAGGACGCCGCCAACATGTGTCATCTGGAAACGAGAATTTTGGAGTGCGCCAAATAATCGTAACATCAACAACAACAAACACGCAATTTGTTCTTTTTTCGCATTCGAATTGGATTGATGATTGGGCGAAGTGCACGATGAAGGTGAGGTATTTTGGGGAAGAAGGGTGTGACGAAGGTGAAATTTTGAAACAAACAAAACGGTACTGAATCACTCGAGCTGGGACATCCGTTGGCCGTTTCCATGCGTTTTCGACTGCAGCACGTTTGCTATCGGCAGATGATCAACATTGACGGTTTTGATGGGCAACCAGTCTGATCTGATCAGAGAACTGTTCCAGTCGTTTTTTTTTTTCTTCTTTCTTCAAACCAAAAATGCCCAAGGATTATCTTGGAGAGGATCAGCGCAAGGTCCGCGCTGACGAAGACAAGGACGATAAGCCAATCAAAGGTACGCAAGGCAGGCAGGCAGGCAGGCAGGCAGCGTCCGTTGAAGATGGGAGCGGCGAGAGCGAGTACTTTGGTCGTCTCAATGCATCTCCATTGAAAACTCTCAACCGTTCAACCGTGCTGCGTTCCTTGCGCAAACTGCGGCCCTTGTGCTCACTCTGTGGCTCTCTGCTTCTGACTTGCTTCAATCCAGCGCTCGACGAAGGCGACATTGCCCTGCTCAAGACCTATGTACGCGACTTGAGTTCGATGACGCTCTCTCTCTCTTCTCTGTCCCTCTCTCTCTGCTCGTCCTATTCCCGCTTTGCACCCTGCGTTCACCGTTTTTCAGCACCAAGAACGCCACTCGCTCGCAACTCGCACCAGCGTCGTCGACCACCGAACCAGCTCAAAGCAAAGGACTCGAACAAAAAGCTTCTCGATTTTCAGTTGACGAGATCGCGAAACAACGAATTTTTTTTTTTGTGTTGTGTGTGTGTGCTCGATGTTGTGGATTGGTGAGAGCGAGATGGCTTGAACCGCATCATACTCGTTATTCAGGGCTGCTGCGTTCCTTGTTGGGGAGACGAGACGCTGAGCGCTTCGTTGGTTGAAAGGCGTTCCATCACTCAATGCAATGCAACTCACAGTCACTTTTTTTTTTTTTTTTTTTTTTTTTTGGATTTCTGTCCCTTGGGCTGATCTTCTTAGGGCGTCGGACCGTACACCCGATCAATCAAGAAGGTCGAGGACGACATTGCAGCAGCCGTCAAACATGTTAACGAGATTGCCGGCGTGAAGGAGTCGGACACGGGCCTCGCACACCCCGGCCTGTGGGACTTGGCCGCAGACAAGCAGATGATGCAGGAGGAGCAGTCGCTGCAGGTTGCACGATGCACCAAGATCATCAACGTGGCAAACCCGGGCCCGAAGGAGGCGGCGTCGCAGTACGTCATCAACATTAAGCAGCTGGCCAAGTTTGTCGTCGGCCTCGCAGACAACGTCGCCCCGTCCGACATTGAGGAGGGCATGCGCGTCGGCGTCGATCGCGGCAAGTACCAAATCCACCTGCCGTTGCCGCCACGAATCGACCCCACGGTCACAATGATGCAGGTTGAGGAGAAGCCAGACGTGACGTACGCGGACGTCGGCGGCTGCAAGGAGCAGATTGAAAAGTTGCGCGAGGTTGTTGAAACCCCCCTGTTGCACCCAGAGCGCTTTGTCAACCTCGGCATTGATCCTCCGAAGGGCGTCTTGCTATTCGGCCCGCCCGGCACCGGCAAGACCCTGTCGGCCCGCGCTGTCGCCAACCGCACCGACGCCTGCTTTATTCGCGTCATTGGCTCTGAGCTTGTTCAAAAGTACGTCGGCGAGGGTGCTCGCCTTGTTCGCGACCTGTTTGACATGGCGCGATCCAAGAAGGCCTGTGTCATCTTTTTCGACGAAATCGACGCTGTCGGCGGCGCCCGCTTCGACGACGGCGCTGGCGGTGACAATGAAGTCCAGCGTACCATGCTTGAGCTCATCAACCAGCTCGACGGCTTCGATGCCCGCGGCAACATTAAGGTGTTGATGGCGACCAACCGGTGAGTGGTGACACCAGCAGAGCGCGCGGTTTTGGTTTTGGTTTTGGTTGTTGTTTTTGTTTTGTTTTTGTATTCGGTCTGACTCTTTTGCTCTTATTTTTATGGACGCCAGACCTGATACACTCGACCCCGCATTGCTGCGTCCTGGTCGTCTCGACCGCAAGGTTGAGTTTGGCTTGCCCGACTTGGAAGGCCGCGCCAACATTTTCCGCATTCACGCAAAATCGATGAGTGTCGAGCGTGATATTCGCTACGAGTTGCTTGCACGGCTGTGCCCCAACAGCACCGGTAGGGTGTCCTGATTCGAGGGGTTTTTGAGTCAGTGTTCGTTGTTGCACGACAACTCACGGCTCTTTTTTTTCGTTTCCCTTGTATTGTACTTGCAGGTGCCGAGTTGCGATCAGTCTGCACAGAAGCCGGTATGTTCGCCATCCGCGCACGCAGGAAGGTCGCCACAGAGAAGGATTTCCTCGATGCTGTCAACAAGGTCATCAAGGCCTACGCCAAGTTCAGCGCCACTCCTCGCTACATGACATACAATTGAAGCTTCAAATTGTTGATAAAAGTCTGTTGTTGTAGTTGTTGTTGTTGTTTTGTGGGTCGCCATTGCGCGTTGAATACAGTATCAAGCAAGCAAACAAACAAACTTTTCCGCTCTATTATTCGCGATTCGTTCACATGAATTTTTTTAATTTGGTTGATGCAGTGCACACATTATAGCTCTGCCTCAAAGATTGCTGCAGCTCCAGCGCCCGTGCCGATGCACATCGACCTAAGCAATCAAGAACGACCAAAATGAGTACTCATGTCGTGGAGCATCACAAGCAACGAAAGCAAAAAAACCATCAAAATTCAAACTTACACAACACCAAGACGCTGCTTGCGACGCTTCAGCTCGTACAGAAGAGTCGAGACCTGACGCGCACCGGTGCAGCCGAGGGGGTGGCCGAGGGCAATGGCGCCGCCCTTGGGGTTGACGCGCTCCATCGGAATGCCGAGCTTGCGGACAGAGTAGAGGGCCTGGCTGGCAAACGCCTCGTTGATTTCGTAAATGTCAATGTCGGAGACGCGGAGGCCAGCCTTCTCGAGCGCTGCGGGAATGGCCACGGCCGGGCCAATGCCCATTTCGTCAGGGGCAACGCCGGCGACAGCAAAGCCGCGGAAGGTGCCGAGAATTGGCAGGCCAAGCTTGACAGCCACGCTGCGGCGCGCCATGACCACAGCGGCAGCACCATCGCTGACCTGGCTCGAGTTGCCCGCGGTCGTGGAGCCATCGGCAGAGAAGGCGGGCTTGAGCTTGCTGAGGGACGCGGCGGTCGTGTCGGCGCGAACACCGTCGTCGGCGCTCACCGTGACCTGCTTCTCGTTGCCTTCCTTGTCGGTGACAGTGACGGTGACGGGGATGATTTCGTTGGCAAACAGGCCCTCCTGCTGCGCCTTGGCGGCGCGCTGGTGCGACAGGGCGGCGAACGCGTCCTGGTCGGCGCGCGAGACACCGTAGCGTGCTGCGACGTTTTCCGAGGTGATGCCCATGGGAATCAGACAGTCGCTGGCCTTGTCGTTGGTGCCGACGCGCGGGTTGAGGTTTTCGGGAACGGACGCGGTCATGGGTGCCTGAGTCATCGATTCGACGCCCGCAGCGAGGCCAATGTCAATCGTGCCAAAGCGAATGCTCGAGGCAATGTTCGCGCACGCCTGCAGACCCGAGCTGCACTGGCGGTTGACTGCGACGATCGGGGTTGTTTCCGGGATGCCCGCAAAGAACTGCGCGAATCGGGATGTGAGCGCACCGGCGCCAGGCTGGAGGACGTTGCCTGGGTTGAAAAAGTGTCGGTCGACACTGAGATGAGCATTCATACACACACACACACACATACACAATGCAATACAATATGTTTCAAAGTGATCGAGTTGTCGTATTGTCGAGTTGTCGTATTGTCGAGTTGTCAACTGAGCGACTGAGCGACTGAGGGGGGACAATAGAGTTAAGTGGAAGTGATCATCGCTATCTTTCCTCCAAAGCCAAACACCACACGTCCGTGTGGCGAACGAGTGCCACCCACACACACACCCACACACACACACACAGAATTCAACAGCGAATGCACTGAATGGTTGAATAGTTGGGTGGTTGGGAAGTCGGAAGTCGGAAGTCGGAGTCGGACGGCAGATTAACAAAGCCCGACGGCTGAATCCGCTACAGTTCACTGTTCACTTGTTCACGCAGTCCCCACTCCACCAGTCATCACTCAACACAAAGAGACAACTCGTGCATCTTCATCATGTGTGCAGACGGACGCACCGACAACAATGTCGCCGATGAGCTTGGGATCAACGTTCGCACGCTGGACGGCGGCTTGCATGGCGGCGGCGAGAAGGTCGTCCGGCGGGGTGTCGCGGAAGCCGCCGCGCTTGGCCTTGGTGATGGGAGTGCGCACGGCAGACACAATCACAACGTCGTCGTCGCGCTTGGGGAAGGCTGCGGCGGAAGGGGCGGCAGAGGCGGCGGCAGGCGCGGGTCCGTTGGCGAGGAGATGACCGGCGAGATTGGAAAGGCGCTCCATGACTGACTAGTACTGTTGAAAAATGGACGAGTGAGCTTGTTGGATGATTAGATGAGGTGTGTGAGGAGAGGTGAAAGACATGGCAATGATAATTCAACTGAGGACAAAACTAAAAACGAATGCTCGAAATCGCTTGGAAACACAAAGCAGACGCCAAGTCAAAAAAGCAACCAAGCAACAACAAAACAATCAACAGCACACAGCGAGTCAAATAAAAGCCACGACAGGCTCTCATGGCTAATAAATGGTCAGGTAGAAGGATAGCAAAACCTGGGCAGCGACAATCGAAAGAATAAAGTACGTCCGGCGCTTGTAGCCGTGATCTTGCGCGCCGCCCTCGTCCACCATGGCCAATCGTAGTGTCTTCACCTGTTGTTGGAGGGGAGGGAGGTGTGTTGATTGTAAGTGCAGGGTTCAGACAAAGGCGCCGTCAAGTCTTTTTGTTGCAAACCATACCAAATAAAACGACAAGGACAGGCAGCAGAACAGCAAGACGGCAGACGATCCGAGGGAATTGAGCACAAACATGGAAATGATGGTCACAATCATGCTGCGTCAAACACAGGTGGAGGAGGAGGAGGAGGAGGAGGAGGAGGAGAATGGGTTAGTGGCGTTGTTTCTCGTTTCCATCAAACAGCCACACCACCATCTTCAAAATCCGAGCAATCAACCTACCCGACATATTTGTAACCGCAGTAGGCCATCAAGTCCATGGTTTGGATGGGGCAGTTGATGTTCATGATGTACATGCTCAAAGACATGGCGGCGACTTCGAAAATGTACCAGACGAGTGCAGAGCTTGCCGTCATTCCCAGCAACTCGATGGTAAACCTGTCAGAGAGAGAGAGAGAGAGAGAGAGAGAGAGAGAGAGAGAGAGAGAGAGAGAGAGAGAGAGAGAGAGAGAGAGAGAGAGAGAGAGAGAGAGAGGGCAAGGGGAGAAACGATGGTCAGGACATTGAAAAAAGTACAAGCATGTTTTCATCATCCGTTTCAAAGGCGGGTGCATCACACCCATCGATCATCACGCACTTATTCTGAACGCCAAGCCAAAACCCAACGAGCAGGACGTATGTGACGAACGCCATCACTGAGTGAAGAAAAGAGCAGAAGCAACGAAACCCAAATCAACACAAAAGTGGTCAGTTTATGCATTCATGCGCTGCTTCCCTTCAGAAACAAAGGCAACCTTGCTAATGCAATCACGTCGATCAAAAACGACGTACCAGGAATGTACAGATCGGGCGCGTTCACGTCGTCACGGGGAGGCAAGAACGAAATGGAGTTGGTTGACGGATCCGTGCCATGCTTGCGGCTCCAGTCCTGTGCGCAATCCCAACGCACCCAAATCAAGCAACGTGTAGGTTAGCAAGTCGTTGCACCATGCATACCATTTTTTCGTCGTCAGCAGCTGTTGCGTTGTGATTGAGAGGGTCGACGACGTGTCCCCAAACCTTACTCGGTTCAAGAAGGGGAAGAGCACCAGCCGCAGCTTGCGCGCAACGTACGACGTGTTGACAGCAAAGTAGTACTTGAGCTTATTGATGGTCACAAACCGGCTCAACTATCACGAAGCGATGGTAAAGAAGCCAAGTGAGTGCAACGCGACGACCGCCACATCCAAACTGCCCCCCTGCCACATCCCCCACTCTCGCTCTCCCAGCCCAACTCTCTCCTCTCGCTCTCTATGATAGCCGAGTCATCCAGACCAGACCCCCTTCGCCCCCCCCCCTTTCTCTCTCTCTCTCCCTCGTTTCAACAGCCCGTTCTGTTCTGTTCCGTTGGTGCAGAGCCAGCTTTCCCCTCTGTTTCCCCCCCCCCTCGCGTTACTCACGTTCTTGCCGACATAGTTCTCTGCGACGCTGAATCCGTGCTGGAGCGCGAGGTTGGTTGCCGGGTTGGCCATGAACGCCTGGCCCTGCGACATCATTGTGCTGAACAGTTGGTTTCCATTGCCAAAGTCCATCTGCTGCTGTCCCTGCGCGTACTGCTGCTGCTGCTGCCCAGCCATCATCATTGGATTGCTTGGGTTTGGATTGTTGTTGTTGTTGGCAAAGAACGGCGAGAACTGTGGCAGGCCGTTCATCGGCTGCGTTGGCTGCTGGTAAGGATTGAACGCCATTGATATCGATGAATGGAGAAGTGAACCCCTCACTATTCATACATATATGTTGATCATTCACTCAGTCGTTTAACAGTATTCGCATTATTGTTTTGTTCGTTATTCGTGATGGCGTCGGATCCGTCATTCTCGGCGCTGGGCTGCGACGACGGCTCGGAGGGCGGCTGGGCGAACGTCCGCGAGCTCTTCAAGGACTTTGGCAAGAGGTAGTCAACATTATCAGAGTCAGAGTCAGAGTCAGAGTCAGAGTCAGAGTCAGAGTGAAGTGTGGATGGCTGTGGATTGTGTGGATTGTGCATTGAGCAATGGCCAAGACAGACCTGACCCCTCTCCTCACTATTCCGCTTGATGACTGTCCAGCTCGAGCGAGATGGATGCGACGCGCGAGGCCCCGCCGCAGCTGGCAGAGTGGGCGCAGATGACTGGCTCGGCGGGACTGATCGGGTTCTTTGCTGGTGGAAACCGAGGCATGATACAAGCGCGCGAAGCTCACATTGCGAACAACGCCAACACACTCTACCATGGTCAGTTCCATGCTCAGGTAAATGGCAGAATTTTTCTGTTTGGATATTGGCGAGATTTTTCGGATTTCACTTGGATTCTACTTGGATTTAGGTTGAAACTTAACCTCGCCCACCGCCTTGCTCGATACCAATCGCAGAGAGAGCTCAATTATAGCACGTTTATGGGATACTCGAGCTCTGGAATGCGCATGGCTGGACGGCTGGCATTGGTCACTGGAGTGATGGTCGGAACGAGTATTCTCATTGATCGCTACTTTGCACGCACTCACGACATTCGGAGTGCTGTGGCTGCTGGCACGCTTACGGGAGCTGTGTTTTCGCTGACTCGCGGTCCTGCTGGATTTGCACGAGGCGTCGCGCTGGGCGCAGGTCTCAGTTCCGTTTGGGGCGTTGCTCGCGCTGGCGCACTCTGGGCCGGTCATGCCATCGATCCCGAGACGTACGCATCCCCTCAGTACAACCAAGCCCGTCTGGACCAACGCGACGCGCGCGACCTTCGCACCAAAGAAGCCGGCGTGCACGTCACCGCCGCAATCATTGACGATCTCGACCAGCAAATCCACGCCATGCGTCGCGACAAGTCGCCATAGCAGCTTGCCTCTTCTTTGTTTTTGGTCTTGAAGAAGTTTGTACTGTAACAAGCATCAAACAATCAAGTTAGTCGTTGTCTACGTTCATTGATCGAACAACAATTTCCATATTTTTTTGTTCGCCATCTCGCTCCAACGCCAGCCCCGTATCATGTCTGGCATTCACATGTTCTACCCCTTGTTGTCACTCCAAAGTCCAATCTAAATACCATCCAGTTCAGTCGTCTCAATCTCAGTCTCAGTCTCAGTCTCCAAGCTTCTTTGTTCTCAATCTCAGTCTCAGTCTCAGTCTCCAAGCTTCTTTGTTCTGACTCGCTCCACGGCTTTCGCTCGTTGTTTTTGCTTGTTTGTTTCATGATACTGCGACCAAGATCCAGTCGTGCGAGTGTCCTCTCTGCTGCTGCTGCTGCTGCTGCTGGCGCTGTCATTGCGCTCGGATTGCTGCTGAGCTTGGCGGCGGTTCGCTGCAGCGCGACGACAGACAATGCCGACCGCCACAGCCACGGCAGCCACCTCCGGCAGCCCCTTGCATTGCACGCAGCTCGCTCTGAAGAAGCTTCTTCGTCCCTGTTGTTGGACGGAGGTGCCGCAGAGCACCCGTCGAGCGCGACTCGGTCCGACGAACCGGCCGTTCGCAATCTCGCCGACAGCAGTGGCAGTGGTGCTTCTTCGTTCACCGGGCCTGACGATGACGTCCGAGCACTGATGACGCTTGCTGCAGATGCATCAGATGGAGCTCTGGCTGGACCAGTGTACGAGGGCCTGCCCGTCCCGGACTACTCGACAACCTACCTGCCTTGCCCTGGTGCGTACTGCGGACGGGTCCTGGCTGTCGTCCCTGCAAACGGATCGGTCGGTGCGCATGTGCGTCTGGCCACTGGCGAGTGTGGCGCTTGTCCGGATGGCTATCGATCGGATGGCTACGTCTGTTTGCCGTGCAGCGAGCCGATTCCAGCCTATGCCTGGATGTACTTGATCGGGATGGCACTCGCATACTACTACCCGGCGACCGCTGTCGTGCTAGTGAATTGGGCAAATGTGCGCGTGCGGCAGCACTTGATTTCAGCGACGCTCGAGACGGTTCTCGCGATTCTTTTCGCAGTGCTTGTAAACACGCCAGCCTGGACGCTGGATTTGACGGGCTGTGCGGTGTCGTCGGTGGACGATTTCTATTCGATGCTGCACAATCCCGAGATTGACTTTGAGTATGTGCTCCAGTGCGGTCAACAAGCAGTCTACCCGCTGTAAGTGTTGTTTGCGAACCAAGAAACCGAGAGCTCAGCAAAACTGTCAGCTCACTTTTGGGAGCTTGAACAATAACCACAACAACAACAACAACAACAGATTCTCAATCGTCCTCGAGATTTTTGGATTTCAATTTGCGCTGCTCTTGCTCTTTCGCGTTCCTCTGGTGTGGCTGCAACCCAAATCTCAGTTTGATCGCGACGTCCTTCTGATGTCGTTCTTCCTCCTGCCATTGGCAGCTCTCGCATTTGTGTTGTTTTGCGGGCCTCTATGTACGTACACCCGTTGTCGCTATTCCCCTGAGAACGAAGTCTGCTGACTGGAGGTTGGTGCGAATGACTTGACATTGCAGATTACGCGTTTCCGTACCTGGGGATTGTATTCTCCCTGCTATCCACCACAGGTGCACTATCGGGGGCTTTTGGACAACGGGTAAGCATGGTTCTTCTTCACACTCGTTTCGAATTCTGGATGTCGGCTTGTTGCGTTCTTGATTTTTGCCGCTCATCACCATCTGGATGCACGCAGTCCGTCGTGGCAGCCCGAATGCAACAAGTTCCTTTGTTAAAAATGATTCGCGAAATCATCTTGTTGCCACACACACTGCTGCTGTTGACGCGACAGGCGGGCGTGATGGGATTTTCTGTCGCAGCTCTGATCTGCTTTTACGACGGATTCGAACCAGGCACGAGCGCCGACATCCTGGCTCCCCATGTTATTTCCGTCTTGTTAACACCACTTGTTCCGTCGTTATTATTCTTTGCCACCGAGCGAGTGACGCGGGCGAAACGATGAAGCGGTTGTCGTTCGTGTCTTGTAAATTTTTGTGTTGTTAGCAAAAAATGGCTGGATTGCGTGTGGTTGGTTTGCTTTCGCTTTTGTATTATTAGTACGTAGTTTCCATCGAATTGGCCAACGACACACACATAAACACAAAGGGAAAACAAAAGCAATTGGCTTTCAACGTGCAGAGCACGATCTTAAAATGCATGAGCTGATTGGCGATTAGAACATGCCCATACCGCCAGATGCGTACGCCATGGGCTTGACGTTCGGATGTGGCTGCAAACGACAACATGGATTGCTGGAGGTGAGAGCCACAACAAACAAACATGCCTCCAGAAACACGAGCGAGGACACGTCGGGAAATACTCACCACGGCGTCAAACGTCGTAAAGTTGGGCTCCAAAGAAGGACCCAGAGTGATGAAGGCACCCTTGTTGCCCATTTGATCGCTACGAGGGGGGAGGGCCAAGTTGCGCACGCATGAAGGGGAAACGGGGGAAAAGAACGAAAAAAACGATGAACGGCCAATGGAACATTCACCAAACGCAAAACACGATGCAATCGTCATGCTGCTTACCAGTAATTCGGTGCAGAGAACACCGTAATGCATTTGCCATTGTGGGCGACCTCGTATCCGAGGTCCTTGACTTCATGACTGCGGACAATGTACGCTGTAGAATGCGGAGGGGGGTGAGTGACTCAATTTCTGTTCGACAGAGAGCAATTCCAAGGGTCACATACAGAGGTTGTTGCGCTCCAAAAAGTTGCGAGTCACGTCGGGGCCAAAGTGGACACCAACGCCGCGCTTGCTGACGCCGCGGCCGAGCTATGCAGGGGAAACAACCCATGTCCAAGTTGAGTTCAAGCAGTTCTCCACAAACATGGAAGAGGCGTTGACAGAATTCCTACCTGAGGCTGAGGATCCGACCAAAGAATCTCGCACATGATGCCCGAATCCGGAGGCTCACGGTTTCGCTCTGTGGCCTTGATGTCTGCCAGTGTGACGTTGTCGTCCGAGAAGAGACCGCCGTGAACAACCTGTCCGGGTGAGGGGATGGTCGCATCGAGGCAAAGTTGTGACACAAAGGAGCACGGAAAGTGAGCGACTGCCAAGAAAAAAAAAAACCGTAATTCCAAATCGAAAAAAACAAAATCACACACCAAAACCTTCTCAGCAACAACGTGCGCGAGGGGCAGCCACAGGAAGACCTCATGGAACAGGGTGACCATGCGATCGCTGTACCTATGTTGGCAAACAACACAACAAAAAAAGGATCAAAAACAAAGTTAGATCAAATTTGGCGCCGCGCGTTCGCGTTCGTAGGACGTACTTGGCCTTGACTTCGCCATCGAAACCGTAAACCTTGTTCATGTTGTCAGTTTCGTGGTTGCCACGATTCAGGAAGAAGTGGTTGGGGTAGAGCAGCTTGAACGCGAACAGCGTCAAAATGACCTCGAGCGAGAATGATCCTCGGTCGACAAAGTCACCATTGAAGAGCTGCAGTCACATCGATGCGTGTGACAACAGGAAAACACGTGCATGAACCGTTAGGAATGGTGATGCCGAATCTGGTCTCAGAAACAAACAGCCATTTGGTGGTGCCCTTTTCACTTACATAAGGATTGTCCTCGGAAGGAAGGCCATTCTTTTCAAAAATGTTCATCAAATCGTAGAATTGACCATGAACATCACCGCAAATGGTGAACTTTTGAGTCGTCTTGGAAAGCTCGCACTCGACGAGCGAGGGCACCTTCATCAAGTAGTCTTTGACCAGCAGCAGAATCTTGTACGCGTACTTGCGGTCGAGACGCTTCTCCTGCTTGAATCGCTCAATCATGGCGAGCACAAACTCGGAGGTAATTTGCTCGGGGAGGTGCGGGCCGTCGTACGAGTTGTCGATGGCTGGTTGCAGTCTCAAGCAGAGTGAGCATTCAAGGGGTCAACACAAAGACATACACTGGTGGGTAAACGCCTCGACGACATACACAGATCATTCACTTCCGCCATATCGATGCAGGGCTTCTTGTCGTCGGCAGCGATCGCCTTTTCGAACGCAATGCGCTTGACAATCTTTTCGCACTCGCGCATCTTTGTTTGGGCATCCTTGTCGTTCGGCGCGACCTTGACAACCTGTGCGAGAGGGGTGCGAGGGTGCGAGATGTCAAGGAGATGAGAAAAGGATCAGAATCAAACTGCAAACGAGTAGAACTCGAGACAGAGGCATTGATGGAGCCTTCTTACTGCTTGCAAGTCCTTCAAGCTGTCCTTGAATCGTCCCAGCGCCATGTTGGCAGTGGCACGACGATAGTATGCCTGTCAAATCGGCCCAAAATGTTGCGAACAAAGTCAAATGGCACAAAGAGTTGATCGGCAGTGGTAAACTTTGATGTCGTCACCCCACCTTGACAAACTGCGAATCAAGCGCAATGGCCTTGGTCGCATCCGCAATGGCATAGCCATAGTTCTCGGCTTTGATGTTGGCGAACGCACGGTTGGCAAAGTACGGCGCGAGAGTCGGGTTGAGATCGATGGCCGCCGAGTACTTTTCGATCGCCAGCTGCCACTTGCCATCTACAAGCGAGCAATCCAAAGGCGAAAGACAAGTGAGCGACACGCAGAGCAGCCGAGATCGATGGAGTGCAGAGTTGAAGGAATGGAGTGGAGTGAGAGCGAGCGAGCGACGATCGACCGAGTGGATGAGGAGCACAGAGAGCTGCCCTCGCCACTTCTACCCCCGACTGAAACAAGCTGACAGGTTGGGAAGGCATTGGGGGAGGGGAGCGGTGGGTGGCGTGGTGTGGAGGTCAAAGCACGAGGAACATTGCTCGATCACTCTGCAGTGGCGCCTCCGCCTGCCGACCACCATGGTAGACTTGATCTCCAAGGCAGTTGACAACGCAGCAGCAGCTTGAGACTGGTTCAGTAGTGCCAGTGGGGGTGTTTGGCGTTGTTTGCAAAACCTTGTGTCTTCAAGCCGTTCTTAGTTCTCTCCTCTTCCCACTCTCGCTCTGCTGCTGGACCGACCCCGTACTCTCGTTGGAATTTCTCACTCTTTGACTCTACGAATCCGCGTCGAGCGAGTTTTGGTGAACGACGACCGTCCTCTGCAGTGTGTTTTCGGTTTGTTTTCGTCGTTTCACTTGTTTGCGCCCTGTTTTTTTACCCTTGAATGCAGCGTTGCCTTCGTCCTTGAGCTTGTCGGCCTGCTTCTGATCCGCCTCAGTGACAACGACGTCCATCGGAGCAGGAGCAGAGGCAGTAGTGGCCATACTTGTAACAGAAGAAAGAAAAAGGAGGAATGAGTTGTTTGAACAAGTAAATCTGAGACATTCTGAGAAACTCGTCCATTTCTGAGCATTTGTTTTTCGGTGATGTTGATGCCTTGTTTCGCTTTTTGAGTGTGTTTCCGTCTCACTGCTCACTCTCCATTGCATCGCACTGACCTTGAACAGCAGTGCTTTTGATGGAAGGCCCAGTCGACCCGCGGCTCAATGCCGTGTTTGACCGCCGCGACGCAGCCAACGCCGTCGCTTCAGGTATGGAGTGTCAAAATGACTCGCTTTCACGCATACAGGCTGTCCTGTACTGCAGCGTTGGCGAGACGGCCGTTTTGGCTGTCGCTCTCAAACTCACGCGCGGCAAACAGTCGGACGTGAAACTGTGCATTTGGTCACCCTCTGACGCTCCCGAGGCTGCCAACCCCCTGACCAAACTGCTGCTCATCTTTGGGTGTTTTGTCGGCAAAGCGGCATGCAGTGGGCTTCTGAAAGAGGGGCGGAGGGGGGTTGGGTATTTTGCGCGATTCGAACTCTTCGTCGCTCGTCACCATGGTCGCTTTGGCACGCTCCGGGGTGTGGATCCATCCCGCCTGCGCAACTAGTCAACCTGCTCATCCTTGTTCACAATGGCAATTGCAACAGTTGTGGCCAGCGTCAAAGGAACCGCCATTCAACCATTGGTTTCTATGAGATTTTTGGGGTTGTTGATTGTCAAGATTTTCGCGCGACAGTGCCACACTCTCAAAAGTACTCGCTGGGCTCAAAAAAGACCGTCCGTCCAGGCATTGTTGCGGATGTGCTTCGTCCTGAGAGCGGTGACGATGATAATGACGACGGGGAACGGCGGAGGCGGGCAGTCCGCACGACGAGCGACAGATTTGTCACCTGAATCTTTCGCATCTCTCTCTCTCTCTCCAACGACAGAGCACGAGCATCCAGACAGGAGCATTCAGAAGAAGCCAATCCTGACTCATTCATCTCCCCGAGCCTTCTGTTGCGGGGACTGTTGAGATGCTCCGTCGAGATGTCTCAAAATTACACCAAACCGCACGACTTTTCCACAAATTTTTACCGCGAATTTAGTCGTCGGCCGTCCATTTTGGATATGAACACACAACTGATGATGATCATGTGTTGACAAAGTACCCGAAAACAAAAACAAAAAAAAAACAAAGCGCACTCACAACCTCGTTGCTGTTTGAAAATTGTAGTGAATTTCAGCAACCACCCAACGGAGCGCGTCGATTGCAAGGATTTCGCAATCCTCAAAATGCTCGGGACGGGGGCGTTTGCACGCGTCTTTCTTGTGCGGAAGAGCACCGGCCACAATGCAGGAAGACTGTTTGCCATGAAGGTGCTCAAGAAGGACTCGATTGAGCGCGAGTCCAAGACCGTTGAGCACACTCGCGCTGAACGCTCGATTCTCGCCGCCGTCCACGACGCTCCCTTTTTGGTCCACTTGCAGTATGCTTTCCAGACCAGCGCAAAGCTCTATCTTGTGCTCGAGTACTACGACGGCGGGGAGCTCTTTTCGCACTTGGTCGCCGAAGGGAGCTTTTCGGAACACCGCACGCGCTTCTACGCAGCCGAAGTCGTGCTGGCCATCGAGTACTTGCACAATCTGGGCATTGCGTACCGAGACATGAAGCTGGAGAACATCTTGCTCGACTCGGAGGGCCACATTGTGCTCACGGACTTTGGGCTGAGCAAGGAGTTTTTGTCGTCGGGAGACGAGAGCGACCGCGCCCATTCGTTTTGCGGGACGGTCGAGTACATGGCTCCTGAGATTGTCCAAGATCCAAAGGAAGGCCACGGGCTCGCTGTGGACTGGTGGAGTCTGGGTGTCTTGATCTTTGAGCTTCTCACAGGGCGGCCTCCCTTCAATCACTCGGACGACTCGCTCAACTCCCAGCAGCAAATCATGGAGCGCATTGTGCGCGAGCCCGTCAGCATTCCTCCGACCTTCTCGGCTGAGGCCAGCAGCTTGATCTCGCGCTTGCTCATCAAAGACCCGGCACGGCGCCTCGGAAGTGGGCCGACGCGCGCAAACGAAGTCAAATCTGCGTCTTTTTTCACCAAGCATTTCTCCTGGAGCGAGGTGCTCAACCGCAAGCTCGTCCCTCCCATCATTCCAGACAAGGCGCACGCGGACGACGCCGCAGCCAACTTTGACGAGTACTTTACCACGCAGCCGGCAATCGACACTCCTGCGATTGGCTCGTCCATGTCGTCCGGAACGGCCAATCTGTTTCATGGCTTTTCTTACGTGGCACCGCTGCATGTGCGCGAGGCTCTTGCTGCAAACCGTAGCGCTGGGTTTGGACTCGGGACTGCGCGCTCGATTGAAATTGTCGAGCAGGCGACTTCCATGGTCCAAGACGACGAAGAAGGCACGACCTATGTCGCTGAAAGTCCAGCCCCCGCGCTGTCATTTGAGGTCGCGCAGCTTGGCGAGGCTGTTCTGCAGCCACAAGAGGCCCAGTCCTCACCGAAACAGCAGCCCATGGATGATGATGGCGTCGCGTCGGTTTCCGAAATGGGCGGGCCTGAGCTTGCGTACCTGTCACCGCCCCGGTCCAATGACCCCGTCAAGCATGGTGCGGACGTGGTGCTGTCGGCCGATGAGCTGCAGCGGAGCGATCTTCCGTTTGGCTCGATGCTCAGTCAAAATTCTGCCTCGTCGCTCAGCTCGTCGCTTCTCACGCCGTCTGACAATGATGGGCTGCGGATTCTGCCGACGGTCGGTCGGCGAGATACATCCTCTCCAAGAGTTTTGAACGCGACAGGGTCGGCTGTAGCCGAGCAGGACGAATCCGAACCCATGGAAACATCGCCGTTCGATAAACTGACTCCAAAGACAGTCAGGGACATCATGGGTCCGCCGACCATCAGTGCGACGCCCTTTTCAATGCAAAAAGACGTTCGACGCGCACGGACAGCGTCAGAAATGCTGGCCGATTCCTCGAACGAGGCCGGGAAGCCGGAAGCTGGGGTGATTCCTGCCGAATTTCTGCAACACTACTCCCTCGCCGATCCGCCAGAACGTGTGGGCGCTGGCGCGACCGGATCTGTGTTTCGCTGCGTTCAACGAGCGACTGGAACACCCTTCGCCGTCAAGACTGTCCGCAAATCGCGACACGACCCCGCCATCGAGGTCGAAGCGCTCCGCCGGTGCCTTGGGCAGCCCAACATTGTGCAGTTTGTCGAGCGGTTTGATTCGAGCACCCATGCATTCATTGTTTTGGAGCTGATGCAAGGTGGCGAGCTGCTCGACCGCATCAAGCAACGGACGTGTCTGTCCGAGTTGACCGTGTGCAATATTGTTCGCAAGCTGGTGGTGGCCATCAACTATATGCATAGTCAGCGGATTGTCCACCGGGATTTGAAGCCAGAGGTGAGTTGCGGCGGTTTTGTCCCAGAGCACGCTTTTTGTTGGTTTATTTTTCGGTTTTTGATGATTGTTTGTGAATTTCTCTTTCCTTTCTGGCACAGAATCTGCTCTTTGTTTCAAACGACGAAGACTCGGAGGTTAAAATCGTCGACTTTGGATACGCGAAAATTACCGACAACCAGCGGTTTATGACCACGCCCGTGTTTACGCTGCAATATGCGGCGCCGGAAATTCTCAACGTGCACGACCGCGGTCTCCGACTCGCCAAGGCGCAAGCACCAGGGATTTCCGCTCAGCCATGGAGTCAGCGTGCTCAGTCCGAGGATGGATATGACGAGTCCTGCGACTTTTGGTCGTTGGGTGTGATTGCGGTGAGGTTTTTTTTTTGTGTGTCGCAAGTTTGCTTTGCTGTTCGACATTTGCGATTGTCGGCTAAACTTGTCTCCTTTTTGCAGTATACCATGCTCTGCGGTTATGCTCCTTTCCAGGAAAAGCTCGTCGACGTCTCCGCGTACCGCATCATCCAGCGCATCAAGCAAGGCGTGTTTGACTTTCCAGAGAAGGAATGGGGCAGTGTCAGCGAGCCTGCCAAAGAGTTTATTCGCGGGCTGTTGACGGTCGATCCGAGACGGAGACTCCAACCCGCCGAGGTCGTGCGGCACCCTTGGCTGCATCGAGCAGACGGTCTGCCAAGCTCGCTCCTCCCTGCGAGCGCCGCTGCCATGGAGCTTGCGTCACGGGACGCTGTTCCGCCGCGCGTTATTCAGCAGCATTTCGGGATGCAGGCCACTGGCGGTGGTAGTGCCAGCGCCATTCAGTCATCTCCGCCTCCTCCTCAAGCAAGGGTTGAGACGGAAAGTTTTTCGCATGGGACAGACCCAAAGCCGCCTGCAAGCGAGGGATCTGCCGTGTCTTCGGCCATGCAAGTGGACTCTGAGAACTCGTCCGCAGGTAGCGTGCCTACCACCACGGCGGCGGCAGCAGCCGCGAACGCTTCCGAAACGTCTGGGTCGGGTCAGCCGATTTTTGTTCCACCTCGCTCTGTTCGATCAGCCCAGCATCCGTCATTGGCCGCTGTTAGCTCGAGCACAAGCCTCGCTCTTGCGGTCAGCCTAATGTCCCCCGGGATATTGCGCGACGAAGACCGGAATAGCAAAGCAACCGTCAATGCAGCCATGTCCGCCTTCTTCAAGATGCACCCGCGCATGCTCCTCAACACCGTGGCCGACTCTCCACTGGCCAAGCGTCGAAAGCACCGGCACAGCACGTTGAGCGATGTATCGACTGCTTCGTCAGATGAGCTGTCACAAGAAGGAAGCTCGCCCGCTGCTGCTGTTGCTGCAGAGAGCCAACTTCCGGATTCGCATGTGAGGCGCCAGCAGAGCCAGCAACGAATCCACGCGCTGCATCAACAGTATGCTATTCAACAGCAGCAGCAACAGCAGCACGAGCAGCCGCAATAGCAGTATTCTGAGGTTTGCTCTGTTGGATTTGAGGGTTGTTGCTGTTTTTGTCGATGGATTGACTTGTTAGAACGAAAATGAGAATTTATTGCATGAGTTGAATCCGCATGACTTGATGCCAGTCTGAGTTTTGTTGCTTTCTCCGTGTTCTTCTTCGACAATGTTGCTCAGCAGCAGCGCGTGTGCATGGCGCAGCTGCTCCAGCACTGTGGCCTGCCTCGCACCCGCTGCTGTCAGCTCTGTCAGCTCTGCCAGCAGCAATGCAATGCGCTCTACTTCTTCCTCTGTTTCTGTGACCCATCCGATGGCCGCCGCGCTTCGCGTGCTCGCACTGGATCAACAGCCGCTGCGTCGCTCCTCGTCGTCGATCGCTGCTTTGACCACCGTCCGAACGAACATGCTGCCGCTTTCATTCGCTTCCTCGCGCAGCCAACCACGTGCAGTCCATTGCGGTGGCGACGCTGTGGTTTCGACTCTGTCGCGCTCGCTCTTCACGCGATCGACGCCCTCGCAGTCGCAGTCGCAGTCGCAGTCGCAGGCAAGTCCAACGACGCATCACCCCCCCCCTCCCCCGTCAAAATCCACAACGCGAACAAGCACACCAAAGCACTTTGAAGTTGGAAACAAAAAGCCTCAGATTGTGACAGTCCGCTTCGACACGAATCCAAACCCAATCCAAAACCCAATCTCCAATCTCCAGCTTGCCAAGACAAAAATCGCACTCACACATGACAAACTACGTTGAATGTGTTTTCTGTGGACAGATCACAAATGCTGGTTTCACGCTGGCCAAGGCTGGATCGCTGATCTCCGCAGAAGCACTGACTTTGCGAATCCGAGTCCGCGGGATTGTGGGCTCAATCACCAATGTCACACGAGCAATGTCCTCGACGACCGCTGAGGCCTCCACCAACACGAGCGGCCAACATGACAAGAAGCAGTCCGAACAGCCCCCGCCGCGCATTGTTGGGTTTTGGCTGCTTGGCATTTCCGTGCTTACCTTTGCAACGGTCGTGATGGGCGGTGTGACGCGTTTGACCGAATCTGGATTGTCGATGGTGACCTGGCATCCCGTGCACGAGCGTCCTCCGTCGTCGGAAGCCGGCTGGGAGGAAGAGTTTGAAAAGTACAAGCAGTTCCCGGAGTACAAGATGTAAGTCTGAGGATTCAGTTTCATCATCACGTTGCCAAAGCAGCATTGTTTTGCTCAGCCGGAACAACACACCCCCTTTGCTCTTTCGATCGCGCCAGGATCAACAAACACATGACCTTGGACGAGTTCAAGCGCATTTGGTACATGGAATACAGCCATCGCATGTTTGGTCGCGCCGTTGGCGCCTTTTTCGCGCTGCCCGCGCTGGCCTTCATGGCCAAGGGTTGGGTGCCAAAGTCGCTTCGCCCGCGTCTGCTCGCCATTGGCTGCTTGATTGGATTCCAGGGCCTTCTCGGCTGGTACATGGTCAAGAGCGGTCTTGACGAGAATCTCTTGCAAGACCGGGCCGTTCCTCGCGTCAGCCAGTACCGCCTCTCTGCCCATCTGATTTCCGCCTTTGTGATTTACGCGCTGACCTTGTGGCATGGCCTCAACGCGATTGATCGTAACGTTCCGTTTGTACGTGGAAGAGTTTGTTGTATTCCTCGCAGTTGTGTCCTCATCTCACACATCCCCATGTCCCTTGTTCGTGTTGTCGAAACTAGGTGACCTCCGACCGTCGTATCAAGCTTTTGCGCGCCATGGCCAAGGGCTCTGTTGCTTTGGTCTTTTTGACTGCCATGTCAGGTACGAATGCTTGCCGCAATGGAGGAGGATTTCAGCCTTCTCTTTCCTCATGCAGCTCATTTTTTTCGCTTGGAATGCATCATTGTAGGCGCATTTGTGGCTGGCCTCGATGCTGGGCTTGTGTACAACTCCTTCCCCAAAATGGCCGACAAGTGGATTCCCGATGATTTGCTCGTCCTAAAGCCCACCATTCGCAACTTTTTCGAGAACGTGACGACTGTGCAGTTTGACCATCGCATTCTGGTAACGCCCGTGTCTTTGTTTGTATCGTTCGTTTTCAGCGACGAAAAGTTTGCTCACTCTGGTTGCACACATTGACCTTCGACAGGGCATGACAACCCTCGCAACCCTGTCAGCCGTGTTCGTGTACGCGCGAAAGCTTGATCTTCCTCGACGAGCAAAGGCGGGTGCACACGCCATGGCGGGAATGGCTCTCGTGCAAGTGACGCTCGGCATCACCACCCTGCTGATGCTGGTGCCTGTTCCGCTGGCTGCCGCCCACCAAGCCGGCTCCCTCACTCTCCTGACGTTTGCAATGTACTTTTTGCACACAATCCGCAAGGCAGCTGTGGTCTTGTAGTGGATGAGCACGATGGGGTTGGATGGGATGCAGCCTGTTACATTTGCATTTGTGGTAATACTGCAGAACGAGCGAAAACTCCAATCACACACAAACAGCAGCATGCAACAACAACAACATCATCTCCCAGAATCAGAATCAGAATAGACACACAGCATCATCATCTTTTGGGGACTGCTGACTTGCTTCTTTTTTTGACTACAGGCTCAGTGCCAGCTGGGCGAAAAGGCCATAGTTGGGGCTGCCAAAGCCCGACGTGGGATCCCAGCCGACAGTGGCTTGGAAGCCGGGAGTGCCGCAGCCAGGGTTGTTGCCCTTGACAATGTCATGAAGCGCGCCAGCCTGGGGCAGGAGCGTGTAGATGAGCGGGTTGAGGAAGCCCAGGGGCGACTTGTTTGCGTTCAGGCGCACGTCGTTCACCTTGCTCACAACGGAGGTGAAGGTGGGGGAGGCGCAGGACGTGCCGGCAATGCCGGGGGTGACGATGAGGTTGCTGACGACCACGAAGCCTTCGGCGAGCGCTGCAACGTCGGGATAGGCGCGACCGGTGCCGTTGTAGTACGAAGCGGCGGGCAGGCTGGGCGCCGAGCTCAGGTAGCTGTTGACGGCGGCAGACTGGTAGTCGGGGCGCGGGAAGACGTCCGAGAAGCCGCCGCCAGAGAGCGAGGCAGTGTGCTCGTCGCTGTCCGTCAGAGGAAGCGCCGTGCCACCGACGGTGGTCACATAGGGGCTGGAAGCAGGGAAGCTGGGCACAAAGCGCGAGCACGAGACGCCGGCACCACCGACACCGCTGTCGCCGCTTGCAAAGAACAGGCTGAGGCCACGGGCGCCCATCTTGGCAAACTCAGTGTTGACGCGCTGCATGTAGTCCACATCAAGCGAGTTCTCGTCATCGCCATAGCTGGTCGAAAAAGTCCACGGGACCTGCGAGGTGTTGGCGACTTCCTGGACCCATTCGAGGAAGGGCTCCTGACCGGCGGTTGTGCCAGCCACAGACCAGAACCAGGTCTTGATGTGTCTGTGAGTTAGTTCATAGAGGAGCAAGGTGAGTTCGAAGCGATGCACAAAAAAGTACAGCCACAATTCGAACGACAGCAAAAGCGAAAATCAGCCTAGAAAAAAAAAACGACTTACGAAGCGGCAACACTCGTCACATATTGGACATCAAGCTCGGCTTCAATGCCAGAAGGGGCAGTATCCGGGCCCACAACCTTGGCAATGTCAAAGCCAACGTTGTCGCGGTTGTACAGACGGTTGAACTCGTCGTAGTCGGCCTTCAGGAAGTGCTGCTTGAGGAATGCAGTGACGCACTGGGAGTTGTTTGCGGCCGTGCCAATCGCATCGGTCACGTTGTACAGCTTGCGGAGGCTGCTCGGGGTCGCGCCAAGCAGGTCGCCGTCGGCCTTGACCAGGTTTTTCGCGTTGCTGATGCGGCTCACGTCCGGGAAGCGGTGGAAGCCACCCACAAAGTCGAGGTGCGATGCCAGCTCGGCAGGCACCGAGTACGTGTCAACGGTGCGCACAGCTGTGACGCCCGTTGCGAGGTGGACAAAGTTGGCAAACTGAACCTGGAAGACACTTTCAACCTGCGAGCGCGGCGCCTCGAGCGTGACAAAGTCCTGCGCAGCGCTCTCTGCAAAGGCAACGCCCGGGAATGCAGATGCAATAAAGCTGCGGACGGCAGCAATGCGGGCCTGCTGGGGACGGACGAGATTGTTGACATCGGCAAAGCTCAAGTGCTGGCCGTAGCGAGGCGAGCGGGGATCGGAGACGGCCATCAGCGTGCGCTCCAGCTCGGGAACATTGCTCTGCTTGACGGCAAACATGATGCGGTGGGGCTCGTCGCCAGCGGCGGCACCGAGATTCTTCCAGCCGAGCGGAGCGGGACGCGGGCGCAGTGCCTCGACATACGACGCCGACATTGGCAGCAGCGGGACGGCGTCGGCCAGCATCAGCACGACGAACGGGTTGAAGAGCAGCACGGCCACGGCGAGCGCAAGCAGGGCGTCGCTCTTGCCGAACGGGCGGTAGCGATCGGGGCGGCTGCGAAAGTACGCGCGCACCTGATCGCGCTGGAGCGGAATGCCGAGCTGGTAGGGGCGGGCGGCAGACCCGGCTGCGGCGGTTGACGGCGTCGGGTTGCTGAACGACATGAGTCAGAGTAAAGAAGAAGGAGGGAAGCGAAGGGAAGGGAAGGGAGAAGGGAGTAAAGAAGGACTGAGTTTGAGTCAGTTTGAATGGAGTCAATTGGCGGAAAATTATTCAACATTGAAAATGGGCAGAAACATCATCATCGAATGCAAAACAAAAAGCATATTCACTGGTCAGCTGGAGAGGAATACACTCGCTTTTGGTTGAACGAGCTTTGCTTGCTTAATCGCGCTCGGCAAGTGTTTGCAAATGTGCCTCAATCTCGCGCTCGGATAGCACTCGGAAGAATGGGTTTTCCTTGGTGACGACGCCAACTTCGATTTCAGACGGCTTGAAGTCGAGCGACAAGACGGAGCCGAGAGCGGTGATTGCGTTCTGACAAAAGCAATAGGGGAGACACCGTGTCCAATCAGCACCACAAGTGCACAACTTTTGTAACACAACACTGCCACGAAGCAACAACAGAAGCGTTATTACCTCAACAGTTTCTTGATACGACCACTCGGGATTCTTTTTGATTTTCTTCTCGAGGTAATTGTTCGCCTCTTGGCTCTTAATGCCCGCAGAGGTAGCCTTATAGCCAATGTAGTAGCCGGCTGGGTCGGTCTTGTACAATTGCGCGCCATACTCGTCGTCGTAGCCGATGAGAATCATTGCTGATGGTGGCATTCGAGCAAAAAAAAAAAAACAAAAAAAAAAAACACGACGAATCAAGTCAGCTACAACGTTCCGCCCCACACACACACACACACACACACACACACACACACACCCTTGAAGCGTCACTTCACGTCACAAAAAAGCAAGCCTGGGCACATACAGCAGCCAAGTGGGCGGGCGCCTGCTTGTTGTGTAGAAACCTGGGAAATGTCGGCAACGCGGCGAGCGAGCTGGTCGACAGGAATCGGGTAGCCGTAGGTGAACTTGAACTGGGCAGCCTCGTGCCGTGCGCGTTGCACCTGAGCGCGTGCGTCGGCTGGAAGACGATGGATGGCGAGGAGGGGAGGAGGAGCACGAGACGACAAGCATCCAAAGTGAGCATCCAAAATGAGACAACGTTGAAGAGCCCAGACAGCTCGACTTTTCTCACCAATCATGCCAGTCATCACGCAGCCAATCTCCTCGGTGAGCTGGAAGAGATGCGTGACGGAGGAGGCATCCATAAGTTTGTCCTGAGCGAGGCGAGTGAAAAAGAAGTGAGACGTCGTTCCACCTCCCTCTCCCTCTCCTTCTCCTGCTCTCTCCCACTGGCAACGCCAGGCGCATCTTCTAATACATCAACGTGCTGTGCTAGTCCCACGCATCGTCCACTGCAGACACCCTTACCGGAACTTTCTTCTGGGTGATGACAACGCAGCTGTCCTTGCCGCGCATGCCGATGCTCGTCAGGCCGCCAGAGTTGATTGCCTTGAATGCGTATTCTGGCACGAATAGAACGCCGACCCACAACGCGAACGTGAGCAACGCACACACACACACACGACACACACGACACAGAACGCAAAGAATCGAGATTTCATAAAAAAAAACAGCGTTTACCGATCTGGTACAGCCGACCCTCTGTCCGTTTCAGAGAGCGCAAGGGGGGGGCGGGTGTGCGTGGAGTGGCAGCACACACACACGCACGCAGGATGAGTGGCCAGAGTTGGGTTTCCATCCGCAGTTGAGGGGGGAATGGAAGCGCATTCGAGTGGAAGAAAGGCAAAAATCAAACAAAATACATTGCAAGTGAGCCAAAAAACTATAAAAAAAAAAAAAAAAAAAAGAGATCGCGAAACTTTGCCATTGCATTGGAATCGTCTTCGAGAGCTCAGCCAAAAGACAAGCACAACAAGCATGGGTATCGAAGAGGAGAGATAGAAGGGTCGAGAATAACGCACCGGGGCTGAAGATGCTGATGTGACGATCCCACGATCCGGACTTGGCCATTGTGTGTGCAAAAACGATTGAGAGACTGAGCTTTGAAACTTTGGATCCTTTCTGCTACTTTGAGCAACGCCATTCATTCATTACATGTGTTGAAAGACAATAGAAAGGCACATGTTTTGGAGGGATGCGAGATGGATTTCAACCATTGGAATTGTATCAAACAACGAAAACAAAAGAAAACAAGAAAATCGTGCACAAGAATCAACCACTACAAGTCAACCATGCTCAAAGACACAAAGCCACGCAGTTACTAACGCTGGGCCAATGGAGTCCAGCGCAGAGCCAGGGGATTGACGCGTGTTTGCTGGATGCGAGGAGTGTTTTTGACATGCTCCTCCATAAAGTCCGGGCGACGCACAATCACATGCTTTCCCTTCCAGTACTTGATCATATTCAAGTACTGCAGTGTACTAACGATATCGTATGGGTTGATGGCGGTGGATTGGCTGAGTTCTGTTTGTGAGAGCGAAGCGCCGGCAAACGCAATCGTTGTGTTAGCGCGGCGAGTCAGAAAAAAGAAAAAACAAAAGGCGAACAGTGCTTCAAACACCACGCACATACCCTTGATTGTAATGTCCGCGCGGGTGTGCTGAACCAGATAATCCATTATGACAGTCTTCCAATAGCTACGGTAGCTGATCAAGCCGAGATCCGACAATGGCTTTTCAGGAGAGCCAATCTTGCCTTCTTCTCGCGAGAGCAAATAACCTTGAAGGCACAAGCCAAGCACAAGAGAATGAGTCAACTCGGCCTCTCGAAACAGCTCAATCTCTCTCGAAATCTTACTAAAGTCGATCAGCATCTTGCCAAATCCGCGACGCATGTACTGGGGCATCGACAAGATGCAAGAAACATTGTAGTTCAAGAACGAGTTCTTTTCCTGTTGTTGTTGTTGTTGTGGGGACGAGAGGGGGGGAGGAAGGAAGAGATCAGCGACCAAAATCAAACGAAATTTTTTTCTTGCAGATTGTGCTCTGGATTTGCCCAAACCAGTCCCCATCTCCGTGACACATACCTTTGAGAAATAACCCACGAGATGACACCCCGACGAATCGTACTCGGTCATGACATAGAACAGGAAGGGCTCGACATCGTAGTACAGCGTCTTGTGGTCCAAAAACAGCTTGGCCAGCAAGCACAGATTTTGGCAATAGATCTGGTGCGCAATAATGAAGATGTGAGCGATGGCGGCATGCGTGCGAAAACGTCAGCGAATCAAACCACACAAAAAAAACTTACCTTGTTCTTCTTGCCGTCAACCTCAAAGACAGAAATGTCACCGCTGCGGTAAATCTCGTCTCCTGGAGGATGCCGCCATTCGCATTTCATCTGTTGTTGGACAATTGAAAACCCCAGAAACGAAACGTTCAGCAGGAGAGCGAAGAGTGAAACTTGAGAGCAACAAGCCGATTTTAAAAAAACCCACCATGTGACGTTGTAAAATCGCAGACGACTTCATGTACTTGAGGCAAAACTCGCACAGAAACAGCTTGGGAAGCTTGGTGTACTCTTCTGGATAGGGTGACGAATACCAAGTCTCAATTTCGTACTTGCCAAACTCGATCGAGCGCAAGTGCGACTCTTTGCTTGAGCTCGCGCCAGACTCGTCCTGACGAAATTCAAATCATTTTGGTTGGTACGAGGAGCGGCGAAGAGTGAGAGCGGTGTTGGTTGGAACAATGGTTGGGAAAAACAATTCATTCAACCAAACTTACCGAAGCCGCCGCAATCGCTTGCTCTTGAGCCTTTTTGAACAATGCAATATCGCAAGACGTAGGCTCAAACGTCTCGTCCAGCAGCAGCTGATTGATGTCATCCTCTCGATCCGAATCTTGTTGATCCTCTTCATCTTCGCTTTCAACCACACGAGCACGCTTGCTCTTGCGAGAGTGCGCCAATGCATCCTCTCCATCCGATTCGGCAGCCTCGGCGCGGCGCTTTTTCGGTGTAGCAGCCGGCTTTGTGGACGGCGAGCATTCGGGGCAAGACCAAGCAACTTCCGAGGGATCTTTCATCGGAGGCTGCGCGCAGAACGAGTGTGTTCCTCGGTCGCATGTAATGCAGAACATCATCTTTTTCTGTATGCGATGATGTAGGGTGGCGAGGGGGGGAGGTTGGAGTGAGAGCTGGCCCTCACAAGTGGGTCCAATCACAAGTCCACAAAGAACGCACCTCGTGTCCAGCCTTATCGCACACAGAGCATGTTTTGCAATTCGAGCAGCGCCATGGGTACGTTTTGACCTTGGCAGCGGCGGCCTTGGTGAGATTCAGGCAGGAGGGGTGGGCTGTCAAAAGAGTCAAACAAAAACCAAAAAAAGAGTGTGAGATCCACCGACTCGCTTGCATCCGAATGCTTCGTCTCACATGTCACACTCAAGCCCTGCACATCCAACAAAAGCATCCCAGCAAACGCAACAACAGGACATGCACAAAAGAAGACCAAAAACCCCCAAAAACACAAAAAAACACTCACCGCAATCCGAGCAGTTCGAGCACATGATGAGGCTATCGCGCGCCGCACAAGTGGCGCTTTGACAGAGGGCACAGACAGCGTCGTCCGCCACCTCCACAGGGGCGTACTTGCGCGGCCGGCCCTTCTTTTTGGGAGTCGGGGTCGGCGCTTGTGTCGAAGCGGACAGGGCCAGCGCGAGCTGCAAGTCCGAATCGTCCGAGTCCTCCGACGCCTCCGAGATGGCACGGGTTCGGCCGTGGTGAGAAGGAGTCCCTCGGCTCGGGGTGCCTGACACAAAGGGCTTCCTGTCACTGTGGGATGGCGTTCCAGGCGCCGAGGACGAGGACGCCACGTCGGCCCCCGCCCACCCGGACGACGGCGGCGCTCGGCGCTTGGACATGGCAGACACTGCTGCGGCGGCATGCTTGGCGGCGGCGCGGTGGGACGTGCGCGCGGGAGTGAGATCTCCGCTTTCATGGTCGGACGTCGAAGCGACTGACTCGTCGTCGGACTCGTGTCGCCCAGACTATCGGCCGCGCCCAGCAGTTTCCACCCGACGAGCGAGTGCAAGATGGTTGTAAAAGGAAGGGGGGCAGACAAGCAGAGATAGCGTCAGTGAGCCAAGTCGAAAAGACAACAAGAGGGAAAAAAAAAATGCGAAAAAACAAAAGCGATCGTGCATTGAGCAGCAATTGGAACAGGCACAGGGGGAACAGGCACAGGGGGAACAGGCACAGGGACAGGCACAGGGACGGCTACAAGCAACGCTTGTACGAATGAAAATCAAAGAGGTAGTGGGAAAGAGGTTGTGGGGGGGGCGGTGTGCAGCACAGCAAATAGCGCTTTTGAACCACTTGCCCGAGTAACGCGCGTCATTTCGAGTCAAATAGAGTGGGCTCGCCCCGTATAGTCAAACACCGAGTTCATGCAAGAGTGCTGAACAAAAGGGTATAAGCTAATGTGTCCATAACCTGATGTTGCACGTCGATCGAGCTCTGAATTCGTTCTCCTGTTGCCTCTGCCGCTTTCAACTCAATCACAACTCGAGCTGCATTGTCAACTCCCTCTTGCAACCTTTTTTTTGTTTGTCATACATTGTGTGTGATGAACAGACTTGCATCTAGTCATCCTTTTCATTGTCAAAAGCATACACAGTTTCTTTCCAGAACAATGAGCGTTGTTGGTTTTGATTTGGGCAACGAGAACTGCTTCATTGCCGTCGCTCGCCAGGGTGGCATTGAGGTTGTCGCCAACGAGTACACTTACCGCCAGACCCCGTAAGCGTCCCGATCCCTGCCGTGCTTGCTTTGCCGCCGCCTTTGCATCGAACGCAGAGACGAACAAAAGTGGGGAGAGAAGCAAGCAAAAAAAAAAAAAAAAAAAAAAAAAAAGCGAGACGATTCGTTGTGATTGCGTTTGCGATGGACGACAACGCACTCTTTGTCGGGGGCGGTTGTTGCACATCCACGACCACGAGTCGCAGCTCAATCGTGCGTCGCATCCTGTGGAAAGCCCCACAAAGGCTGTCGTAGCCAAACCAAGCGAATGGCGCATGATGCGCTTCCTTCTATTTTTTTTTTTTTTGATGATTTTTTTCCCCACACTCACACTTACATCTCCAAAAACTGCTTCTTTCCGTCTTCTTCTTCCACCCGTTGCTGTCCTCCGATTGCCAACATCACTGCTGTGCATTGTCGCCTTCTGACTCTTCTTCGAGTGGTGGTGGTCACTTTGTCATCATCATCAATGCGTTAACGTGTTTCCCTTCGATCGTCTTCTATTTCTTTCTTTTCCCCACCACATGGCCTTTTTCCGTTTTTTTTTTTTTTTTTTTTCTTTTTTTTTCTTTTTGTTCGATTCTTTGCCCTTCCATCAACTTCGATTGCAAACTCATCATCATCAAACTCACAATCACTTCTGATCTTCTTCTCGCTGACTGACTTGCTGCAGGGCTGTCGTCTCGCTCGGCGCCAAGAAGCGCTTCATTGGCGAGGCCGGCAAGACCGCCATCCCCACCAACCCCAAGAACACGGTGTACAACTTCAAGCACCTTCTTGGCCGCAAGTACAACGACCCCTTCACCCAGGCTGAGCTCAAGCGCGCCTTCTACCGCCACACTGAGACTGCTGACGGCTTTGTTGGCTTCAAGGTACGCCGAGCGAACGAACGAACGAACGAACGGATGAATCATTGAACTTTGCTTCTTTTTTTTGCTGCATCTCGTTCACTCACCCCTGCACAAAATCAAACAACAGCTCGACTTCCAGGGCGAAACCAAGACCTTCACCGTTCAACAGATCATGGGCATGCTCCTCACCCAACTCCGAGGCACTGCCGAAATGAACCTCAAGATGAAGGTCACGGACTGCGTGCTGTCGGTGCCCAGCTTCTTCACCGACGCCCAGCGCCGCGCCCTGCTGGACGCTGCGCAGATTGCCGGCCTGAACGTTCTGCGCCTGCTCAACGAGAGCACCGCCACCGCGCTCGCCTACGGCTTCTACAAGACCGACCTGCCTGCGGACACTGAGAAGCCCCGCCACGTCGTCTTTGTCGACCTCGGCGAGTCCTCCCTCCAGGTCTCTGCTGTCGGCTTCACCAAGAGCAACCTGAACGTTATTGCCTCCGCCTCCGACCCGAGCCTCGGTGGCCGCACCTTTGACCTGCGCCTCCTCGACCACTTTGCCGCCGAGTTCAAGACCAAGTACAAGATTGACGTCTTCTCGTCGCCCAAGGCCACCATCCGCCTGCGCGCCGAGTGCGAGAAGCTCAAGAAGGTCATGAGCGCCATCACCAACGAGGTGCCCCTCTCGATCGAGTGCTTGATGGACGACAAGGACGTCAAGTCGCGCATGAGCCGCGCCGAGTTTGAGACGTTGGCCGCCGATCTGTTTGAGCGCATTGCCGTGCCGCTCCGCAAGGTCCTCGCCGACTCTGGCCTCGCCAAGGAGGACATTTTCGCCGTCGAGGTCGTCGGTGGCGCCTCGCGCATCCCTGCCTTCAAGAACCTCATTCTCGAGATTTTCGGCAAGGAGGCCAGCACCACCCTCAACCAGGACGAGTCTGTCTCGCGCGGCTGCGCCCTCATGTGCGCCAGCATCTCGCCCGTCTTCCGCGTCCGCGATTTCACTGTTAACGACATCACCCCTTACGGCATTGAGCTTTCGTGGCAAAACAATGGCGAGAACAACACCTCGGACGTGTTCGCCGCGCTCCACGCCATCCCCTCCACCAAGCTCATGACCTACTACCGCGGTGAGGCCTTTGAGCTGTCGGCCCAGTACAAGGCCAACCAGCCCACGCTCCCCACCGTCGACCTGGCTGTCGGCCGCTTCCGCGTCGAGGGTGTCACCCCCGAGAAGGACGGCCAGCCTTCCAAGATCAAGGTCAAGGTCCGCGTCAACCCCAGCGGCGTGTTCAACGTTGAGGCCGCCCACCGCATCGAGGAGGTTGCCGGCGACGCCGACGTTGCTCCCATGGACACGAGCGCCGACGACGATGTCGACACTGAAGCCCCCAAGGACAAGAAGAAGAAGATTGTCAAGACCCCGCTGACCGTTGTCCCGATTGTCGAGGCCTCCCTCCCTGCCGACAAGCTCCTCCTCGTCGTCGAGGCCGAGCACCAGATGATTGTCTCTGACAAGCTCGAGAAGGAGCGCGAGGACTCTCGCAACGCCGTCGAGGAGTTTGTGTACGAGATGCGCGACAAGCTCGACGACCGATATGCCCCGTACGTTCCCCCGGAAGTCAAGGAGATTTTCAGCACCGAGCTCTCTGCCACCGAGTCGTGGCTGTACGAGGAGGGTGAGGACCAGGTCAAGAAGGTTTACGTCAAGAAGCTCGAGGAGCTCAAGAAGCTCAGCGACCCCTTTGTCCGCCGCTACAACGAGGCCCAGGAGCGACCAAAGGCTGAGGAGGCTCTCCGATCCTCCATCGTCCTCGCTCGCAAGGCTGTCGAGCAGTTCAAGGCCGGCGACGAAAAGTACAACCACCTCGACGCTGCCGACGTCGACCGTGTTGCCGTCGCCATCGACGCTCGCGAGAAGTTTGTCAACGAGAAGTCTGCTGCCATTGCCGCCCTTCCTCTGTACCAAGACGCCCCCATCACCACTTCCCAGTTTGTTCTTGAGAAGGATGTGAGTTTTTTTTGTTTGTTTGTGGATGAGCTGAAACTGGTCGTTGTTGTTGTTGTTGTTGTTTGGTTGTAGCTTTGTGACACGATTTCCTCACACTGTGTGTCTCTCTGCTTCTACAGACCTTTGATGCTCTGTGCACTTCCGTCTTCAACAAGGCCAAGCCGAAGCCACCGGCGGAACCCATGCAGACTGAGTCCCCCGTCCCTGCCGCGACTGAGGAGCCCATGAAGACCGATTAAATGGAGTTCCCGCGCAAAGGCAGACCACAAGGATTTTTAGATGGTTTGCTTCTGTAGAATCGTTATTGGCTTTGTTTTTCTGTGTGTTGCTTTCTGCAAATGTTTTTTTAAATGCCCACCTCCTAAGCCCCGCGCTTGAAACTCGCAAGCTTATAAAAAAAAAACAATTCATGTCCCATCATCATGCATAACTTGGCTTTTTATTGACGGTGGGTGGATGCACAACAATCGAAACCAAAACAAACACAACACAAAAAACTCAATTTCGTCGGAGCTCCACGCCGGGCAAGCTGCAGAGCATTTCAAATAGCATGTTGGCGCCCAGCAGCGCAGTGTTGCCACTCGTGTCGTACTGGGGCGCAACTTCGACAAGATCACACCCGACAATGTTGAGACCGCGGACGCCGCGCGCAATCTCGAGACCCTGGTGCGCGGTCAAACCGCCATACTCTGGCGTGCCAGTGCCTGGGGCAACGGAGGGATCGAGGCCATCGATATCGAACGACACGTATACTTTGCCAGATCCCATCGCGGCGCGAACCTCGGCCATGAGCGGAGCGAGCGAGCGATACCAGCACTCCTCGGCCTGCACGACGCGAAAGCCTTGCTTTCGGCCCCAGTCAAAGTCGTCGGCTGCGTACCCGCTGCCACGCAGACCAATTTGCACCACACGCTTGGTGTCGAGCAGCCCTTCCTCTACGCAACGGCGGAAGGTCGTGCCGTGCGCAATCTTCTCGCCCTTCATCACGTCGTTCGTGTCCGAGTGCGCGTCAATGTGCACCAGTCCAACCGGCCCGTGCTTCTTGACAATTGCGCGCAGGATTGGCAGCGTGATGGTATGGTCTCCACCCAGCGTCATCGGAACACAGTTGTGCTGCAGAATGTTGTCCGAGTAGAATTGCTCGATAATCTTGATCGATTCCGCGAGATTGTACGTGTTGATGGGCACGTCGCCCGCATCCGCCACCTGGAGGCACTCGAACGGCGCGGCACGCGTGGCCATGTTGTACGGCCGCAGCAGGACAGACTCGGCGCGAATGGCGCGCGGGCCATAGCGGGTCCCGACGCGGTTGGATGTGCCCAAATCGAAGGGAACGCCGACGAACGCAGCCTGCACGCTTGCTGGCAACGGCAGCGGGCTCACGGGCAGACGCATCATGCTGGCAATGCCTGCAAAGCGCGGCATCTCGTTCCCGCCCAGTGGCTGATTGAGCCCCTGTCTGGCGCGCGCAATGCTGGAAGCTGCCATTGAGAAGGATCGGACTCTGCTTCCAACAAGCATGTCTAACAAGGTGTTAAAAAGTGTAACAAGAATGAGTGTATTGATACAAAAAACAAGTGTGTGTGTGGATTGCACCAACGAAGAAAAAAACACCAAGAGCGGCTGTGCGGAATCACCACAAGCGGGGAAGCAACACACGCTTCGAGTAGCCCGGAAAGTGCGTGCGATACCAACGATCGGCAAGCCGCGCTCCCTGGGAGAGATTGACTACGACTGTAAAGAAGCACAGCACGCTGTCGGTGGCTCCAGCCATCATGATGGACAGCGACAGGTAGACGAGGATTTCTGCCAAATAGTGCGGGCTCCCGCACCACTCAAACCAGTCGCCATGGGGCATAAAGTACCCACTGGCCTGGCTTCGCGATGTGCGCAAACCTGCCAGAATGCGATGGCACTGGAACTGGTGGTAGCTCGCAATCACGAAAAGCTCGATCGCCAGCAGTCGACGCCACGTCAGGGCTGCCATGCCCAGAGCATACCAGTCTGCAAACGACGTCAGGCCAGTAAAGCTGGTGGCCAGCGAGACCGCGGGCGACTGCACGCCAAGCCAGAGCGGGGACTGGGCCACCAAGCTCCACGGTGCGGCGACGTAGAACAGCAGCCCAAAGACATAGTGGGCGGCATGCATTGTTCCGTCCGAAAAGACAGTTAGGTACTGGCTCTCCAGGTGCCGGCGCACGACCTGGAACTCGAGCATGAGCATTGCCAGCAGCACGTCGACGGAGGACATGGGTCCCGGTGCAATCCATGACTTTGCTGCTCGTGTCATGGCGTCAGAGAAACCAGGCCACGCCTCAAAGCCGCTGCACACAAAGTTCTGCAGCTGTTGGAGTGACAGCATCTCGAGGATGCTCGCGTGGTGGGAGCTTGCACTCGAGGGATTGGCGAGTAGTTGAACGTGATTTTCTGCCTGTGCCACAGCTTGCCGGCTCCACAGAATGTAACAGCCGAGTAGTACCGTGTTCCATGTCGTTGCTAGAGCATAAAAGTGCTTGAAGGCGCTTTTGGGCACGCGCCAATACATTAAGCGCGACAACCAATGCTCGTTTGGTTTTCCGGACAATCCTTCGGTCTTGGGGTCTGTACTTGCGGACGATGCTTTCGGTGACAATTTCGACGTTGCCTGTGCGGATTCTGATTCTGGAATTTCGTCTTTGGTCGTGGCAACACGAGGTGGTGACGACTTGCGACCGGAGGAGTTGGCCGACGCCGTCTTGCCCCATGCCATGAGCTGCCGGATGAAGGCGTTTGGAGATGTTTGGACGCTTGCAAGCACAAATAAGCCCACGAGGATGGCAATCCAGACGATTCGAGTCGCTGCCAATGTCACGAACGGAGCAATCTCAACGAAACCTGCCAACATTGTTCAGCCGAGTCAAAACGCAAAACATTTAGAAGACTGGGGATTTTGGATTTGGATTTGGGATTTGGATTTGAACGGGGAAATGGAGCGTTGAAGACCTGTCAAGGGTCGCAATAATCCGAAACAAAACAGTCCGACTTGCCAAATTTATCAACAGCTCAGTTCTTAAGTTGATTACCATTTTTGTGTTTCTTGGCATAATATGTCGTTCGTTGCTTGCTCGCTCAGGCTGTCCGTCGTCCGACAGCAAGCGTCGCTTGTTGCATCGGCACTGAGCAGGCAACACGGTGCATCCATCAGCACCAATGCACATGGCTGGAGTGTCGAACGCAGCTCGTGCGTGGGTGCAGTGCAAGCGCGATTGTCATCAAGTCTCGCGAGCAGCAGCGTGCAGCCGACCCCAGAAGCCCCATCTCCGTCCACGGCGTGGCAAACCATCCGATCGGCCATCAGTGACATGGTACTGTGACCGGGCAGAGCCCAGAAGGCCCCGCCCGCTGACTCTTGTCTTCTCGATTTCAGTTCGCTGTACTGACCCGATTTTGCTGTGGTTGAACATGGTACACTTGTGCTGTCCGCTTGCATGTCGCAGAAAGATGGAGCGGTTCAACTGTATCGAGATGTTGGTCAGATGCGCAAACTGACGTCTCAATCAAGAAAGCTCAACTGGGCTGAAACACAGTTTGTAGACATGTAAGTGATACGACGTGCACACCGTTTGATACCTGAGATCCGACGATCATCGAATGTTGCAGGACTGTGCCTCTCTCACTCGACATGTGTGCACACATGGAGTAGCACGCGAACGAATCTCAAGTCCTTGGTCCCATTCGCAATTTTAACACTGCTGCCAGGCTCGTTTGTTATCATTCCCTTGGCCGTAAGCCTGCACCCAACGATAGTTCCCACCGTGTTCCAACCTCGGAAAATGAAGGTAGGCTGCAGGTTGGTGTTGGTGAGCTACAGTAGGGACCAATGGAATCCAGCAAGCACCCAACTAACCGCAATTCGCAACAAAAAATTTCCTATCGCACACGGATCGTGCGCGGGCGCCTGATGGCGCTTTGACAGCTGGAACAACGGGTAGCCAATGCGCTGCGCCGTGAACATACCGCAGAGGACGTTTTGCAGCAACTCAAGGCAGCTTGCTGGAATCAAGTCGCCTTTGAAACTCAGCCGGACTCGGTGCACGACGCGCTGAAGCTCTTTTATGGCCTACGTTTAAACAGGTATGTGAATGGTTTATTGAAGCAAAAGTAAGCTTGCAGTTGTGTTGTCTGGGATGTGTCACTGAGCACTGGTCGGCTTTTTCTGGTTGCTCCAACCAGAGATTTGAGCGATCATAGCAAGCTACCGACACTGGAGCAAGTCACCAGCACAGCCTATCTCGAAGAGTACGCCGAACTACGCGATGAGTTTCAACGCGCTGCTCATTGCGGGCGGTTGACAACATCCCAGTGCAAAACCGTTGCAGAGTTTGATGGCGTTCGCACCTATCCGCTCTTCTCGCTACGATCGCGACTGAACGCGCGAGCCGAAGCAATCCACAATGACGACATTCTTCTCGCAGAGTATGGCGTGCAAAACATTACGCGGGTGCAGCTGATTGCTGCCTGCGAAGCCCGAGGTACGAGCAGTTGAAAGAGTTTGAATCGCGATGCCATGTTTTGCTCACTCACTGTGGTTCTCCTCTTTGGCTTGAACGCATTCTATAGGCATCCCAACGCTCGACGTCAGTGAAGCAGATCTGCGCCAGATGCTGAACGCGTGGTTGCAGCTAAGCGCCGCCGAAACCAAACCGCGCCAGCCTCTCTATCACGCCTGCTACGCTGCATTGCTCACTGTCATTGCTCTCCATGGATAGAAGGTGTACCTTTGCGATGTCCATGCAGCTTTGAGATGTGAATAGAACGGGATGGATCTTCAGTACTGTATTTCAATCCATGTCGCTTAGAATTGACAACATTCGAATCTATTGCAATACTTTGGCTCGACACCAACGTTACGAATTCCACCCTACATCTCTTAGCATCTCAACATTCCGCATCTACTTTGTCTCAGTCCTGATTCACGTTGGAGAAAATGGCGTCTTCCACCTTGTCCTCGCGCGCTCCAACGACGCCACTCACGTATCGCTCGCAGCCGCACGCGACGAGCGCCGCTGCGATGCGCACTGGCTCTGGCATCACTTGGCAGCCATCGACGCCCTCGTCCAGCCGCCGATCGACGACGATGACGACGATGACGACGACGACGACCACGACCACAACGCATCAGCTGCAGCGTGCGAGCGGAGACGGATCAGCGCAGCTCGCCCCGTGGCCCACCGATCGCACCTCGCTGCTGCTGCTGCTGCCACCGCCGTCGCTACAGGCTGACCGAAGGAGTGCTGCAGGCTCACACAGCAGCCCCGAGGAGTCGTCGCTGGCCGACGTGCTTGGCTTGGCGGAGCACAAGCAGCAGAGCGATCCAGGCTCAGTCGCAGGCTGGCTCAACGCGCAGGTCCGTGGAGCGGGAGAGCCGAGCAAGACATCCAAGACGACAACACTCCAGGGTGGACAAGCTGCCAGCAGTTCGAGCGGCGAGGAGGGCGAGTCGCTGCCTGCACTGTGGACGCGCTTCAACGAGGCATCCACACTCCAATCCAAGCAGCCGGCTGCGAATGCCAACAGCCCCTTTGCGCTGTTGCTGGCGTCACTCTCCGATCCTGCCCGATTGGTTGTGCCTGCCAGTGCGCCTTCGGTTGCATCGGAGGCTGCTGAGGACGCCCATGCGCATCCTGCGCACGAAAGCTTTTTGCCGTCGCTCGCCACACCGTCGCGGCATGTCAAGAAGACTCCGGTTGCTGTAAGATCTTTATTCGGAGAGGGGGTTTTTTTGCGTGATGCAGGTGGATGACCAGAGTGGTTGTGTGCGAGAAGGAGGTCGTTCTTAACTTTGGATGATTTTGGATGATTTTGTGCTGTTTCTCGCAGAAAAACAACAAGATCGATCTCGCAGTCTCTCAGCAGGACGACGACAAGGCGATTGCAGAGCAACTCATGAAGAAGCGACAGTCTCCCAGCCGGTACCTAAGCATGCACGAAGCAATTTGTTTCGCCTTTTGCGTGTTTGCGTTTCCTCACTCTGCATGACTCGCACGCTGCAAATTTTACAGATCTGCTATTGGGACGAACGCGACCACCGTATCGGAAACTGATATTCCGTCAGGGATTGACTATGACGCTGCGCTGAAATTGACCCAAGAGCTCAAGGTACGGTCGTAGTTTCTGCTCCAATTTTTCTTCTTTTTGCGCTGGTGGTGTCGGAAGAGGAGGTAGTTAAACTTTTTTTGACTGCCTTGTTTGCTGTTCTGGTTGTCTTTTGGACTCGGCAGACCAACATTACGCAGTATCAGGCGAAAATGGAGGCTGACTTCAAAGCACTTCAGTTGATGCAAACCCTCACCAAGGCCGCCCCACCTCCAGTCTCCCAGCCTACGACAATGTCCACTCTTCTTGACAACCTGGTAAGCCTCTGCTGTTCTGTTCGCTTGGACATCCATCGTGCCACGCTTTTTTTTTGCGTATTGATGTTTTGCATTTTTGCAATTTACCTCTTCTCTTAGGACTCTGAGCGCACTCGACTCCAGGAACAGTTAAATCAGCTGGACGCATCGTTTTCGGAATCTCGAGAAAAGAAGGCAGTCAAGAAACCCACCGAACGCAACGACGGACTGAGCAGCCCGCTGGAATCGAAGCTTGATAAGATGGTATGAGTCGCCGTTGTCGTGTTTTGTTCGTGGCAATCGCACCACTGGTCGTGTCTAAAGTCTCCGGGTGCATTTTTTGTCCTTCAGAGTGCTCAACAGAAGGAAACGCAACACCAACTGCACAAGATGGCCGACTCCACAGTCAACAAGGTGCGAGCAGCCTCTGCACGAGCAGCCGGTCGGCCTGGATGGCCTGCGTGGGCCATCCTTGGTTTTGTCGTACTCCTCCTCGCCGTTTTGTTGCAAATGCTCTTGCTGGCTGATACGTCTGGGTAAGCTGGGGTTTTTTTTTTGTTGTTGTTGTTTTTTGCTTATTGTTTTTGCGTTTCTTCTGGGGGTTTGCGCTACTGTTTAATGCGCTTCAGTGTGCTCAACTTGTGTGCTCTGTGTCGTTCAAAATAAGGTCGTCGGCAACGAATTCGAGGCCGCTGCTGGACTGGACAGGGTTGCTTCGTTGGCTGGGTGCGGGCGAACTCGCAGGCGCTCGCCCAGTGTAGAACCGAGTGTCGCACATGCTGCTTGCAAAACCGTTCAGCTTGAGGCATAAGGACGCTGCGATTGTTTTTCAGTTGCACGTGCGTGTCAATTGGCGCCGTGAATTTGATAGTGGGGCGAATTGTGATGTTTATTTTGTTCATTCAAACCTCAGACGTCGAGTCGGTATTGCCGACTCGAGAATCCGTTGTTGGGAGGAGGAGGGGGCGGTTGGAAAAAGTTGACACCTGGGTTTTCACCGCCTGAATGGGGTTTGAGCTTGTTGGGTTGTGATGCATGGCCCGCGATCGCAGTGCATCTTTATCTGCAACTACCTGCAGTTTAATGGCATTCAACTTTGCTGACCAAAGAAGAGCGCAAATACATCAAATGCCAAAATCGCGGCGGCTGAAAACAAAAAGTTTGGAGCGAAAATCTTCCATGCCATGAGATGCCGACGGTGCATCATTGCCGTCACCAGAACGATGATGAGGTGCAGGTGATGGATTGTGTGGGTCTGCAACAGCAATCGCAACGGCGGCTCGGCCACGGTCGTGCTTCGGAAGGATGCGAACGCCTTCGGAAGGGCCACAGCACCCAGAGCGGAGACTGCCATTCCTGCAAATGCTTCGAGGAAGATCATGGTTCCCGAGCGCACCATATCAGCGTCATCAAAGCCTACAAACGGCGCAGTCCATCGCAGGGTGCTAAAGGTTTTCTGATGCCCAATCGAGAAGAAGAGAGTCCAACCACCGAGCCAAAGCAGAACTGGAAGCGTCCACGAATGCGCCACGGTGTTGTTGATCGCAGCAGAGGAAGCGGGATAACCGGGAACAGCGCTCGAGCTCACGACGGAGGTTGGAGGTCGTGGTGCACTGGGAGGATGCAACGCACGAACAGCAGCGCCCAAACAGAAAATGGAGAGGCCACAGTATAGCACGGCAATCGCAAAATACCGTCCGGCCCAGAGACTGCAGCAAATGTAAATGCCGCTCAGGATGTACTTCGAATGTACTTGACGAGCGAAACGCAGCACCAGTAGACCAGCCATCAGCCCACCGTACAGCAGTCGAATCGCTGCGTTGACCCACCACAGACTGCCCGCAGCAACTCCATCATTGTTGCGTTCTCCTTGCTGAAGTCCTGCCACCTGGCTATTGTGTTGCTGGATATCAGTCTCGACTCCCGCCCAGAGCAAAAGGCCACACAAAACAGCGCAAAACAGCATCGATCGATTGCGCCTTGCCCAATCGCGCGTTTTGCAAGCGTACAGCAGCCACAGCAGGCATGGAACTCCAAAGGTCAAGGTAAATGCGTAATCGTACACAAATGTGCCAGGTTGGACTTGCTGCAGACTCGCGCACTGCGGCGAGGATTGCTCTTCTCGACAAACCAAGCATGTCTCCAGGCATAGACGGAGTAAAACCAGGCCGGCCACGGCCCAGGCAATTGGGCGCAACGGCTTGAACCCGCGCATCGTCATCGAGTGAGAGATGCACTGGCCCAGTGCTAGCAGCACGAGTAGCGCGAATGCGAAGGGAAAGGTGAAGCTCTCGTTGACGACGAAGCTATTCGAAGTCGTTCCGAATAAAAGAATTGCAGTCAACACGAAAGCGGGCAAATCGTGAAGGCGAACGGGCGCGAGCACAAACACAACCGCTAGCAGCGGAAGCGCAGAAACAACGGCGAGCGCAATGCCCAGCTGCATGCTGTTTGTATCAAACCGTGCCCAGGTCTCGCGGCACAACTCCTGGACTGTTTGTAGATAGACATAGTACGGGTGCGTCCGGACATCCACCCAGTGTGGAAGCTGTTGCTGGGACCTGGTCCAGACAGAGCGATGGGCGTGCTCGAGTTGCTTGCGAATGGCAGCAACCGTGCTGGGCGACAAGTCGCTCGAGACTGATGCGTACGTGAGCATGTACCGGTGGACTTGTACTGCGTTCAGTGTCAGCCACCAATCTCGCGTCTCTAGATTTGCGGGGAGCAATTCTGGGATGGCGGCCCCGAGATTGCCAAACGGAATTGGGATGCCCAGCAGGAGAGACAATGTTGGCACCAGATCAATTTGGCGCACAGTCGTCACGTCAGAGGCCAAACCCTCTGATGCGAGCTGTGGTGGCGCCCAGCCGCGCGTCGAGTACACAAACAAGGCTGCGTCCGTTTCGTCCAAACTGTCCCCGCCGTGATCGCCTTCACGCGTCATGCCGTGGTCTCCGCAAACAACGAGCAGCGTGTCCTTGAAGCGTGGATTGTGGTCGATTGCGGCAATCGCTTCGCGGATGACGCCGTTCATTTCATGCAGCTTGGCGTTGATGGCGGGCACGTACGGTCCAAAGGTGTGGCCCGCGTGATCGACACCGAGAAAGTGGGCCACAATCGCTCGATAGTTTTCGCTGTTGTCACCATCATGAGCATCTTGGGTCTGGTAGTTGCGCTGTTGGAGCAGGGGAAGCAGGATTTGTTCGACACCGTGATCGACCGTGTGCAGATCGTGCACGTTGAACGATGGAAACGGGTGTGCCTGCCGAAATGAGCGAGGGAACAGGTTCATCCATGTGTCGTCTCCGAGGAAGAGTAGTCCGTTTCGAGCCGGCGTCGACGTCGGACCAGTGCGAGCTCGGCTGGACTTGTCGCTTTCGGCGAGCTGGTCAATCCAGTTATCCTCGCCAATGCTGCCGCTGGCAAAATTCGATCCCGCGTCCACAAACGTCGGAAGACTGCCCGTGGTTAGTCCCTTGAGGCGCTGCAGCGTCGTTGTGGGCGGATCTGCGCGAAACCGAAACAGACGCGCGCGATTCGGATGTTCAGCGAGCTTGTCGCGAATCGCAGTCAGATGGCCCGTGTACGGCGCCTGCGGGTCGCACGGCGGAAAACGCGCGTGAGGAATATTACTGGTCTGTGCATCATCACTGTGCGATGGGGCAGTCGGCTCGCACGGTGCGGCAAAGTCGTACCGCAACGCGTCAATCACAATCAGAATGAGCGCTGGATGGTCCTGCTCCTGCCGCTGCTGCTGCTGCGACGACGCTCCATCGCCATCCAGCCATCCTCGTGTGCTTGGATCGTTCTGCTTGGGCAGGCTTGTTGCTTTGTCGGATGCTAGGCGATCGTCCAACGCGCCAATCAGTCGCTCGCTCAGCTGGTCGTCATCACCAGCACCACCTGTCTGACGCGCGGCGAACGCACTTCGGAGCTGTGCAAAATCATCGCTGCTACTGCGATTGGGAACTTCGATTCTGGCGAGTAGAAACCCGCGGGCAAATAACGCAATGGCAGCAGCGTGCACAAGCAGTAGGATGGCCGTCGCGAGCGAGGGCGACCATCTCTGCAATCTGTGCATTCGCAGACAGACAGCCAAGAGTTACCGCGAAACGACTGGACAGAGTTTAGTTGAAGCATTGCACCAAGTCACTGAACAACTTGAAGCATCCAATCGCAAATTGCAGAACTTGGATGCTTCTTCTCAGATTCCAGAGTCGTGCTCGGTTTTCTAGTTCTCTTTCAATGTATTGGAAACAACAGCGCATAGATCTGAATCCCTAATCTTGTCGTTCGATATACCCGACAGAGAGCGACGCAAGTCGCACAAAACTGTAATACTGACCGAGTTCAACTTCAACCTCCCAACCCTCGCGCATTTGGCGGATGACAGGATGGTCTGTTGGCGAAATTGTCACCAGCTGAATGTTCGAACCGACGACAGGCGCTTCTGCAGCCCATTTGTATCGAACAGCACCTAGCTCGTCTCGAACAATCAGATCGAAACGGCCCGATTTGGCTTCGGACTGTTCACGAAGGACTTGAATCGCTTTCACTCGGATGGAATTTCCATTGCTGCTTCGAGGCATTGTAAGTTTCAGGAAAGCGATCTGATTGTTCCTAGCCCACGCTTGGTGAATGTGCTGCACGCCTTGCAAGTACTCCGCTTCGTGCATAACGAGCTCGGCAACCTCGGCTGGTAGTGCAGGGAGAAGTGCGGGCTGATTCTCCTTCTCGTGTCGGCCTGTCAGCAGGTGAAACACGCTCTGCCAGTCTTCAGAGGTTGCCAATCGTGGAAGCAAGGAGAATGCAAGCGGGTTTATCTGGTCCTGGATGCTGTGCAATGAACAAGCAAAAGGTAAAGGAACCATCAGGAGGACCGTTCCATTGAGTATTGGTTCGAGGAACATGGACGAAGCATCAATGGCTCTCATTGGCAAGAACAAGCAACCTACTCAAGCTTAGTCAGAATGCCGTTGACTTTGCGTGCCTCACCAAGCGCTTGAATGCCAACTTGGCCAATGCAGTTGTTCTCTAGACTGGCGTTCAAAGTGTTAGCAGGTTGATAACGTAGCAAGGTCTGAACGATGCTGGTTCAATGTCCCAGATGAGCAAGGCACCCAAGCACTTACGTCAGGTCAGTCAGCGTCTTGTTGACCTTGAGTGCTTCAGCGAGTGCCAGAGCGCCAATGTCACCAATCCGATTCACACTCAGACTGCCCATCCCCTCCATCAGTGAGCATTCGGAATTTTTATGAATCCCTCACATGCATCAGTAAACGTGAGAGGACTTACTAGAGCAAAATCAGGTTCGTGTTCACTTTGAGAGCCTCAGCGATCGCCTGCGCTCCAGCATCGCCAATTTGATTGTGGTACAGACTGTCCGCACAACCTTCATCAGTGAGCACGCTGAATACCTTCTGCTAAAGTCACCCACTCACATCCATCAGTACAAAGTGAGATGACCTACATGAGCCACCTCAGGTTCGTGTTCACTTTGAATGTCTCAGCAATCGCCCGCGCTCCAGCATCGCTAATCTGATTCCAGCTCAGACTGCCCGTCCCTCTCCATCAGTGAGCACTCTCACTGTCATCTCCTGCAGTCACCACTCACATGCATCAGTTCAAACGAGACTCACGCAACCTCGACCACCGTCTTGTTCACTTTGAGTGTCTCAGCAATCGCGCGCGCTCCAACGTCGCCAATCTGATTCTCACGCACGCTGTCCAAATCGCCTCCATCAGTGAGCCGCTCTTGCTGTCTCTACTTGATCGCCCACTTCCATGCGTCAGTGAAATTGAGATGACTTACTCGAGGTGCGTCACTGTCGTGTTCACTTTGAGCGCTTCAGCAACCGCTTGTGCTCCATCGTTGCCAATCTTCTTCCCATCCCACCTGTCTCTCCATTTTCGTCAACACAAACGCGCGGTCACACTGTTTCCAACCTTACAACTCGGCTTCCCCTTACCAGATCCATCCATTTGCGTTCTTGACGATATCATGCAGCTCGCGCTGGCTCTCAGACATACTCTGATAAGTCAGCATTTTCAACAATCAAACAAAGACTGACTCGATGCTCCATTTCATCTCTCTACCCTGACACACGCAGGTCTATGAGCCAGCCATTCTGATGGCTGTTCCTCCTTGAGGAAGTTTGGAATATCAGGATAATTTTCAGTGCAAATTTTGTTGATTGTAGAAAGGGTAGTGTGCATTCCCACCGATCAGACCTATTCAAGTCATAGTATTCTTCGACAACATTTTGGAGTTATCTTAGAAAATAGGACTGCACAAGAAACCATAAAACAAACAAAACAGAAAACGTTCAAAAAGGACTGTCTCCCGAATGCCGGAACAATCCTCCTGATTTTGCGCCTCGTCTCTTTCCAGAGTCGTACTCGGCATTTCATGTTCATCGTACGCGGGGAGATTGAAGTAGAACGTTCACTTGGAGTTGAAGCGGTTTTTGCTCAGCTCTGAGCTTTGCCGTGGCAATCCACTTCTGAATTCTCGGATGTTTGTGCTGCTTTGTCTTTCGTTGCTTGCCATCTGATGACTAGATCTACGTTATTCCTCAATCCATTTGTAATCCTTTCATTCAGTCTTGCATTTTCACTTTGAAGCCAAATCGAAATCAATGGTAAAATCAAAATTCTGAATTTTTGGAGTTTTTTTTTATTTTTTTTTTATTTTTTTTTTTGCTGATTTTCCATCGCCATTCTCTCACTTTCCACTGTCTCACTCGCTTCCTTCCGTCCTTCCTTCCTCTCTTCGCTCTCTTTTGACGACTGAATGCTCATTTGCTCAGACGGACATCAACGTGTGCGACATCGACCCGTCTGCGATCGACAAGATCAAAAAGTTCCGTTTCCGCAAGGCCAAGAACACTGGCGCCCTCATCCGTAACGTGCAACCCACTCCGCGCACCCTACAAATCCCTCTTGGTGGTCAACGTTGTCGAATGACCATGGCGATGAGACTGGAGATCCATGGGTGGAGGAGGGGGGGTAGTTCAGATTGAGTGGACATCAGCTGGTTTTTCAATCTTTTTCTTTTGTTCTTTTGGCAACTCGTTCATTGATCACCATTCAATGTTGCTCTGCTTCTTCTTCTTCTTCTGCTGCTGCTGCTGCTGCTGCTTGCTCTCGCAGTCAAGATCGTTCCTGAGGAGCTCAAGTGCGTCATCGAGCAGGAGCTGGACGACACGTCCCTCGCTGAACTGGCCAACGAGCTCCCCGACTCATTCCCTCGCTATGTCGTGTTCTCGACCGTCCACACGCACCCCGATGGCCGTATTTCGTACCCGCTGATGCTCATCTACATTTCCCCTGCCGGTAAGAGCGAGTAAAAGAGTCGGGTTGGTGCTGCTTTAGATTGTGCCTTTTTTTTTTTTTTGTAACTTTTGGGGATTGTTTGTTTCGTCTGCCGTGTCCCAGGCACCAAGCCTGATTTGCACATGATGTACTCTGGCACCAAGACCGAGTTGGTTCGTCTTTCTGGCATTACCAAGGTCAGCATGGCGAGAATAACAACCTCGAAAAACGTTGTCAAATTGCTGGCGCTGATTTCTGTGCATTCCTTGTCTCGTCACACAGGTCTTTGAGGTGCGCAGCACTGAAGAACTTGACGACGAATGGCTCGAAGAGAAGATGGCCTTCTTCAAGTAAACGCGTCGTCAAGATGGACCGAGTCCGATGGTGTGTTGTTTTAGTTTTTTTGCTCCACCTCCCCTTGTTCATTTGTTGATATGGCTCGAAACGCATGTGGCTGGTACACCCATAAACACAATGGTTGCAAGATGTTGTTTTCGATTGTTCTCAACACGTTAGGGACAGACAGCCAACATGCAGCAGTTTCGTCTCATTTCTTTTTTTAAAAAAAAAAAATTCTAGTCGACGTCAACTAGAGAGCTATTGGACCTCGCTGACGACACGCTTTCTGGTGGCGCAGTTTTAATGGTCGCGCAGCGATGAAATCGGAGCAATTAGTGCGGTGATCATGCTGTTGCGAAGATAAGAGCCAAAACAAAAGTGACCCACAAAGTTAACAACCAAGTCGGACAACCTCCTCTGCTGCAATCACCACCTCCAACAACTTACGAGTACAAGTAGTAAAAGAAGCACACAAGGTACAAGCCAAGCTTGATGAAGGACTCTTGCTTGTGCTTTCCGAGTGATTGGAAAACCTCGGTCGAATCGTACAAGTAGCGTTTGCTATGAATCCTGCGTTGGGGGGGGGGGGAATGAGAAGGACAGCACGAGAAGGCAAGTGGGAAACAAGAACAGAGGTCGGGGAGAGTGAGAGAGTTGTGCGAAAAAAAGGAGCCAGCACTCGAGTTCCAACGCACCGATGAGCGTGGTACGCGACAAGCGGAACGTTCAGAAGCAATGCAAGCCATTGCAGCCGGAAGAGGAAGAGCGTTGTCAGGAAGGCATGAAGGCCGACTTCAGGCAAAATGTACTGCCACATCGAGGACAAATTTGGAGTTGACAAGTTAGCTCAGAAATACAAACCGCGCTGCCTCAAAGGCCATTTCGACTTTTGTGCGTGAGTGTATGCGCGCGTTTCTTGCTGTCATATTCATACCACGTTGAGGCTGTTGCAGAGGTCGACAGGATTGATGTAGTCGCATTGGAGGTCTGAGAACATGATGATCTGCAGCCAAAACAAATGAGTGCAAATGAGTGATCCAGCCATTCGCGAGTGAATGCTCGGTGTATTTTTTGTGAGACGATGAATCAACAGAGCATGATTCTGGTCTCTGGTTGGCGGTCTTCGATGCCGGCTGTGCACAAAGAGGGGAGATCTCGGCAGTTGATGACGACGGCGAGTAGAACAGCGAGCGACTTTGGCGTTCCGGTCGTCCACCAGCCAGGCACTGATGCGGGGTCATTAGTGCTGGCGACACAATGCAAACGCTGTCATCCCCCCCCCCTCGTCTTCTGGGCGAACGCGGCAGATCCAGCGCGAGACGAAACCATCCGTTGCAAAAAAGGTCTCCCTTTCGCATTTTCCTCCCAGTTCTCAACGGGCCAAACCGCTGCAGCCTCCCCCCCCCCCTTTTTTTTTCCTTCCATCAGACGGCTGGGTTGAGGTGGTTAGGGATGCACGGCGGCGCGGTCAAAAGTGACGGGAGGGGAACTGAACGCACAAAGTAAACCATGAGGAAGAGCAGTGCTGCTGATACAATCACAGCAAAGATGTACAAGGCGGCGTCCGTCGAGACCATTGCTGCTGATGAGTGAAAGTGGAGTGAAGTGGAATATATCAAGATAGAATTGTCGAGTAACAATTGCAGCAACCGAGGAACGCAGAGCATTAGTCTGAGCGGTCTTTGGTACTGTTTTCAGAGCATCTGAGCGGTGGCTTTTTTTTTTGTGTGTGTGTGTGTGTGTGTGTGTGTCTGTTCCTTTTTCTAGGCAGGCAGTCTTTTGCTTTGCTATTCTTTGTTTTTGTTTTATTCCGTTTCAAGGGGTGAACGGCGCAGTGAAAGACAGAGCGCAGTGTGTGCGTGCGTGTGTGTGTGTTAGCAGAATGGCATTGTCGCGCTCGGTCGCGATCGCTCGGCTCGCCTCTTCCTCTTCCTCATCATCTCCCGCGACTTTCTCATCGCTGCCAGCCTCATCATCGTTATCATCATCATCACCAACATTCGCATCATCGCTGGGAAGCCGCAGTGGTGCATTGACATGTATCACAGATCAACCACGGCCGAGCTTACCACCGAGCAGCAGCAGACAGAGCGCCGCAGCAACGCTGCCTTCGCAACTACCCACCCGCAGCCCAGCCCGGATAGATGCAGACCCGTGTACGCACTCACTCACGACGCACTCTGACTTGCCATCACGACGTGCTGGGCGGACGAGTGGCGCTACACCAACGCAAGCTCGGGATTGGTCACCGACACGTCTCCCTTATCTGTATGCGAACCACCACGCTGCGTCGCCACTCGCCACGCACGCGAGGACGAGGCTGTTCTCAACACTGGGCAGTGCTGCATTGTTCAAGACGACGGTCGGGCGCTCAAACGCAGAGGAGTCCTCCTCCTTCACCTCGTCGTCCGCTTCTGCTGCACCCTCTGCTGCTACCGAACCAGCTGCTCCGTGTGAAGAACCCGGACCCGGCTCGACAGCCAACTTTGTCGATGGGCTGCCACTGTTTGCGCAACCCTTGCCGCATGGTAGCAGCAGCAGCAACGCTACATCGCCCGCAAGCGACGGAGCGGCCGTGGTGGCATCTTCAGAGCAACCGCTGCTCTGGTCCCGCAGCGAGGTCCGACGTGCGAACGACACTCGCGCGTTTGCAGGCGTGCGGAGCACTCGCGCCCGTCGAGACTACAACGAAGACCGTCTGTGTGTGGCGCAGTTTGGCCCAGACACGTTCTTTTTTGCCGTGTTCGACGGCCATGGCGGATCGAGCGCAGCCGATTTCGCCACGGCGCACGTCCACTGGGAGGTGCATGCATTGATGCAAGCGGGCGCGAGCCCCTCGGCTGCGTTGGTAGGCGCCTTCCAAAAGGTCAACGACGATTACTGCGCGTCTGCGCGGAGCTCGAGCACGTCGCGCACTGCGGGAACGACGGCCGTTGTCGCCGTTGTCGTCGGCCGAACAATGTACATTGCCAACGTTGGCGACTCGCGTGCCATTCTCTGCCGCTCTGGCCGGAGTGTCCAGATGTCGTTCGATCACAAACCCGACGTGCCAGAAGAGCAGCAGAGAATCGAGGCTCAAGGAGGCGAGGTCGTGCACGACTTTGGCGCCTACCGCCTGCAAGGCATGCTCACCGTTTCACGGGCGTTGGGCGACCTAGAACTCCAGCAGTTTGGCTTGATATCGACGCCCTTCGTGGTGCGGCATGAAATTTCCATGAATGACGCCTTCCTTGTCCTCGCCTCGGACGGTTTGCACGACGCGCTCGCACCAAGCTTGATTCTCGACATTATTCGAGGCGCGGCTGGACCCGACGAAGCCGCAGTGCGACTCACCATGGAGTCAGAGATGCGGGACGTCGAGGACAATACGACGGTTGTTGTCGTTCGGCTACCCGGCTGGCGACGCTTCCAGACAGACCACTATGCCATCGGCTCGCCGTTCGGGCGAAAGCTAAACCTTCCCGCGCTTCTTTCACAGATGGACAAGTACATGCCTGTGGAGATGACGCAGGACGACATTGCCAAAGAGTTGGAAGTGTTTGAAAAGACGGGGCTCGGCTCCATCTCTCGAGCAGGGTTTCACGTGTTTGACGAGACCCAACAAGGGTACATAACGTTTGCTCAGCTCGAGGCTGCGATGAAGCGTCTAGGCGAGGATTTCTCAAAGAAAGAGCTGCGTGAGATGTTTGACGAGGCGGATCTTGATCGAGACGGCAAGATTGGATATGAAGGTGAGTTTTTTTGCTGTCTGTTGCTGTTTGATGAGGTCGGGGGAAGGGGAGCGGGCGGTTGAGATTGTTTCCGATAGCTACTCACTTGCCGGTGTGCTGTTGTGTTGCTACGGCAGAATTTTGTCGGACGCTTCGGCAGCAAAAGGACGACGCTTCCAGTTGACACTTTGTGGATTTTTTTTTTCTTATCGATTTTTTTTCCTAAATATCTTGTATCGATTCCGCTGCAACCAACCTCCACTGCCCGCCCCCCTTTTATGATCGTTGTCGATATCGTTATGACTATGGCATCGCTTGGTTTGATACACTTGTGCCTGTATAAGTTGTTCTGTATATTGTAATTTTGATTTCAACCAGTCGCTGCATCGCGCTGCGCTTTAAGGAGTATGCAGCTCACTATCTGCCGCGGGTGCCGCTGGCGGTGCCGACGAAGAATCAAGCGCAAACAAGCTCAGCGTTGCGATGGCCCGCAGAATCCTTAGTCGGCGTCCTGCACTTGTGATGGACATGGACCCAAGGGTCTCGTGATCAAGTGCTAGCAGAGCTTCTCCGTCAATGTCGTTTTCTGTTTTGTGCAATCCAAAAACGGCGAGACATGCATCAGACACAACAAACAACAATTCACCTTTGCACTCTGCAACCAACCACCCCCAAATCGATACTCTACCTTGGAACAAGGGAATGTACTCAGCAAATCCGTTGGCGCCCATCCATTGAGCGACATCCTCGGCAGTCCACTGATGAATGGTACTCACTGGCAGGTTGTACAAACAATGCAGAGCAGAGTTAGCGCCGCACTTTGACAATACACTGGTTGCTCAGGGGGAATTGCAGAAAATCGTCTCACAGTCAAGGATGGAAGGTACTCTTGGCGCACCCACAACTCCGCGACCCGGCGATCCTGGAGCACCTGCTCCCTCTGCAATCCCTCGCGCTGCAGCGCAGAACACGGAAAACAAAAGGGGTGGATGAGCACAGCAGCGCTAAAAGAACGAAAATTTGGCAAATCGAAACCAAAACTCACGAGTGATCAGACTCTTGCGATTCCTGTCGGAAACCATGGGGCTCATATTGCCGTCAACTGCCCAGCGAAAACAGAGACCATTCCGACAGTCAGAACCATCACAGGCTGCGAAACACGCAATCTCGTCAATCTCAAACCTCGTGCAGTGATAAAGAAACTAATGTCGCGCAGAATTTGCACAATCTCGGCCTCGGGCAGCTCGTCTCCAAACACACTCCTGCTGCGTTCAACACTTTGCGGAGAGAGTCCTTGAAGTTCTTGCGCGCTCGCTGCAAAACAAAACACGCACCAAAAATCAATCTCAAGGCTCGGCTCGCACGCGAAAGAAACTCGCCACTAGCTGTAGCTTACAGGCCATGGTCCGCGCCACACGATTGCCAGAGCTCTCCTCTGATAGATGGCCCGTGCGCGGAGGGGTCTCAAAGGTCACAACTGACGCCGGACCAGGCCGGAATGACACCTTCTTTTGCTGCGCAGCCTGCTGTGGCTTTGACAAGTCTTGCGCTGGCATTGCAGCATGACGCGGTGACGCGCCACTCGGGATGGGAATTTCAACACGAAGCGTCGAATCACGGAACAGGTCCACTTGGTTTGAGTGAACATTGGCGGCAAAATTGGGTAAAACAGAATGTTGGCCCAAATGACGAACACCCCCCCTTCAAAAACCAATGCCTCAAAAATCGTTCTACCTGCAATCTTAAACTCTTCCTCGCGGGCCATTGTGACCAAGTCGCCGTCGGTATCGCGGTACTTGAGCAGCATTGTTTCGCCCAAAGGCGATTGCGCCAAAACCGCCATGTCGACCTGTCCAGTCTCGTCGGCTGCGTACACCTCCCGGATCTAACAATCATCACCCAAAGTAGCAACAACAACAACAACAACAGAGGTCATGCCAAGAGTGAGTGATTGATGTTTTGCTGACGTTTCGGTTGCAGAGGGCGAGAATGCATGGAATTCTGAATCCAATAGTCAGTCCCACTCATCCGTCCATCATCGTCCCATCGTCCTCCACTCCAAGGCTGCAATCAACGGATGATGGCCACTGCAATCTGTGAGCCGAGTCGCGGCTGCTGCAGCTGAGCTTTTGGAACAAGTGAGGGACAAACGGGCAAAAATGGGGGTTTTGAAACCGTTTACAATGCAAAAGTAAGCATTCGCTGTGCATACGCGCTGTTCGCCCGCAGTGCCGACTGGAGCGTGATGAACGTGGGAAGTAAGAGTTTGCATATGTTAGTGGAGCGGTTGAAAGGGGGGGGCGGGCAGACCTTGGCTTTGAGCTGGGCGAGCTGCGATCCAGCCGGCAAAACGATGCGGCGACAGTCATCGCCAAAGGACACTTTGAACTGCATGCGTTGAAAATGCGGATGGATGGGACAAGAAGACTGAGGACGAGCATAATCAAAAAGAATATTGAATTCTGTCGATCGAAACACCTTACGAAACGAAACATTGAACTCATTTGGCCGTTGAACAAGTACAAAAAACGAAAACAATCTCCCAACACACACACGTCACGCTGAAAGCAACGAATAGAGACAGGATGCAGCGTAAAGGAGCCCGCCATTCAGACAGAAAAACAACCCTGCGTAGAGAATGCTGCGGCTATGGCGGTAGTCGACTTTGTGCAGCGGGGCCTTCTTCCAGGACGTTGCGGCTTCTTTGGACAGCTCTGCGGCTTTGGCTGCAACAAGCCGATGGCGGACTTGGGCTTGCGTCTCAGACGAAGCACTCGAGCCGCTGATGCTGCTGCTGCTGCTGCTGCTGCTGCTGCTTTCGATGGACGACTCCTTTGCGGCCGCGACCTTCATGCTTGCGCGGGGCGCGTCCACATCAAGCCGAGAGCCCAGCTCTGACGCAGAGGCAGGGAGAGACACGGTGATGGCATCATGCACGTTCGATGGGAAGGTGCCGTTTTGCCAGAAAAATTTGAGCAATTGGTCCTTCTCAATGTACAGGTTGTTAATCCACGCGGCCAGGGCGTCTTCGCCGGTGGGGAGGTCGGCGAGCAGGAATTTGCGGCCATGAATGTGCACTTTCGTGGTGAACGAGTGCCTGGTGAAGAGGTCGAGAATTCCAGGCGCGCGACCCTCTCCAAAGCCCTCGTATGCGACAGTGTAGTCGTACACGTACTTGGCCGCTGGGTTTTTCCGCATCTTTTCAACCACATACACAAACGCGCGATTGCGTGGCCAGAGCAGATACTGCAGCTTGGGAAATCCATTCTCTTCGCAGTACGCGTGGCACTTGGCCATTGAATTGCGGTGCTGCAAGCGCAAAAGAAATGTGGGAAGGATGCCAGACGCGAGGCACAGTGAGGTCGTAGAAGCAGAGACGGGCACAAGAGCAAGAGGAAGGCGAGTCCGTGAGATACGGTGCACAGAGACAATTCAGGTTGCTGTGTTTGAGAGAGTCTTTACCTTGAGCGCGCCTTCAGGGAAGAAGCAGTACAAGTGGAACATGTCACTGGACAAGAGTTGTTCGATGCTACGATCCAGGTAAGGCTTGTCGGATGGCCACTGAAAAAATAATGGCACAACAGAATGATGAGAAAAACGCAAGACACAAGTGCGCTCTTCTCGTCGTCGTCGTCGTCGTCAATGAGAAGACGTACCCGACACGGAATCCAAACATCACCTCGGAGCATGCCAGCCCATGCGAATGGGAATTTCGACAGGCCGTTCCAACCGACCCAGAGCTGGAAAGTACCACGGGTGAGCAACAGAAACCAAATCGAAATGAAATTCACCCACTCAGCCAATGCCCAGCTTGTCACAAACAACAAAACAAGCTTCACATACAGCTCGGGACATGACGTCTTGGAAGAAGAGATATGCGTTGAGAATCGGCACATCGCACCTGTTTGGGTGATTTTAACCCGCATTCAACCAAGCAAACCAATCGGGTCAGCAGCGAGGCTTCCAACGACAACCTCATGGGCCCCCCAAAAACATGCAACAGCGCGACTCTTCTGGTTTTACCAGCTCTGGTGGTTGAACATGACGATGGCCTTCTCGTTCTGGCTGGGGAAGGCGATTTGCTCGCCCGAAGAGAAGCAGTCGACCAGCGAGTACTTTTGGAAGGTCGGGAAGGTCCACGCGCAGGCAATCTCGCTCAGAATGCCGACGATCCGCTCGTACAGGTTGTGCGAGACGAGGTACCACAGCGGCAGGACGACGAGGAAGGCCGCAGCGAGCCAGGTGAAGGTGCTCAGCACCAGCAATCCAAAGCCGACTGCAACCACCGTCATGTACCACGGAACACGCGGCCGCGGCATCTTTTTTTGTTTTTCGGTCGAGTGGGACGGAGACGTGGATGTCTTCTGGTGTTGGAAGTGTGTGTGAGACAGGAAGCGGGTTGTTCGGCGCTTTAGGTTGTTTTTGTTGATGATAAAAGAATGGACTGCCGATCAATGGCCCAACGGCACTCTTTGGCTTTGATTCCAACGAGATGCATTTCCGCTATTGATTGACGTTCATGTAGTAATGATGTTGCTTCAAGTTCCAGATTTCAAGTTCTCAAATTCTCAGAATCTACGATGCATCACAAAAACTGCACTGATTCCGTTCCGTCTCCGACCCAATGCACCCCTTCAGCTCATGTCCGACGCAGACTTTTTTGAAGAGTTGCAAGCCGATTACCCCGTAATTACCATCCAGCGGTTTACCATCCAGCGGTTTACCCAGGCGTGTAAGGTGGTCCCTAAAGCTGGGGGAAAAGGGGACAGCGGTGGTGATGGATGTTGTCGCTTTTGCTCAGGCTTTTGCCACAACTGTTGCATCATTGGCGACGTGAACCACATTGACCACATGTTGCAACTCGTCAGATGGAAATCACACAAAGACACAGCAAAACCGCAATGCTCAGTACCAATTGCCAATCGATGATTGGACGACGCCTCTTCCAGCTCTTCTGGACCAAGTATCACGCGCGTCCACATCCCCAAAATGTATCGGTTGCCACATCCTCGTCCATCCGACAAGCAAGCACGAACTCGTGACGGAGGCAGTTTGGCGGCTTCACATTCTTCCTTTACCCCAAAAAAAAAACAAAAAAAAAAAACACTGGCGCGTTTTCGACCCCCCCCCCTCGCTGCCCGGGGCTTCTACTGACTCCCTGCTTCTCTCACAGTTCGTTTTTTGGCATGAGAACACATCCCGTGGTGCGACACACTCACCCGAATGCGCCCATCTCTGGGTTCCGTTCCCTGTTCGAGTTGGCCACGCCCCCCTCCTCATGCTGCACTTCAGACAGCGGTCCCTGCCCATTGGCAAGGCCAGACCAATATCCAGCACACCACAGACGAGGGCCTTTTTCAATGGGCAATCCAGTGCGGATGGGGTACCCGGACAAGATCGACCAATGCATCACAAAAGCGAAAAACAAACCAAGTGTCACTTTTTCACTTTTTTGATTTTTATTTTTTATTGTTTTACGGCAGAGAGTTACGCTCCGATCGGCAGGTAGCGCTGGTCTCCATGCACAAAGAAGACTGCAATCTCTTGAATCAGTGCCAGGAGGACGGCGACAAAGCCTGCGGCGATCAGGGCAAACATGTGACCGTAGTCGACTGTGATGGGGATGGTGATGAAGTCGAGATCGAGCCATGTGCCAGGGCGGGCTTTGAGGTCCACCGCCATGCCCAAGCCCGCAGCCGCGACAACCACTGCCAAACTGAGTGATCCGAGAATCCATCGACTGCGGAGAGTCGCGTTGATTGTAACTGCAGCGATAACCGCCGCGGCAATCCCGGAAAACAGCGCGGCCGACGCGACAACACTGCCGCTCGCGTAGAGCTTGGTCGCGCCGGAGCTTGTGAGGATCCGAAAACCATTGATTTCTTGCCGATGCCACCAGTCGCACTGGTCGAGCACGCACAACTTCCAAAACCCGGCGTCGGCGGTTACGTAGAGCCAGCCCTGGTTTGGGACGTACGTCTTCGCGTCGGTGCTGTACACCGTGTTGGTCGCAGCAGCAACGGCATAAAACACAGCTGCCGCTACTGTCAGAATGAGAGAGATGGTGCGGTGAGCGCGGACGTTGGCAAACATCATTTTGGCTGCGAAGAAAAGAAGACTGTGTGTGTCAGCAGATGTTCCCTATTTTGTTTTTTTTTTGTTTTTTTTTTTTTTTTTGTTTTTTTTTATTTCAGTCCACTTTTCTCGATTTGCGCGCTTTTTTTTTTTTTTTTTCGGTAGGCTTTTTTTTTTTTTTTTTTTTTTTTGATTGACTTTTTGTGGGTTTTTTTGTTTCCACTTTCCTCGACTTCGACCGTTTGGATTCGGACTTTTGCTCTGTTATTATTCCTAGAAAAGCGAGGGTTGCTGTTTTCATTTTGCAACATGGACATCATTGCGTCGTCGACCTGAGTGTGAAGCGTTCAACCACCGCAACCCTTTTTTTTTTTTTTTTTTTTTTTTTGGTTGCGATTTTCCATGCAAATCCATACAAATCCATGCGTCTCCACGTTGGATCACTCCCCTTGTGGCCGCGTTTCGCTGCTCGCGCTTGCGCATGCCGGCTGTGTCCTGTGAGACGCACTCTGTGTCCAACCGGGAGCCAGCCCGGACGAAACGGCGCGTCAGGAGATGCGTTTTGCGTTCTCACGTTGCGTTGCCCAAAAAGCCGCCCATTTTCCGACGCCATCTCGGCCTTTTCTTTCGTCGCGGCGTGCGTCGCTCGGGATGCCCTGCGTGGCGCGTTGACATGGGTCTCGTTGATCACGACTACTCGTTCGCTCGTCCATCGCATTGGCTCTGAGGTCGCCAAGACCGCCATTTTTTTAGCCGTCTCACTTTGCAAACCAACTGTTTCACTTTTTTTTCTTTTTTTTTTCTTTCTTTTTTTTCTTTTTTTTTTTCTTTTTTTTTTTTCTTTTTTTTCTTGTGGTTGATCAAGTGAGGCAGCTTTACAGTCATCACAGAACAGAACAGAACATAACAGAACAGCACAGACATGATTGTCGCCGTTGCATGTGTGTGTGTTCAGCATTCACTCACTGTGTGTCGTTTCGTTGTTTTGTTTGAATCATGCATTGCGCATGTGTTTCCACCACACAGGATTCATCTTCATCATCACCGTGACTCCCATCTCCCCCTCCCCCTTCTGTCAGTAAGATCTTGGAATGAATATCGACCAGTACTTGGAAAGCGGCCGCGCTGTGCTCTTCAACTTTGACGACAAGTTCGATGTTGCGAGCTTTGACCGCATTGTCGACCAAGCAACTCAATCAGTTACTGTACGTTACTTGTTTCCCCCATCGGTTTAATCTCATCAGTGTGATGCAAAGGGGGGGGGGATCCGTCTCTTGCTCTCGTCCCATAACAATCATGATGCGCATCCCAAACTGACTTTTTTTTTTTTGCCAACACAGCCTTATTTCCAGGCAGCACAACAGCTGGTCACCGAGTTTGTCGAAAACCCCGACTCTTGGACGCGTGTCGATGCCATTCTCTCCTTCTCTGTCAACCCCATCAGCAAGGTATGCGTGCGAAATGGTGGCAGTGTTTTCAAGTCTGGTTGTGGGTGTTGCTCAATGTCTTGTTGAACTCTTTGTTCGTCATCCAACACAGTTCTACGGCCTGAATGCTCTCCGTAGCATGATCAAGACCCGATGGAAGGTCTTGCCGCGCGAGCAGTGCGAGAACATTAAAAAGTTTATGATTGACTTTGTCACAAAATGCTCGATTGACGACGCTGCCCTGATCGAGTCCCGCCTGTACCGAACCAAGCTGGACGAGACGCTCGTTGCGGTAGGTGCTTTCGAGCTAGCAACGGATTTGAATGTGTTTGCCATGGTTTGGCACTCATCCTTGACCTCCTTTTGTTTTTTTCCTTGTCAGATTGTGAAACACGAGTGGCCTGCGCACTGGCCAAACTTTATCGAGGAAATTGTTGGTGCCAGTCGTACCAACCTTGCCATGTGCGAAAACAACATGATCATTTTGAAACTTCTCAGGTAACGAAAAGAACATTGGCCAATTCGGAGCGATGCAGCGGTTTGTGGCTGCTGCTGCTGCTTTCGGGACGAAGACTCACCAAATCTCCACCTCCCCCCCTTTTTTTTTTGTTTCATTGCAGCGAGGAGGTCTTTGACTACTCGTCGGGCCAAATCACCCTGGCCAAGGCGAAACAACTCAAGCAGCAAATGTGCGAACAGTTTACGACCATTTTCGAGCTTTGCCAGCTGGTGTTGGTGGAGGCCAACAAGGCGTCGCTCATCGAAGCGACGCTCGGCACGCTGCAGAGCTTTTTGAGCTGGATTCCGATCGGCTACATTTTTGAGACCGAGCTCATTTCCATCCTGCTCAACACGTACTTCCCCAACCCGCTGTACCGAAATCTGACGCTCAAATGCCTGTCGGAGATTGGCAGTCTTGACACTGGCAACCAGTACGAAATGACCTTTGTCAACATGTACTCTGGCGTGCTGACGGTGATTTTGGAGACGCTCACTCCCGAGCTGGACATTTCCGAGGCCTATATGAACTCGGACGATGACGAGCGCAAGTTTGTGCAAGACGTGGCGCTCTTCCTCTCGTCCTTTTTCCGACAGCACTCGAAGGTGCTCGAGGCGCGCCCGGAAATGCACGAGCTTTTGCTTGCGGGCATGTTCCTGGTTGCGCGCATCTCGGACGTTGAGGAAACTGAGCTGTTCAAGGTCTGCCTCGAGTTTTGGAACTGGCTCTCCCACTCGCTGTACGTCGAGAGCCCGTTTGGCTTCACTGGCGGCGCGCTCATGCTGAACGGCGGTGGCTTTGGCCGACAAGGCTCGCCCCGTCGCGAGCTCTACACGCAGCTCTTGAGCCGTGTCCGCACGATCATGATTACGCGCATGGCCAAGCCCGAGGAAGTGCTGATTGTTCAGAACGACGAGGGCGACTATGTTCGTGAGCTCACCAAAGACACAGACTCGATCAACATTTACAAGTCGGCGCGCGAAACGCTCGTGTATCTGACGCATCTCGATTGCAGCGACACGGAGGTGATCATGTCGCAGCGTCTCTCGGCCCAGGTCCACGACGCAGGGTTCTCGCCCGAGCTGCTCAACACGCTGTGCTGGGCAATCGGCTCGATTTCGGGTGCCATGAGCGAGGAGGACGAGAAGCGCTTCCTCGTCACGGTCATTCGCGAGCTGCTCGGCTTGTGCGAGTTTAAGCGTGGCAAGGAGAACAAGGCTGTGATTGCATCCAACATTATGTACATTGTCGGCCAGTACCCCCGCTTCTTGCGCGCGCACTGGAAGTTCCTCAAGACGGTCGTGCAGAAGCTGTTTGAGTTTATGCACGAGCTTCACGAAGGTGTCCAGGACATGGCCTGCGACACCTTCATCAAGATTGCCCAAAAGTGCCGCAAGCACTTTGTCACGCTGCAAGCTGGCGAGGAGACGCCGTACATTGACAAGCTGCTGGCCGAAATGAACCTGCACATTAACGACCTGCAGGAGGGCCAAGTCCAGACCTTTTTCGAGGCTGTCGGCTACATGATTGCGTCCCCGCTGGACCCTCAGACGCGCGATCGTCTGATTGAGCGCTTCATGCTGATGCCCAACAACCACTGGATTGAGATTGTCGCCCGTGTCTCGTCGGACATTAGCGCACTGAGCGAGCCTCCGCTGATTAGCCAGCTCTTGCACGTCCTGCGACTCAACAACCGTGCCTGCCTCGCCATCGGCCACACTTTTGTGTCGCAACTCGGCAAGATTTATCTTGATTTGCTCAACATTTACAAGGCGGTGAGCGACATCATCAACTCGCACCTTCGCCAGTCGGGCGACGTTGTGCTCACCTACGCCAGCGTCAACTCGCTCGTCAAGGTGCGCCGCGAGTCCCTGCGTCTCATCGAGACGTGGGTGGCGCGCACCGAAGACCCGCTTGCTGTGCGAGACAGCTTTGTGCCCCACCTGCTTGAGCTCGTCTTCCTGGATTACCAGCAGTGTGAGCCGTCTGCCCGCGAGCCCGAAGTCTTGAGGCTGTTGACGACCATTGTCAAGCAAGTTCAGGTGAGAGTTTGGCAAAAAAGGGGGGGGGAATTGTCTTGAGATTCATGGCTGCTCATGTTGTTTTTGTGGTTGTTTTGTTTTGGTTTTTTTTTTTTTTTTTTTTGCGCGCTCTCTCTCCGCAGGGTGAAATGTGCCCAGTCATTCTTGACATCTTCCCGCTCGTGTTTGAATGCACGCTGGACATGATCAACAAGGAGTTGACGCTGTACCCCGAACTTCGTGTCGCCTTCTTTAATCTGCTGCAGCAAATTTGCGAGCATTGCTACCCTGCCCTGTTCCAGATTCCGGAAGACCAGTTCCGAGTTGTCATGGACTCGCTCACCTGGGCCATGCAACACACGATGCGCGATGTGGCAGACACTGGTTTGTTGACGCTGAAGGACTTCCTCGAGCGTGTTGCCACGTTGAACGACCCCAACATTGTCCAAGGTTTCTTCCGCTCGTACTACTTGTTGCTGCTGCAACATTTGTTTGCCTGCCTGACCAACTCGTTGCATGCTGCTTGTAAGATGAATCTTGTCGTCCTCTTTTTTTTGTTGTTGGTGGGGTGCAGTCGCACTCACGCTTTTCTTGCCACCGTCTTGTTTTGTTCTCTCTTTGACACCCCTCAGCATTCAAGATGCATGCTACCGTGCTGTCGGTCATGTTCCGTCTCGTGTTTTCGGGCGTCATTCAAGCGCCCTTGTTCAACCCTGCCGAGTACCCCGAAATGGACAACCCCACGTTTGTCAAGCAGTTTATGCAGGTCAAGCTCCAGGAAGCCTTCCCGCATTTGAAGCTCCAGGAAGCCTTCCCGCATTTGGCACCGTAAGTAGTCTTTGCCGTGCGTAATTGTGGAGATGTTGATGATCTGTTGTTGCTGAAACTCGATTCTCTTGTGTTTGCTCTTTCGCGAGCACAGACTCCAGATTGAAGTCACCGTATTATCCTTGTCTGCGCTTTATGGCGATGCCTCTGCTTTCAAGAGCGCGTTGAGAGATTTCCTGGTTCAAATCAAGGTGAGGACTGCTTTTTTTGCCTTTTTTTTTGCTTTTTTTGTTTGGTCTCTGCTCGGTTTTTGGTCTCTGCAGGTTTGCTGATTACGACTGTCGGCTCACCCAACACACCGCTCTCCTTTTTTCATCAGGCTTTCGCAAACGAGGAGGATCTCTTCCTGGAAGAGACGGAGGCGATGCAGCAGCTCGAGCAACTCAAGAAGAAGGAGGAGCAGACTGCTGTTCTCGGCATCCTCAAGCCCGGCGAACGCGACGACATGCTTGACATGAATCAATTCGAAGATCACACCCTCGAGGTGTAATCGTGTATTACTAGCAAAAGCATTAGCTTTTATTTTCCAGTCGACACCCCCTCCAATAAACCTATTTTGTTTTTCTCCATTTATCTCTTTGATTACGAATTCACATTCACTTTCATGATTGAATGGGGAATGGAACGAATGAAAGCGAATTGGGGTTAAATTTGGTGAAACAAGAACACGGAAAAACAAGAAAACGCGCAAAAAGAGAAATACAGCACGAAA